TCTTCTTCTACCTGGCAATTTCACAGCCTTGGCCAGGGTCTGCCTCACATGTAGTGAATAGTTTTGGCTAATTGTTTTTACGACCTGCCGCCTGTCTGACATCAACCTTCTTTTGGGAATGCATTAATCAGTGATGTCTAAATACTCTTAGAAAGTACACATGACTCGGAAAATCACATTGGTACTTGCCAGGGCCAGGATCGAACCCGCGCCCTCATGCATGAGAGGCGGGCCGTTTAACCAAAAGGCCACCACTGACTTATTCAACTATTAATATGTACATATGTTACAATTAATACAAGTATTTAACGACTGTTTTATACATATTATATGTATAAAACAGTGTGTGCGTGTGCGCGTGCGTGTGCGAGCGTGTGTGTGTGTGTGTGTATGTATAATATGATCACATAAACAAGACATTAATATTTAAATATCAGAATAAATATATCATGAATTAATTGGTAATAGTTAACTTGATTTTTCCCATTTGTGAACTGAAAAATATCTAGCTACTACTTATTTTCAAGCGAGTTTATCATCTATAAATTTAGAATAGGTTTTTAAGATAAACGAATCATTTTTGTTTGGAAAAATAGATACAAATAAATATTCTAACCAACTTGCAGGTCCATGTTGAGTTATAACGCAATTCCCCAGGAGCTATATGTAATATATATGTAAAGTTTAGCCTAGATATTGTTTTGTTAACTGAGTTGTAGTATTATAAAATTTCATTAAAATCAATTCAGTACTTTCACGTAAAAAAAATACAAATATTCATACTTATAATTTTGTGTTTATAATATTAGTGTGAGTCACATGTTAAATGTTTTTTTAATATAAGCTATATTATGGCAGTTCGTGATGAAGCCGATATTGGTAATCTTTCTATCTCAACAACAACCTATAATCTTCTGTAGAAGATATCCAAATTTAAAATGAAATAATATTTTAAATCGTTGATACAAAGCAACATAATAATTTCTAAATAATTTAATAAAAACTTATTTAGTATATGTTAAATCCAATGATAAATTAATAATTAATTAATTAAATATGTATAATAATATAATTCTATTAACCTAAATACAGCTAGTGCTATATAAAATAAAGTTAGTAAATTATAAAAGCATTGTGTAAATATTTTTAATTATATTTATAAAGTAAAAATATAATTAAATATAAATTTAATATAATTTATACCGAAAAACCGTATAACGAAAATATCGTTGTGGTTAAAATAAACCATACACAAAATAACCGATAATTGGAACAAACCATAGTTAACAGCAATATAAGTTAATAATTATAATTACATAATTAATTGGTGTATATAATTGAAGCAAGTTTTAAAGGAGATGTATTTTAGTATTTTTGTGGTTTTAATACTATATAACGAATATAGGTACTTAGAAGAGTAATTGTGTATACTGTCGAGAAAATTTCGGAGTAACAGAAAAGTTACATGACATATTTTGTACTTACCATTTTTTTTTTGATGACGCAGGGAAACTCTTTTTACTAGCCGCCCAACCGGCCTTGGTGGGGCCGGAAGGGATGTGTGAGGCTCGGCCTGGGCAGGCCCCTACTCACTAAAACCACTGCGAAAGCCATCGGCCGCTATGTCGGTGTACCCCGGATCTGTCAGCGACAGGGCACATTTTGTACTTACCATACTTAGGACTATCTAACATCTTAAAATAGACTAGATAGATAGATATAGGGATAGATTCTGACCATAATATTACTCATGAGGATTACTTTTTGAGAAGTGTCTTAGATCAAGAGATATTTTAAAATAAACAGAAGTAAAAAAAATCTACGATCCTATCACTTTAACAACGGTTGTGTAATTTGTTAATTAGTTGAAAATAAATAGTTACCTATAATTTTGTTAGCCTTTTATTATTCACACTTTGAAATTAGAAGCCTGAGATTACGATTAATTTGTTACCAAATTATATATAAGTCTCATCAATAGAACAATTTGCCGGTTTTTCCAGGAAACCTCAACCCTGTAGGTAAACCCGAAAACATAGATTCAATTAAATGTATATATTAATTAGCAAGTTATTGTGAAGTTCTTTTGAGAGAGATGGCAAACAAACAGACGGCATACGTAATAGGCAGTAGACAATTTTGCGCGTGGACATCCGCAACATTTCTTATGTTGCTGATGCATTGCCAAATTTGGTTTTTGAAGAAGAAGAGGTGAGAATAAGGTAATGGCACAAAAAGGTGGGAACAGGTAAAGGGCAACCGGCTCCCTCACTCATCGGACGAAACGCAGCCATTGAACGCTACTTGACGCCGATTTTCTGTGAGTGGGTGGTACTTCTCCGGTTGAGCCAGCCCATGACGTTAGCTCAAAAATGAACATGATCACAACTCATAAGAATCCTAAAAGATGCAACTAATTCTTTTATAATATAAAAATAAATGGTGATAGCTTTGAGTAGGTATACTCCACAACGGAACCAAACAACCTCTGCTTATTTAAACAATCCGTCAACTTGTGACACAATTTTGTTTTGAAGATATAATACAACTGCTTCGAATTCTATATAAAATGTTAACAGACTTGTTACTTATTTAATTTGAGTTTATAAAATGACGATAGTTTTAGCATTTTCTATAACGATAAGAAAACAAATACTTGTAACAAATTAACATTTTTAAGACCTTATATATATTGCAATAATATTATAATCTAATTTCAATCAGATATATATAAGTTGGTATTGTATAATAAGTACTTCAAAGTATAGATTTTAATGATTTTCAATAATACATACCTACTTATATTCTGAAGATATCTGTTGAATAACAAAATAACTTCACTATTAATAAAATCGGTTTATATTAACTTTAATTCTTGTTTATAAAATAAACCATACATTTGATATTTATTAATTCCTGTATTTTTTAGAAAAGTTTTCTTATGATATAGAACGAGAAAATATATTCATTTTAATGTAACTATTGAAGAAGATGGATGGTTGTTGAAAAAATAAGAATACTACACAAAGGAACAAAGTGTTTTCCATAGAATGTCTTGTAAGCCAAAAAATAAATACAACAAAAATGAGTATCAGTTATAGAGATGTTATATTAAGATATCGTCAATAAAATATCGGAATAAATGTATTAAAAAAATCGCCAAATATAAAAACTGAAAATTAAAGTTATAATTCCTGATTAAATAACATTATCCATATTTTTTTTATAAGCACTCAATTAGTATTAGAAAAAAAATATATATGAATATTAAGTAATTACTTCAATTAAATATGTATACGTTATATTTTTTCACGGCTGATATTAACAATAAAAGAATTACACTTGATTTGTTTATAAGAAATGAATTTTATTACATATTGTTCTGACGTTATTTGCACCATATTATATTGCAACTTGATTCTAGTGGTGTCATCTAGTGTTAAATAGTGTTTGGTATTAAAGTCTTTAGTTCTTCGAAGTGTTTTTAACTCTTTAGTTTTTTAACAGATGGCGTTGGTAGTACTATTCATTTTAATCAATTAATATAAAATTGTTTAGTAGTAATAGTAATGCATTAGTACTAGTAAATAATTATCAAGTACATATGTAGTTACGGTGAACGATCTCATCAGTAACATAGTTCCTAATTTTTAGTCGCGACGTTGTTCATTCACAAATTCCTCTTTACATACATATGATATTTTTTTGCGAAATCTATAAGGAAACATCAATAACTAAAAGATGGAAAGAGAAAGAGACAAAAAAGTGGTTAGAATTGGTACATAGACAAAGATTGACTTTTTTTTAATTAATTAAAAAATAAAACTATTGTCAATAAAAAGCCATTTCAATTAAAACCTCATAAGCTTTCTTATTTAAAAATTATTATCATGATCATGATACATAGTAGGACAAGAAAAAAAATATGTATATTAAAATTACGTATGCAATTAATTAATTTAAAAATGTATTACTTAACATTTTTTCACGACTGATATAAACAAGAAAAGAATTGCACTTGATTTGTATATAAGAAATGAATAGTATTTTTATTCTGACGTTATTTGTACCACATTGCAAACTGATTCTAGTGGTGTCATCTAGTGTTGAATAGTACTTGGTATTAAAGTATTTAATTCTTCGAAGTGTTTTTAACTCTTTAGTTTTCTAACAGAGGGCGTTAGTGATAGAATATCATTCTAGTCAGTCTAAAATTATTTTGTAATAATAGTAAGCCAATAATACTATTTTATAAGTTTTAAGTATATAGTAAGTAAGAAATATCTGTGCCGTGTCAAATTTCTTAATTTCTAGTACCCAACTTCTTCATTCACAAATCCCTCTTAACATAGTTCAGTACATTATTCACACTGTATGTATTTTTTTCGCGAAATCAGTAAAATATAGAAAGGGACAAGTATTGCGAAGTAATGGTATTCGGTAGCAACAAAACTATTCTGCATAATTCACAAATACAGAAAACGAAGAAAATTATTGTACAAAGTTGAAACAGGAGTAGTAAACATGACAGTTGGTCATTATTTAAGAATACAAACAAACTCTATAAGTAGTGTATAGATAATATATTGGCATTTTAAGAATACAGAGGCAGTGTTAACTGAACATGCTTATAGATAAACTATATGTTTATAAAACAACTATTGAATGTTTCATTTGAAGAGAATTCATTATATTAAAGTTATTGGTTAAGTGGTACCAAAATCACTATAGAACTACATTTCAAAACATTAAAATAAAGTCAAAGATCACGTTTCTATGAACATAAAGTTGTTACAATTGGTATGTAGACAAAGATTGACTTTCTTCAATTAATAAAAAAATGAAACTGTTGTCACCAAAGCCATTAATTAAAACCTCATTTTAGATATCTCATTTAAAAAGAATTATCATATGCAACACATGTCAGAAGTATGATACTGAAAAACTTCCACCATTATAATAAGAAATAAAAAATATACTAGTACTAAAATACATTTATTTCAAACTAAAGTATCTTCTGATCTAATATATTCACCGATGTCTGCCTGGTGGAAGGCGATTGTTGCTAAAGGATCCGCGTGCCTACATTCTGTGGTAGATCGAGCAGCTACTCCGAAACCTATTGGTATATCCGACATTGTGTTTATAACAACTCCTTGGTGTTTCGGTGTGTTTTCAGTTATTCTACCGAGTCCTGGAATATATAAAACCTTTTTTTAACAACCTTCATGGATGTTATAGAAAATTATATTAGTTTATTACATTACATCCAATTGACAACAAGAGTTTTGTTAAAAGAACTTTCACACGAGTATGGCTCTAGAGGAAAAGGTAAACTGAGAAATCAAACAAAGTGGATTATTGTAGGAAAACAGATTGTAATGAACCAGAAATCATAGAAAACAATAATTTACAGATGTTCATTGATTTATGTGGCACACTAAAGAATATATAGGGGTAATTATACTTAGTTTAGTTTAATGATAATTATTACATACCACTTTTGATAACATGATGTCCATATAAAAATTGCTGTTCTGCCGATGGTTTAACCCATATCTTGTAATTAGCGTACGGCGCTATATACGTCAATGCTGTTATATGCAACCGAAACTTATTTGTTTTGGTGAATTTACCGAAACATGTACCAGCGGATATCAAATGATCAGGTTTCACTGTTTGGGCTAATTGTAACAATCTCTCAGATATATAATATACCCTGTCCTTCTTTTCTCTGAAGCAGTATGTGCCGTCTGGTCGATCTATTAGAAGTTTAACGTTTACTCCGATACTGGAATGAATTAATGTGAATTAGTTCGATAATTTTCATGTTAGTTGCTGTTTGGTAAATAAGGGTAATGGAATTATTGTATCTGGATTCAATTGATCATAAAAAAAAGCTTTATAGCTTCGTGAAATGTTTTTAGTTTGAAAACAGCAATAAAGTTTTACAATTTAATATTTAACACTGTTAATGTTTACAAGTTTAATATTAATATATCATTTGTAAAAACTAACTCGCGTCCTCTTTACTTACTATTTTGTCAATTTTTCAAACAGTTTCTTCGTACGGTCCTCCGATAATACCTTCATTTTAATTGTTTTCTTAAGTCACTATATATTAAAATTTTCTGTTAATCAACACGTGTTATTCGGCATTCCATGCATGTATTTGACATATGTCAAAAACCAAAACAATGTATATTTTTTGACATTAAATAAAATCATAGATAATTAAATATGACATGGCTTTATATTGACTACACATAATTGACTATAGAATTTATAGATGAATATCTCTATTATTCTGTTTCCGATATCTCTAAATGAAAAACAATGTACATATTTATATATATATAAAGTATTATTTTTAAACCGTGACGAAATGGAAATCCAAAGCTCTTGCATGGCTTTGAACAGTGTTAAATCAAAACAAAACTTAATGAAAATAAAGTCGATAATGTTCCATTTAAATATGTTATTTTGAAATAATATAAGAACGTAATAATAATTACCCATTTAAGAATTAAAAAATATATATTCGTATCTTATCTACCATAATTGTTAAACGTCACTCTTCTATTTTATCTGTCAATTAGCGCGGCAAGAAATGAATGAGCAAATCTGATCATATCATTCTGTGTTCATTCGCTGTATCTCATTCAACTTTATCTTGGAGTTCGGTGACGTACTCTGGTAAGTGGTTTTAGCGAACTTGTTTATTATGCGATGTTCATATATTTGCTCCATATAATTTACGGAACATCTGGCACTGTTATTTTGTACTATTGACTAATATTTGAAGACCAAATACTTGACACAATTAATGTTTTTAAATAACTTAACATCTGTTTTCAAGGTCCAAAAACTATCTATTGTTTGGGATCACGTGATAACAACAAAAATTCGGCATTTTATAAACAAATTTATACAATTACGTTACAGTTGATAGTCACGTGAATTTTATGAGATTATTTAGTGTACTTCTGCATATAAAGACTAAGGCTATGCTAATTTTATTCACTTAACATTTGTTTAGGTTTATAATAAAATTAAGATAATTAACCGCGTAATATTACTTCGTGTTTCTGTATAAAATAAATTTACTTGTTTTAATCATTACCACCCTGTATGTACATATATATGTATGTATATATATAATAAATACATGATGGTTATATATATGCTTTTAGCTTGTAGTATGGGATTTAAACAGTAGTATTCACAAGTTTGAAATTGGCACGAATATCTATGAGTCAACATTTCGTTGAGTTTTCCTGTGTGTTTCCCAGATATCGTTTCCGATAACTACCAAACTTTACTTTAGGAGAAATATGTTTAAAATTTATGTTAGTATTTTCAAAATATATTTTTTATTGTCGATCTTGTCTTTTGTCAATGTTAGTGTCAACGACCTTTGTAGTTTCGTGTGTAAAAATAGCAGCTGAGTGTGTACAAACGATTTTAAATTATTTCTTCTTAATCAACTGTGAATTGACGTTTCCGTACAATGAAATATTATTGATACATATCATTTTTGAGATTCTTTTTTTTTTTCTTTAGTAAGATTTAAGGGTTTATTTATTGACTTTTTCGTACTTTATAGCAACAAAATTTTCTTTATATTCGTAGTCAATATTTTTTTCTTTTAACTATTTTATGAATTTATTTTTGATTATTGATCTTCTATGATAAATAATCTTTAAAAGCAAAACTATACCAGTCTAACATGTCAGGTATATGAAATATAAATGTCTGAATATTATGTTTATCAGATAAGATAAGAATTCACCCAAACAATATCAATTAGAAAGTAATGAACGACCTCCAAAATTTGTTGACTTTGTACTTGATGACGTCACACGGGAGTGTTGCCCCAATTAATCATGTCCCACCCAAAACGTTACTCAGAATTAAATAAAAAGTTTTTTGTGTAAACACTGCATATAAAACCTTTTTTGTTATTATTTATCTTCTATATATAAGAAAGTCGTGTTAGTTATACTATTTATAACTCAAGAACAGCTGTACGGATTTGGCTGAAAATTTGTAGATATAGCTTAGAACAAGGGAAAGGACATAGGATACTTTTCATCTGATTGAAAAAGAAAAAAATAAGTTGATCTAATCCAAAATCTTCTTATCTACTGTCTTTAAGTAGAATAGAGTTCGCTTGGTCTATACATTTCCTATTCTGAAACTAACGCGAACAAAATCGCGGGGAAAAGCTAGTTTAAAATATATACGTATATTGTCTTTTAGTGATATCTTTAAACAAATAAAAGCAAGTAGCTTTGTCTTGGTATATATAAATAAATTTATCAAATATATATATATGACGTTTTCGCATTATATGTAAGTATTATTGTCCATCGGTTTATTGATTCAAACGACTAAACCTTACCTAGATCTGAGTATAAAGTTGGCTCAATATCAACTTTATTTTATGAAATGCGTTTAATATTCTAGATTCGTACAATGTAGTTTTTGTTGACAGAGACATTAAAATCTAAACTAAAATAATTTATCTAAAATCTCTATTTGGATGCTAAAATAAGACGAAACTTCTCAGCATTCCATGGATTCACCGTGCGGGTGCCGGGTCCATCGCGTTGCAGGGGGAGGAGCTTCAACAGTGCCTGGGACTTGCGACCCAAGTGTAGGTTTAAGGGGCCCCTTAACTAACGCGCGTTATACGCTCACCTCCACTGTCCAAGCTCCTCTCCCTACCTAACCAAATTTGAAAAGAACCTACTAGGGCTGCCTTCGATGTACGTTCCAAGAAAGCATTAATGTGAGTTCTGGACAAGCCCAAGTCCTTTAGTAGGTTATAGAGAGATTTCGCTGTTATACCTCTCGCTCCCACCTCTACCGCGTACAAATCTACTACGAACCTATTTCGAGTGAGTTCGTTTGTGAGCTCGTAATATTTGTTGACCTTGATGGTATGGTCTTTGGGGATGTTGGTTTCCCAAGGGACCGTAAGCTCTATCATCACTACGCGCTTTAAAATTCGCGAAAACAAAAATATATCCGGTCTGGAGGCCGACGCACAAATATCCTCGGGGATTTTATATTGTTTTTCATACGTGTCCATCATTATAGTCCAATCCGACGCCGCTTTAAGGATGGAGTAAGGCTTGACGTTTGATTTTGTAGCCCTAGTGCCTTCTCTCACAAAACCTACTGATCGTTCGTTTGTGGTTATTCCCTTTTGCGCTCTGGCTACCGAAAGACTAACCGCTTCACGTATGACTTCTAGAACCCTATCGTGACGACGCGAGTATTGACCGCTGTCAAGGAGTACCTTACATCCCACCAGCAGATGCTTAGCAGTTCCAACTGCCTTTCCACAGATATAGCAATATAGCAATATTATTAGCATATTATTTGTGACAAATGTATGAAAACAAATGTTTATATCATGACAAATGAATCATTGGATAGTAAAGTATTTATATTGAAAATATTTCCTTGTAGTCTGCGGAAAGTAACATTGTGAACAACTTGGCATGACTTGAGTTCTAAATCAATAATGAGATCTAATACTTTATCGAGTATTCATTTAAATGAAACTAATATTACTTATAGTCGAATTTTTTTATTTTAACTTCATACTCCCGACGTTTGGGTTAATTTGCAGCAACCGTGATCATTAAGACGAGATGAGAATTCCTGAGATAATAAAAAAAATCGTAAATCTGGAAATATTAGTTTCATTTATACTAAATCAATTCAAAATTATGTCGTCTTTCTCTAAAATAAACATCTATCCCTTAAAAGGTATTTTATCATTATTTTAACAGCTTCTAATCTCAATCTTTTTCAGTAGCGATGTTTATGCATAAAGATTCAAGTGAAAAACTATCATACTTAAATTATAAATAAAAAATATATACCACCCAAAATCTTCTAGAAAATCTATCAAAAACATTGAGTTAAGGGTTAAACAATAAAAAATATTGCTTCTAATACATAAAAAAATATTGATAATTTATAATATAGGAAGAATCGGCTAGTGTTATTGATTTTAATTGAATATAAAAATATAATAAGTATTTCATACTAAATAGAATGCAGTACAGTTATCGCCACTGACTTGTATTTCCCATTTAAGGGCGTAGAGTGTATTCGAATTGAATGATCATTTATAAAAAGACTTATATGTTCCTTACAAGGATTTTCCTTGATAGTTGTCGCATTAAAATTTTAAATATTTCTAATATAATGTATAAATATCTAATAAATTATAAATAGAATGTAATAAAAATATTTTTAGAAGCGTTTATAAAAGCGTAACCTGTCATATTTTTTTAGACGATTTAAATCGAATTTCTCGCCATTCCCGAATTCATTAACATTTAATATTTATTAAATCTAATATTATTTTAAAGGACCTTTTTTGTATAATTCACAAGAACTATTCTAAAACCATTTCAATTATTGATATCTTCATTAATTTGCTTTATTAAAACACAGCGGCGGCTGGTGGTGCACTTTACTAAAATATTTAAATTAGAAAATGCAAAACAACATAACGAGATGTCAATCATGGCTCAATACGTCATACATCGGGTGCTCTCGGTAATCTTCGGCCGCTTCGTGCGGCGCTCGAGAACCGACTCGTTACTCGGTACATTTCTATGAACTATCTTTTGTTTCACGCGTCAAGCGTATTATTTCGTGTCTCATACAAGATGTTTTAGGAGTCCTCGTGCACTCGCCGAAGCGCACGAGATATTAGTTTAGTAAAGCGCACAATTTTTTGACTATAATTAGAAAACTTAATTTTTTATACGTTTTTATGTTTAAAAAATAAATATTAAAATAATAATTTAAAAATAAAGATGAAGTAATATTTTGTAATTTTTTAAATCTTTTGAATTGGTGGTTCAGCGCACGAGTGCACTTAAGGTACAGCCGCCACTGTTAAAACATAACTTATGAATTTGTCTAACCTTCATCTGTATCGCAGTCCTATCTCCAAATCATTACATCATTAAAATACAATTAAATACATTTTAATAATAATTACACTAAATTTATATGTATGAACAAATCAGGGACCTAATTTGATGAAAATCATAATGAAGGTAGATAGCACTTTGGAGTTTTCGTAATGATATTGTTTTAATTAGTTAAAATATAAATATAATTCATATAAATGAAACTAATATTTTTCTGATTATACTGCGCGTGTTTGATTATTATAAAAAGTAAAAACAAACCTACTCCCGACGTTTTATTTCGGTTACAGGAAAGTAACCGAAAATATTAGTTTCATTTAAATGAACAATAGTTGAAAATTACAAGAGGCTTTTCAAGACAAGGTAGTTTAAATGAAAAGACGATTACAATAGTTGTCTTCAGTAAAATAGATTAGACCAAGACTTAGTCTTTAATTAGGCTTGAAGGCATTAAGGTATTATAGAGATCAAGTACCGAATGCATTTACGTTGATAATACTAGCTCATAATTGCGACTTTGTTCGCTATAAAACTTAAATTATATATGGAATTAATGAGTTCAGGATTCGAAACTACGACCAGAATGCTCAAATTGTTTTAAAGTAAAGCGCATATTGGTTGTTTTAATAATTTTTCTTTGTATATTTTCTAATCTAATTATTAAACCAATATTAGTCTTTAAAAAAATTAATGCATAAATTGAGAATATTTGTCGAGTATGAGTATTTTATGTTTTAGGTAAAACACATCATTATGTTTAAAGGAATGTAATCTAAATAGTTAATTCAAATTAAATTCTACAAAGGAATAATTTTTCTTAATTTTCTATATTCATACTTCTCTTCAATTAGTCGTTATAGTATATATTTTTTATTTCTGTATAAAAATGTCATCTAAGGAACTCAAAAAGAATTGAAATGTGATTCTTTGTGTCTTATCTCATTCAACTAAATACTCAAACTTAATGGCATTATTAACTTTATAGATATGACTTAACCATTTCCGGACTAAATTGCACTCATTTAAAGTTAATATACAAGGAAGAGACAAGGAAATTTAGTTATAAAAAGGATGTAAATATTTACACATGATTTATATGTATATATACAAGATTTTTCTTCACCTTTATCATAGGATAAAAGTTTATCGTTCTTTTCAAAAGATATTAAAAATTGCCTATAATCCATGGGCAATTTTTAATATCTTTTAGTTTAGGTTTAGGCGTGAACGCGTAACAGACAGACAGAGTTACTTTCGTATTTATAATATTATTAGGGATGTTCCATTAATATATATTTATTTATATACTATACAATTAATTCAATAATGACTAATAAGCGTCTTTTTATCACCTATTATAACCATATATAATTATAAGAGGTTCGTTAAACGTCATTCAAATGAGTCAATTAATTTCAGATTGTAAAGAATACCAGTACTCAGTTCATTTGTGATTGTGGAGTTGTTTTAGCAATGTCTTTCTACTATCCGAAGAATTTTCGTGCGAACGGCTGGGGCTGGCATAGATCTGCCAACGCCGCGTCGGCTGTAAGGGGATTCTTGAGCAAAGAAAGGGGAGGGCAGGGTAGCAGTGAGCCATTGATTGGTAATGGAAGACTTTACCCGACTTTACCCGCGGAAGACGACGCTGGTTTCTCGGGGGTAAAATTATACCCTTCGTTACCTGCCGAGGAATACGAAAGCGGTGCGGTTGAAGAAGTTATTGAAGAAGCATGTGCCGCTGTGAATGTTAATTTGGAGGTGAGTTTATCTTATCTTTTATCTTTAATAAACTATTCTCTATCTTTTTTGGTTGAACTTAAAAGATTTCCTCGTTTAATTATAACTTTATGTATATCTTAAAATATTTGCAATAGTAAAAGCATTGATCTCCTCAATGTTCCACTTGACTTAAATTATAATAAAATTAGATATGGCTTATCATTTGGCGCATATTTTGGAACTATGATTATTATTTTGATTACTTCCTGTTTCCTTTTTGGATAATCAAATTTTCAGATGCTATACAATTTCTATAAATTCACAAACTATACGTTAAAATAAAACAATTAATTCCTTAAACACGGTAACTATGACAAAAGTATTATAATAGTGCCGAATACATATATTTTTAGTAAAATTCGAGAACTTTCGTCACTTTTACAATTATTTTGTCCTAAACATATATCTATCCTTAAAATCACGTTCCCATAAAATTTGTATAACAATAAAATTAATGATTAAAAGAAAAAACACATTGAAATTAAATGCTTCACACGAATACCTTACGAAACTAAAAATACCTGAACGCACACATATATCTTATTTGTGTTTGTAATGTATAGTTATATTGTTTATACAAATAGAATTAGCTCGGAACTTTCTTCGGGTTCCAGTATAAAAAATGATTTAATAATTTGAATTCATACGAAAGTGTATAATAACACTTTTTTTTGCTATCTTATAGTGTAGGTCCAAAATAACATAATTTTGCTTTAAATAACACAGTAGAAATTTACAAAGTTAATAACACATATGAGGTATTTTTATTCTTATGAATTCAAATATAGAGTATTTCAAAATATAAATATTAAGTTTCCATTGACGGAAATAAATAAAAGTTGGACTTTTTTCATTAGTTTTATCATGGTATACCATGTTTGCAATCAATAGAAAAACTTTTTACACTACCTTCAACAACTCTCAAAATCTAGATTCTTTATAAGAAAAAAGAAACAAAATAATCATTTTCATAAACTCTTTCACCGCAACCAAATACGTTGACCGTGCTATAATTAACAATAGCGTGCACACCATAAAATAAAATACACATAGAAAGCTAAAAACTCATTAAATTCTGAGATTTAATTCGATTCATGAATTGTTAAAACTCCTACCATATCAGAAGTAAGCATAAAACTTGTGTATATGCAGAAAATATTTGTGTTGGCAAAAATCTATGTTTTTGCTTTGAGAGGAATGACTTCCCACAATCTATTTCGCTAAGAACTCTATAAAACCACAGTTTTAATGGTGAAATACAAAATAACTATTTATTTCAGCCATACAAAAGTGTAGATCGGCCAAAATAAAAAATTAAAACAAGAATATTTGTAAAGAAGCATTATCTTCGCGATTTTGCTTTGATTTATTTCCTCTAAGTATATAAATCTTTTTTTAATTAGTCATTTTCTACACGATTTATATTGTATTACCAAATCATATATTTTGTTTCAATCGTTCTATCTACTCTTTTCACAATCTTAGTGCACTCGCTACTATAAATTTTAACTGGGTAGTACTTAACTATTATTTAAGCTATTGGTAGGTAGAAATGAAACCGTAGGTGTTGATCTCTCAGTAATCACTATCTCAGTAATAGTATTCATTTAAGCCTTGAAGACACCCAAATTAAATTCGAAGGGACCACAATCATCAATAATTATGCCTTTTATCTTTACCTTTTATAGTAACATTAAAACTGGATTGATTACTATAATTTTTTATAAAAGACATATTTATTGAAACTTTAACCTGTTAGTTCAATTTCATAACTCCTTACCATATATCTCGAGTATTAAAACATAGACGAACCCTTGCCATCAGAAGGACACGGGTAGAATGTGATTGCGTTTTTAGAACACGATAAATATATAACATTATAAGTTATGAAGCAGAAAAATCATCTCACTCAGTAAAATAAGTCAGTGGTGGCCTAGTGGTTAAAGGGTCCGCCTCTCGTTGCCGAGGGCGCGGGTTCAAACCTGGCAAGTACCAATGTGATTTTTCGGAATCATATGTACTTTCTGAGAGTATTTAGACATCACTGACATACGGTGAAGGAAAACATCGTGAGGAAACCTGGACTTATAGTTTCACAATTATAAGTTTTAAATCACCAACACGTCTTGAGCAAGCGTGGTGATTAATGCTCAAACCTTCTCCATGTGAGAAAGAGGCCTTGCTCAGAAGTGGGCTCTGATAGGCTGATGACAGTAAAATAATTCAAACAAGTTAATCATACAACAACATTTAAGGAGATTTAACCGTAATTATTTCGTTAGAAACCGTTACATTTTCAAACAAAGAATCGCATTATCACTTTACAATGATTCACTAAATTTTTTGGATAATACTGAATCATGTGCTAATTTGAAAAATGAATAATCTTTTATAACATATATAAGTATGAATAAAGTTAAATTTAATACAAAATTTCGTCTCTAAAATTTAAAATTTGTTTAAAATTTTTAATATTCTTTGATTGATGATAATAACCAATAGAAATCATTTCAGTGTGAATAATTTGATTAATATATTTACTTATTTGCATAATATATACAATTATGATCTAAAAATTACTTATTATAAAAAAAAATACGTTGGCGGTGCTATTTTAAAAGCAAATAAGTAAAAAATGGCAGGTATGTATTTTATTAATTAATTAGTAATTGCCGACTATCTTTATTGTAAAACAGAAAACACCAATGCTTTATGACAATATTTGCATTTCATTCAAACATTCTTATAAGATTTATTTTAATAGATAAAATAATATATTTTATCCCTACTAATATTATAAATGCGAAAGTAACTCTGTCTGTCTGTCTGTTACGCTTTCACGCCTAAACCACTGAACTGATTTTAATGAAATTTGGTACAGACATAGAGTTGACCTTGAGAAAGAACATAGGATAGTTTTTATCCCAGACTTTTGAAAGGTTCTCTTGGAAACGGGATATAACCGAACTACACGCGGGCGAAGCTGCGGGCGGAAAGTTAGTTTTCAATAAAATTTGGTTCGGGTTACCTTTAGTTCATGTCTTATTTACTATTTAAAAAATATATTCAACATTTGAATTTTTTTAAATCATGATTCTTAAATTTATTTGTGAGTGATTTTTTTAAATGAAAACCTGAACATATTATGTACATATATGCAATGTAGTCTTATCTACATACTACATAATATGAATTCAACTGTTGAATTCAACTTTTTTTGAGTTGTGACACTATTTGAGCGGAGGTGCGATATAATGGACGCTCAGAAGTTAATTAGCTTTATTTTTTGTTTTCGTTAATATAAAAGAAGAAAAAATTTAGACTAAAAAACCTAAACAATTTAAACATTTGTATACATTAAGACAATCTAATATATGTATATAGAATAAATAAGTATAAAACAAAGCATAACGATAAAAAACTTTCCTCGATTATTAAGATCTTTGGTCAACAAACTTATAAATTGAAAGTCAAATTTAAAAGGTAAAGATGTAAAAGAATACGCGTCAGATGCTAAAATTATCTTAAGGGAGTAAAGATATTTATAAATCTGTTGTGAACACTGAAACCAGTTACCACTTTTGTGGTTCAATTCAGGTCAGAAAAGTATTTCATATTCACTTCAAACGAGTTGTATGTTATAAATTCGTATAAGCAAGTACCTACAAATATACCAAGGATAATTTGACTTAAATTCTTTATTTTTTGGTACTCAATACTTTTTGGAATAAAAATTACTATTCTAGATTTTTAAAACAGTTTCTTTACGATGGTGTAAAGCCAAGTATGAAAAAAATGCAGTCCTTTATAAAATCTCAAGCGGTGATTGAAAGTCGAGGTGAATTTAAAAAGGTGAAAAGATGTCCTCAACCCAAAAATTATAAATGTCACTTATTCTTTAACATAACTCCCTTTATTTATCAAAAAAAACATCTGATGAAAGTATTGAAAATTATTTAAACTTGTCATAACATTTTGGGTACTAAAAATCTATTGTTAAAAACAAATGCACTAAAACAATTTTCACATTCCATTAAACTATCTTAATAAATCATAAAATTGAACTTGTTTTGAGTCATATATTGTATGACCTCGATGCCATGGAATAAATAACCTTCGTTTCTGGCCATTTGAGTCATAACGACGTACTATTTGGCAGTCTTATCTTAATCGTTAAAAATCTTACTTAAACTGGCATTTAGATATACCGACATACGACACCGAAATTTAAAAATACTTATACGACCACATACATTAAAACGTATTTTAAGCTTTATCCTCTAGTGTTGCCATAGTTTTCATAGTAAAAATAACAAAAATATTTGTTCTAATCATATCAATACAATATTAAACAGAAAATAAAAGCTTTATAAAACAGTATAGGTGTCTTGAAGTGGACAAAATAAATCAATGGGCGCCTAGTCTTACGTCATTTGATGTTGGCAAGAATCTCAGACTCAGTGTATAATACTACTATTTGAAGTCGGTCGCGTTTACAATTTGATCTTGTAAATTAGTTAGAAATTTCTATTAGTTCGGATTATACGCTGTCAATTTTCGTGCTAGATTCTGGGTACGGTTGTGTTACAAAATATTTGCCGATATATATAATAATAAGTCTACCTTGGTATAAATGTGGTTTAATATTAAAAAAATATATATTGTGATGTGTTGTGTGTGTAAAATACGCAATTAGATGTAATAGGACAAAACTATTTTTGGTTGTTTCTATGTGTCGATGATATCATTTCCTTTTGATAGTTTTTTTCATTAAAAATATGCTATTATAAAGTATATAACCGAAAATCTAGAATCACTTACCCGTTCGTGAAGTTTCTAATGCATTTGTGTGATGTGTTCCACATATTGACCTACTTTGCAAGTAACTGTACTCCACCCATGATATTAATTTTAATTAATATTGTTATTACTTAATCCAATTAATTTTAATAGCAGTGTCATATTCAATAGTTCACTCCTATAGTTATTAATTTTTAACAATTTCATTTCTATACATACCTCTTGTTAAGTGAATTTTCATTTAAATCTTATTATTAATGTTTAACCTCTATATTTAATATAAGTATAAAATAAGTATATATTTTCAAACATCATAGTTATTTATAATTAAATAGATATGTCTTAAACATACAAAAAGATTATAAAACCTCGCACACATTTAATTGTAAGACTAACATAGAATTTACTTCAAATCGAAGAAAATCTTAGTAATTATCGCCAAAAAACTATTATAATTTTTGATGCAATACTATCAACCGATTTTATTTAGAACTAACAACTAAATGCTTCACTCATTACTAATTGCAATAAAACATACACTATATAACAATTATCATAACTTCTATGTACATACCACACTCTATGGTCTGTTTATGTAAAAATACCATTTAATTAGAGCCTACGATGATGTCATTACTTATCTCAGTGTTCTCATAGTTTGAATGTACACTGACTAGAGTAGTATTGTAACGTTGAAAGATTTTGTAGTATTTTTTGTTGGTTTTGTGCATTATTTGTGTTTTATATACAGAGATATAAGACTTTTTTGATCTCCCATTGATTATTTATATTTCTTTAATAGTAACAATAGTTTTATGAGTCTACAGTGATATTATTAAATGTTTTTCTAGAAATTATAGCTAGTGAAGTGAAAATCAAAATAGTTACTATCAAATGTTAACATAATATTCATGTATTACCTTGGTGTTGGTTACATTTTATTAGGTATTAAAACAGTACATGTTAAATTATTATTTTACTCGATAACAATGTATTAAATAGCCCCACTTCCTATTGCTGTGGTTAGTGACAACGAAATTAAATAATCATCATATATATTGTAAATGCATAAATTGTCCTTGAAAATATTTTCCTGTTCCAATTAATGCTATAACAACATAAATTACACATTAAACACATCACAATATATTTTTTTCTAAACAGCTTTAAAATGTCGTAACGTTAAATGAAAAAGTGTAAATAAGTGAGTGAGAAATGGGGCAAAATGGCGGCGCCGATTTTGGCGCGCTTTTGTCCGGCGCCGGTCGACAAATTTTGAACCAAGGAGGTCAAGCATTGTTGAATTATGGCGCCCAAGCACTTGGGAACATAATTAATGAGGTTTTCCAAAAGAAAGAAGCCGAACACAAGAGAGTATTGCCTAGTATCAAAAATTATAAAGTGGTAAGTATTAAAACGAGAGATGGCCTATTATTTATTTATTGCAAATATTTGATAAACCGTTGTACTGTATTTTAAATTTTAATTAAGGTCTTGGTTTATATATATTTAAATCGAAACTATACAAGGGCTAGTGATAATTCATAGTTATGTAATAAGATATTCATAAAAGAACAAGAAAAATATTCCTATTTGATTCAAAATATATCTCTTTCTATGAATTAAAATTCGGTACAATTTTAAATCTTATAACTCAAACTTATAGGTTTTTCTGTGTATAACTATTAACCTTAATCACAAAATACATATTAACTTTTATGTTACCTATGGGGTACATAATAATAATTATTATTAATTATAAATTGAATGTAACCTACGCGAAATGTCATGTCATTACAAGTCAGGACACCTACACAGTTTATTGACTGAAGTTAAACACACGATGTTCGATAGGTATTTAAAACTAGTTTTTATTCCGGGGTTTACTTCTAATCAAATTTAAATACGGTAATCACTTAAATGTGTGGGTGTGCGTGTGTGTGAGTTTGTATACGTGTATGTATATGTGTGTGTGTTTGTGTGATTTAATTATATACACACAATTAGACTTAAGTAAATTCCTCTTTAAATCTTCTTAATTCATTTTAAATTCCTATTTTCGATGTTGGTTTAAAATGTATTCTAATACTTTGTCGATGTTCGTGCGTACTTTATGAAGTATGTTCTATGTATAGCTATAATCCAATAAAACATCATTGCTTCATATATTTCAAGGGCGGTCGAGTTCATCTTAATAAATGTTTTTTTCTATACTAGCTTTCCGCCCGCAGCTTCACCCGCTTGGAGTTCGGTTATATCGCGTTTCCAAGAGAACCTTTCAGAAGTTTGAGAAAAAACTGTCCTATGTTCTTTCTCTAGGTCAACTCCATCTCTGTACCAAATTTCATTAAAATCAGTTCAGTGGTTTAGGCGTGATAGCGTAACAGACAAACAGAGTTACTTTCGCATTTATAATATTAGTAGGGATAATAATAAATTCTTTATATTCATATTATTTCCCATATAAATACAAGGTATTAGAATTATTCACCATAGTATGGTATCTCAGTATGGTTTAATGCCCGTGAAGGATTTATATTTATGCGTCATCTTGCATACATAATTATGTATATAATTGGCGTACTGCCTATGTGTAATCAAAAGGAAATAATGACAAAGCATTTGAGGAAACACAAGATCAAAGGATCTCGCTTAACATCGTAAACTTCTCAAATTAAACTATGAATCATTGCTACGTCACTATTAAATAATATCGTCATCAGCTTATCAGAGCCCACTGCTGAGAGGCCTCTGTCTCACATGGAGAAGGTTAGAGCATTAATCACCACGCTTGTAAGACGGGTTGGTGATTTAAAACTTATAATTGGAAATTATAAGTCCAGGTTTCCTCACGGTGTTTTTCTTCACTATTAAATGAGATGTGACGTCATAATTTCACAATGCTTTTGAAATCGATTAAAAACTTCATGGTATAAAAAAAATATATTTAAAATATTCCAAATTTAAATATGAAAGGATTCTTTAAATAAAAAAATAGTATTTCTTTTATTTTAAGTAATTGTCAATTATGCAATTCATTGTACGTAGTACTTTAGTTTACTTTTAACCATCAAGAGGATACAATTTCAAGGCCTGAGCGATTTCAGTAATTGACCAATTTGTATGAAACCAGATGCTAATACATTTCAGCCCTAGTTGCAAGAACGACAGTGTCTCTTCCTCTCTATATTATTAACCGACTTCAAAAGAAAGGTGTTCTCAATTCAACATCATTTTGTTACTATTAAGCGATAAAACGTTTGAAAAAAAATGAATAATAAAACTTTAATTTTTTATTAAATTCCTAAAAATAGCATGTATGAAAATAATATTTTTTTTCCTTAGGGTAAATTAAATAAATATTACAATAACACTCAATAATAACAATATTTACTATCATACTTAAAGTATCTCGGTAATGTTTTAAAACGTCAAATTTATACTACTGTAATACCCATTGATATATTAATTGGTTTAACAGAAAATAAAATCATAAAATGGTACAGAAGCGAAACTGATTTGTAAATATTTACTCTATCAGAACTAAAAATAATTTCGAACTGGTCTTAAAACGGATTTCGTCACTATATAGATGTTGGCTTCAATACGAAGATTTTTTATAAGGAATAATACTTATTTACATTTAATACTTAGTTTGATTTATTTTACTATATACTTTTTTGTAGTATATAAGTCTTATACCTTCATGATATATATAAAAGAAAATCATGTTATTTACAATATTTATGACTCAAGAACGGCTGTAAGAATTTGGCTGGTAATTTGTGGGGAGATAGATTAGAACCAGGAGACGGACATAGGATACTTTTGAATTCGTTCGACCGAAAAAGAAATAATTTGCTAATAAATTACAAAATCTGTTTATTTAGTGACTCGAAATCGAAAGAGTTCGCCTGGTCAGCTAAACATTTATAATTATAGAACTAACGCAGACGAAGTCGGTGGCAAAAGCTAGTTAATTTATAAGTGCATTTAGACTTAAAATGCGTTGGAAATTTGTGAAACAGAGGATTTAAAATAAAAGGTATCTAAAATTTAAAATATTTTTTTTCTTAAAAAACTATTCTTAGTTTTCTTTATGGGCCATAATGTTCTTATCCAACAGCTGTGTCAATTTCAATATAACTTTCATTGATTTATAGATGACGTATTGGAACATTAGTTAAATCTCGTATCATAAATATTGTTAGACCATAAAAACTAAAATTTGTTTACACTTAGGTTTTTTCGTAAACAATTGATTATTATTAAACAACATAGCTATGATAGAACTAATTATTTTATATATAAATCATTTTTATTTTAATAATTATTATAAAGAAACCAAGCAAAATGAGATCTAAGACTATCGCGAGTATTCATTTAAAATTTAAATGAAAGTAATGTTATTTGGATAAATGACTTTTTTAAAATAATAAAATACGCGTAGCAATTTGATAAATATTTTCATTTCAATACAAGCAAAGCTGTGTACAGATACTAGTTTTTATAATAAAGTTCCCTATATAATTCTATGAGACGTCACCCAGAAAACATAGACCCCTTGTCTAGACAGTTAACGACCAAATTTTATTGATTATAAAATAACAACCAACCAACATAATATGGCTATCGGAATTACTGTTATTTTTTATCAAAGGTTTAATATTAAGTTGTCCCTACGACTTCTTCTGCTTTGACTCCAAAGTCCTGTTTAAGGAACAGTAAATAAAAAGAAGTGTAGTTAAAGTTATGGATATTATTATGTATGAAGTAGTTTAACATGAATACAAATATCATTGTAAGTAACACACACTCACATACATACATATATATACATCAGCATCTTAATACATATAACGAGTTCTAAGACTTTCGCGAGTAATCATTTAAATTAAACTAATATTTTACGGATTATATGTACTACGCGTATTTTATTATTTTATAAACTTCATACTCCCGACGTTTCAGTTACTTTTCAGCAACCGTGACCACGGACAGACGAGATGAAATACGTACGAAAAATATTAGTTTCATATATCTTTAATACTTTTGTCTAAACCCAATTTTAATATTCCATCGAGTAAAATGACATGCAAAAACTAGTTTATATATCCTCAATTTAATCCACCCTGAAGTAGACCATACATTTTATTATCACAATGAAATCGTTCATATAAAGTTGTTGATAGTAAAATAAACACTGCCAATGTAAGCTTTAAAATAAATAAACTTCGCTAAACACAACGTACGTTGTTCAGTTAGTCATTAAAGCTGAACAAACTGAATATCCTTAGTAGATGTTTTTATATTTAACGCAAAACTAACGGTACGACGTATTTTCTAAATAGAAAACTCGAAACTCCCGGTGTTTAGGAAGGCGCTGTAAAATTGAATTTTACATTTATATTATTCATTGGATTTCATTTTCAACCTTTGATTGGATTTCATTTTCAACTCTTCAAAAATCTAAAATCCGATATAATATTTAATACGTGATAAGGCAAGATTAATTAAAATTCCTAACAAAGATAAAAGCTTTATATACTTACCAAGTGATTTCTTAATTTTAACTGTCTCCAAATATTGCTTCGTGTAGCTTCGCACATGATAGTACCTACCAACTTAGGTATAGTGTGTTTGATTTAAGCTGAGCTTTGCATTTGTGTGAGTGCACTCGGATAGTATAGGTGTGATGTCAAATTTTTGAATACCGCGTTCTTTTTTAGTTTTTAACCGGTTCATTCTGCTTTTACTCCGCCCCGCACCTTCCTCACTTCACCCTTTGTACTGGTAGCAACTTCAAATGTTGAAAACACAATGTCAAGAAATCGTATAGTTTTTTTAAAACTTTTATTAATTTATATATTTTTTCATTATATTTCCATCATAAAAGGCTTTACAACTTTTGCGTATTTTATTTTTAATTTAGAATAGCTCTAGCACTTACTTTATGTATCTATTTAAAATTTAATTCTAATTTTTTTGTCTATCTTTACTTTTACTTTCACTCACACATCTGCAAAGCTCAGCTTAAGTCTAACGTAATATACATTAAAGTTAAATAAAAAAATGAGATCTAAGACTTTCGCGAGTATTCATTCGTTTTAAACTACATATTATGTACTCCCAAAAATGTTGAACGCATCACGATTTTTTGTGGCCTCTGCACAATACTCATTTATATATAGGTACATATATACATATAATATTTATATATAAACAATAAATGTGGTCATAGATAATATTATTAGATCAGCATGTCACACCCTGGAATTATATTATTATGTATATGACATATAAATATACGAGTCCATTGATAAGTACCTTTTATCATAACCATTATCACTAGTCAAGGTAAAGGTAAAATATTTACCTGAATGCAGTTATACTTATTTTACTCGACAACGTCATGTAGGGTATTTATAATATTTTTTATTATTTCCTTCATAGTTAATTTAAGTATAAATATATGCTAATTATTATTAAATTAATTTATATTAAATTTTAAAATAACTGTTTATTACAAATGTCTAATTTGTGGTATATCAATAAAAGAATAAATAGAAAATATAAATTACCCATAAATATTATGAAAGCTTGCAAGAATTCTTTTAGGTCAATAACTTCTTCAAGCATATACGTATTATGCTATTTTGGGGTCTTATAAGAACAAAACATAAATTATAATAACATACCAAAATTCTGTACATATATATATGAGATAACTTTATTTCCAAAATTAATATTAAGTAAAATTAATGAAAAGAACTTACTATTGAACTGTTTTAAATTTTTTTAACCAAATCTAGTCCTATCCCAAAAAACACGCAAAAAATATACGGAACATACAACGGTTAATAATATGTGGTTAAACACATCAATTTAACTAAGTGGTTCACACAAATAACTTTTATACCCTATGGGATTATAACAAGTTGGTTATCAGCGAATATTTTAATAGAGAACGCTCACAATACTCAGTTGGTCAGCGGCTGTCGTATTTGGTGGAAACCTCGTAAACATACCATTAATATGTTAACAAATTATATAGTTTGAAACAAAAAAAAAAATCGATTTCGGACCGAGGACATGCAGCAATTATTTGTACTTAACAAATGATTAGCTGGCCCTGATCTATAAAAAATACAAATAAATTTATCACTCCAATCAGTTGTAATGAGTGTGTCTAACATGGAAGAAGAATTTGTTAAATTGGTTAAAAATAATTACACAAAAGTGACAACCAGTTTCCAAAATGTGATTGTATTAAAAGCAGCTGATGCTTTAAATAAATCTCTCTCCATAACTAAAACCGATGAAGATGGAAGTTCGGGTTTTTTTGCGAAATTACAAAGGAAATCAAATGTATCGGATATTAATACGATAAAAGACAAGAAAATCGTCAAATCTCTTTGGGCAAACAAAATCGCTTCAGATGAAAGAACTGATATTGAGAACAGAAAAATAGTGTCCACTATAGATAAATCTATCTCGAATAGATTTCATTTCAAATCCGAAGTGACATCGGAAGTTAAAGATGATATTGAAAATAAATCACCACGTAAAAAATCAATCGTTGTACCGAGTAGCATAAATCGATTCAAAATGCCAGTAAGTTACAACGGCAGTCATATGTACATGCCTACAGGGGAACGCGTATTCTGGGTTTGTGACTTATATAGTGAAAATCATCTTAACTATTGTTATTTCATACATAAAGTGTATATAAAAAATGCTATACTTACATATATGTATGTTGAACATAATTTTAAAAGAAAATATATATATCATGATTCAATATTATCTCTTACTGAACAATTTAGACAAACTTGTGTTTATACTATTATAGAAATATTTATTAACGTGACAACATTACAACAACAAGAAAAATTGCAATAACAGTTATTTAGACAAAGAGAAACAAATATAGCATTAAGAATAAACAAAACTTAAAACATATATAATCCTATTAATATTATAATTGCGAAAGTTTGTGAGTGTGTGTATGTTTGTTACTTCTTCACGTTCAAACGGCTGAACGGATTTTTATAAAATTTTGTATACAGGAAGCTGACGTATTAATAACATATAGGCTACTTTACATCCCTGAAATCAGCGGGTAACACCGCGGGGCGCAGCTAGTATATGTATATTTTTAACTTACATTCTAAATATATCGCATTATCAATCCTCTAGCTCGGTGAAACCCGTCCATCATCATTCGGACCAGCTACATACCAGGATTTCAAAGAAATCAGGTCTCGTTGTCTCTCTGAAGGCCGTCTTTTCGAAGACCCGGAGTTTCCTGCCACTGATCGCAGTTTATACTACAAGGAACGGCTGGATAGACCTTTGACATGGCTGAGACCTTCGGTAAGAAGATATATATATATATATATAATAATAACAACGTTTATTTTCTCAAACACATAACAATTGTATAGACATGAACATAATCTGATCACAATGCGTAGAGGTAAAAAGTATTTATGTAAATAAAATCTACTGTCCCTGAGCTAGGTATAACTCTAAATATATATGTAATGGTTGCCAATGTTCGTTGGTGCTTAGAAAATTGGCGAATTTGTCCAGGATTTATTTTGTAAAGTAAATATTTTTTTAGGAAAAAATGTTGCAACAAGTCAGATTTATTTGGGCAAAAACTTTTAGTAGTAAATGGTTTTTTTGAAACAAAATATTGCAACAAATCCGACCATATGCAATTGCCATGTTTTTGTATATAACCAATTGTTAAGATTTAATTATTCTTACACATGATTCGTTATAGAAAATTTGTGGTTTTCTAATATGGAATATTATCTTTATAATAATATCGTTAACAGGAAATCTGCGAGGATCCGCAGCTATTCGTGGAGGGCTACAGTCGCTTCGACGTACAGCAAGGCGAGCTAGGTGACTGTTGGTTGCTCGCTGCCGTCGCAAATTTGACGCTCCATAGAAAGTAAGTCTGGAAATTATAATAATATCCGACCATTTTACAATATATCCGACTAAATTTTCAATTTATCCGACTGTTATCCAAAAAAGTTCTATTCAGATTACTAATTTTATTTCCATATTACTTTTATTAATTCATCGAAATCTAGTAAGTCGTATAACATTTAATAATATAAAGAAATTTTCAATTAAATCAATAAACATGTATTAATGTTAATAACTGATAAGAGTGTATATAAAATCACACAATTAAATTTAATAACGTATTTAACAAATAATACTATTGTGTTCGCTATTATTTATTATCGGCGAAAATATATCAGATGAAACAAATGAAAAAAAAAATGTTCAAGCTACTACGATAACAATATGAAAAAAAAATAGTAAAAAAATAATACGTACAATTAATTGAAACATATCTGTTTGATGAACTTACTCCGAGTTTGCTTGGAGACTTCATATGTAGCGTTAACAGTTTATAATTACTAAGTCCTGATAGTATTAAGGAAATGAGAAAAAAACAAAAATTCGTATATATAGCTACGACGCAAGATTGTAATGATACACGTTTAATAATTTAGATTAAACTAATATTTTCGATTTAGGGTAACGGTTACTTTGCAGCAATCGTGACCTTATGTGAGATGTGAAAATAATGTATTTTATAGTTAATTAATTTCATTTCATTTCAGACTGTTCTTCCAAGTGGTGCCTGATGATCAAAGCTTTGATGAAGAATACGCTGGAGTGTTTCACTTCAGGTTAGTTTCGATTAATATAACACGAATATTTTGTATTGCCTAAAACTATAAGTATTTGCCAAAAAACCAAAAAGATCTAATAGTAGGTATTATTTCAATCAATATGGTTGATAGGAAAAAAATTGCAAAAAAGTAGCAATTCGACACAAAACAAATAATATCTTAAGTTATTTTGAAAATTATAAACAAATCAACGAAGAATTTCTACAATGGTTTTGCCAAAAAAGATAAAATATTGTCACATTACAATTTACATCTTATCAATACAATGTTATGATAAAAGTCAATTCATAATATTTACATGTTATGTCATAATTATCACCAGACAGAAACGAAAATAGATAATTATCTACTGATAAATAATCACTAGATAAAATTAGTCTACAAGATTTTCAAGCCGATCTCATACTATCTTTATATATATAACTAGCTTTTGCCGCGACTCCGTTCGCGTGGAGTAGTGACTTCCGGCAGATTTTTGGTTCTTCCCACATAGTTCCCGTTCTTGCGGGGTTTTCGGAATGGCGGAGTTCCCGTAGAATTTTCAGGATAAAACCTATGTTTTTTTTATTCACAATGAAGTACTCTTAACTAACAACATATTCATTTGTTTATTTGAATAAAGATTTTATAAAATTATTTCGACCAAATTAGGTACCATAAAAACGGTTTTTGTGAGTTAATCTTAAAAGATAGACATATACTGTCGCGGAATGTTTTTTAGATCATTAAAAGAGCTATTATTCTTTAATACATATTTTTTGTGTATCTTGAACCGTTTTCACGACGCACGCAACGGAAGGCTTCAAAGATGAAATAATTTCTCCCGTTTTTTACACATTTACCACTATAACTTTGCTCCTATTGGTCGGAGCGTGATGTTATATACCCCACAGCCTTTCTCGATAACTGGACTATCCAACACAAAAAGAATTATTCAATTCGAAACAGTAGTTTCGGAGATTAGCGCTTTCAAACAAACAAACAAACAAACAAACTCTTCAGCTTTATAATATTAGTATAGATTCTTCTGTGAGTGTGTATGTCACTGAATTTCTCTCAAACGACTGGACCGATTTTGATGAAATTTTTTTGTGTGTTCAAGGAGATCCTTGAATGGTTTAGATTCACAATTTTGTCCGCTGGACAATGTTTTTTTAATTAATTTTTAATTTATTAGTAGTTGTTGATACAAAGTTTTTTTTTTACATTAGATTTGACAACTAACTAATATGTCAATCATTCTGTCGCACTTCAAAACACGGAGATTTATGGCTTTAATAGTTAAACTCCATAAATATAAATAAAAAAACGTTACAGATATTTCTTGATTATAGGGCGCTAAGAAGTTAGTCGGGTCTTCTAGTATATATATAATACGTCATATCACATAGCCATTATATTTTGACCCCTACACAATATGTATTGATTATAACATAGCCCAGTATACCAATATAAAATATATATCAAACATTCCATTATATCTTGACCCCTCATTTAATACATATTATTCACATTCCAGGTTCTGGCAGTATGGCCGCTGGGTAGACGTTGTAGTCGATGACCGTCTACCCACGTATCGCGGTAAATTAGTCTTCCTTCACTCATCAGAGAGAAATGAATTTTGGAGTGCCTTATTGGAGAAAGCATATGCTAAGTATGAATTACTATGAAAGAAAATAACAATTAAACTACTTGTACACTAACTAGCTTTCCACCAACAGCTTCGCCCGCGTGGTGTTCGGTTATATCGCGTTTCGAAGGGAACCTTTCAAAAGTCTTGGATAAAAACTATCCTATGTCTGTACCAAACTTCATTAAAATCAGTTCGGTGGTTTAGTCGTGAAAGCGTAACAGACAGACAGAGTTACTTTCGCATTTATAATATTAGTAGGGATACGGACAAAATTTATAATTACATATACATTAAACATATACAGTACATGTAGTATATACATATAAGAAATCTTATATGTTTGTATGTCTATGTTCAATATACGATCATATAAGTCCATTGAACTAAATTTTATAAGAATTTTACATTGTAGTAGTCATTAGGTAGTTTTTACAACTAAATCTCTAATTTCAGTACGTGTATTCTCTTTGAATATAACTAAATTTTAAGCTTTAAAAATTATATACTATGTATATCAGATATGAACATTTAAAAACATTGTTATATTAGGAAATTATATATGTGCTATTTTAAAAGCATTTTACATCAGCAAACTCTACAGTATAACATACATTACAATAAAAACCTATAAAGAACATTATTAAAACAATCAGTAGCTGCTATATATATTATAAATTGACTAATTAATTAATGAATAATTTAATTAATTAATTTTTCAGACTACACGGTTCCTATGAAGCCTTAAAGGGAGGTTCTACGTGTGAAGCAATGGAAGATTTCACTGGTGGTGTTACAGAGATGTATGAAATGACTGAACTACCACCAAACTTCTATACTATACTACTGAAAGCCTACGAACGTAATTCACTAATGGGATGCAGTATTGAGGTAGGATAATTCTACTAAAGAAATAGATTCCATAGAAAAAATACCATATTAATATCGTTTGTACTAACATAGAAATATATGAGTTAAACTGAACTAATATTAAAGTTATAAGGAACATAATAATTAACTGCACAATAGAAATAAAACTTTGAGGTAGGATAATTCTACCAAAGAAAAAGTAGATTCTATAAAAATATGCTATATTAATATCATTTGCACTAACATAGAAATATATGAGTTAAACTAAACTAATATGGCAGTTATAAGGAACATAATAATTAACTTCACAATAAAATAAAACTACTTGTACATTAATATCATTAACATATTAAAACGTTTGCTAACTATATTGACAAGTACAAAGATAAATCTTTCTCTATAATAGACAAAACCTCTTAGCATTCAATGTATTTATATGCGTGTGTCGGGTCCATCGTTGTAGTGAGAGGAGCTTCAACAGTGACTGGGACTTGTGACCCAGGTGTAGGTTTAAGGGACCCTATATAAGGCGTTAAACGATCACCTCTACTGTCCAAGCTCCTCTTCAAAACTTTTTAAGTCGAATCAATCTATACAAAAATTATTCCAATAATATAAATAGTTCTTGCTAATGAATTTACCTGAAATATTGACGAATTCTCTTGAAAGTTCATACAAATTTCTAACTCAAGATTAAATAGCACGTTTTCATATGTACTTATTTTAATTATGATATGACTTTTCATTTAATAAAAAGAACTTTCATTTACATTGATAATGATAGCTTACCAATTTGAGGGTATTTAGCAAATCAGAAAGTACATATGACAAAACATATTGAAGTATATATGTTATGATTGTAGATTGCAAAAAAAGAAGAATATTCTACTGAAACGATGATGATGATGATAATTGTTATCATGTTCGTTGTGCTACTTACCGATACATTTCATATATATATTACGAATCATTTGTATAAAGATATTAATAAGAAGTTTAGAAAGTATTCTACTGAAATGATGATGATTGTGATCATGTCCGCTGTGCGCTTTTTTACCTATACATCTCATATAGATTAAGAGCATTTGTATAAACATAACATGATGCTTAATTTCATTACTGCCTTACTATCACCTACATCTAATGCTATTTCACTCTTTATTTATAACTTTATGAGTGACATAATGACAACAGTAAGAAAGAGATCACTTGGGATGACCAGAGATAGTATGAACATAAATGACTAAAACAGATAAAAGAAATATCAAGTAACACTCATATATATTTAAATAACATATTAATGATCAAACTACCCATCAGTTAATATTGAAATATTTGTTTTCAGCCTGACCCCAATATATTAGAAGCTGAGACCCCAGTGGGTTTGATTAGGGGTCACGCGTATTCTGTGACTAGGGTCAAATATGTGGATATTGAGACCCCGGGGCGAGCTGGGAAAATACCCCTACTGAGATTAAGAAACCCTTGGGGCAATGAGGCTGAATGGAATGGACCTTGGAGTGATAAGTTAGTAATATATATATATATACTAGGTTTCCGCCCGCGTGGAGTTTTATATCGTGTTTCCAAGAGAACCTGTCAAAAGTCTGAGATAAAAACTATCCTATGTTCTTTCCCAAGGTCAACTCTATGTCTGTAGCAAATTTCATTAAAATCAGTTCAGTGGTTTAGACGTGAAAGCGTAACAGACAGACAGAGTTACTTTCGCATTTATAATATTACTAGCTGCGCCCCGCGGTGTTACCCGCGGATTTCCGGGATATAAAGTAGCCTATATGTTATTTCTGGACGTCAGCTTCCTGTATACAAAATTTTATCAAAATCGTTTCAGCCGTCTGAGCGTGAAGAAGTAACAAACATACACACACACTCACAAACTTTCGCAATTATAAAACTAATAGGATATATATATGACGTAAAGTACATTTAAATAAAACTATATCTATAGTATTAATTTAAATTATTAGTCAATATATTGCCAAGTTTCAAGCCATTGTCTGATCATGATTACAGATTATAACAATAAATATACAGTTGTAGGAAATATATAAGCTTTTATTAGAAATCGAATATTTTGATGTTACTAACAGTAAAAAATATGCAGATATAATTTTATATATATACATATATATATTTATATATAAACATATAGTTAATATATTACCTGTATTTTAGATCACCAGAATGGCGCTTCATTCCACAATCTGAGAAGGAAGAGTTGGGTTTGACGTTTGACGATGATGGAGAATTTTGGATGTCTTTCAAAGACTTCACAAGCAACTTTGATAGGTGAGTAATAAGAATTTACTAAAACACTACTTTTTGTTCCCGATTCCCCTTACGTTCTTACATATTTTGTATATAGACAAATTAATAAAGTATAATTTATATGTCTGAACCAAATGTCAACGACATCTATTGACTGTTTTAAGTAATTTCATATTACATACGATTAACTGATGTCTATACTGCATTTATAGAGAGTTAAATCAAAATCGGTACAATAATTTTTACATTGGAGAGCCTAAACATACATTCTCACAAAAATTATGTATAATAAGACATAATGGTTCTAAATTTGACATAATATACAAGTGTTATAATATATAGTAATTAACATATTTAATATGTTCATATTAAATCATTATATATCACATTTTCTATACAATAAGTTTTTTTCTTCTTCCAGAGTTGAAATCTGTAACTTGAATCCCGACTCACTCGATCCTGAAGAATGTCCCGAGGGATGCACTAAGAAGTGGGAAATGTCTGTGTTTGAAGGGGAGTGGGTTAGAGGTGAGAATTATATTAATATAGTACATTAAATATACAGTAATACCCCGCTTAACTCGACCCCGTTATACGCGGTTTCACTATAACGCGAATTTCAAAAATTTATTCAGATTTGGACATATTGCAGAGTATAGATAATAATGATGGCCGTGCCTTGACCGTGTGTCAAACGATTAAAAACAGTGTTTGGTGTTATGAACTTATTTTACAAGAACGTAAACAAAACGCTACCCAAAAGACAATACATGTATTTTTTTTGTAAAAAATAGGAGTACCTATGTATTGCATAGTGTTCTTAGAATTAAAGTGATTGATTAAAATGATTTTTATATTTGTGTATTAAATTTTGATTGTGTTTAATCATAAACCTCGATATACGCGAATTTCAGTTAACGCGATTTTCTTCGGAACGTATCCCTCGCGTTAAGCAGGGTATTACTGTATATTAATCTATAATGTATATACAGGGTGGCCCAGAAAGACCGAAGTGGTGTGAATTGCTTATAACTTTTTATTTAAGAGATATTTTTTTAATTTTTTTTTTTAAATACATTAAATTTATGGGGAATATTTTTGGATTAGTTATTAAAAATGATATCCCGCAAGTGGTGGCCATATTCTGCTTCGCACAAATGTGCTCTTTCCAACACATTTTCCATGACCTTTCGCAAAACTTCCGGTGGTATGTTGTTAATTTCTTCTCGAATATTGGTTTTTAACTCCTCAATAGTCCTAGGCTTATTAACATAAACTTTTCCTTTTAAATAGCCCCAAAGAAAACAGTCTGGAGCGGTTAAATCCGGGGACCGCGGAGGCCAATTAAAATTGCTGTGCTGTGCTCTTGTGCTTTTTGCTGGAAATAAATTGCATAGTCAAGTCGTTGCTGGTAATCTGTTGGTTTCAATTCTTGGACAAGTTGAATTTTGTATGGAAACAATCCTATGGTGTGCAAAATTCGCTGCAGCGACGTTCTTGAGAGGCCCAGTTGTGACGAACGTCTCCTGGTTGATGTTTCTGGATCCTCCCGAATACTCTCCTGTACCACTTGAATATTGTCAGCCGTGTGGACAGTTCGGTGTCTGCCGGAACCAGGAAGGTTCCTTACTGCTCCTTGTTCTCGAAAATTTGCAACCAGACAGTTTATTGTTGACTGAGAGGGTGCAACCCGCACATTAAATTGACGACGGTATGCACGCTGAGTCAACACAATGGACCGTTGATTTGAAAAGTAAATTTCAACAATTTGGGCACGTTGTTCAATTGTGTATTGCTCCATTATAAATTATCCAAGTCTTCTTTACAAAATACTGAAAAGAAAAGAAAAAAAAATTATAATAAAAAAGTTATAAGGAATTCACACCACTTCGGTCTTTCTGGGCCACCCCGTATATATAAAAGAGATTTCCACCTATATATTGACTCATCAAGATATCTCTGGAATCATAAGGCGTAGCGACTTGAAATTTGATAGGATTATTACTTTTGAGTATAGGTCAGCTAAGAAAGGATTTTACGAAATTCCACCCACAAGAGGGTTGCGGGTGGTAAACAATGGAAAATACGCTTTCACGGCTAAACCACTGAACTGATTTTAATGAAATTTGGTACAGACATAGATTTGACGTTGAGAAAGAACATAGGATAGTTTTTTTTGCCAGACTTTTGAAAGGTTCTCTTGGAAACGTGATGTAATTGAACTCAAAGCGAGCGTAGCTGCGGGCGAAAAGCTAGTATTAAATAAATTGTTATTTAAATCTTAACTTCTATATGACTTGGGCCAATTTACTATTACTTTCTTAATTCTATAAATATGTATATACTGTTTACTAATGTGTAACTTTAGATAACTTAATAAAGAAACTAATCATTTATTTCAAGAGTTAAAGTGTTAATTTTATTAATTTCACTTTAAGTGATAGCTCTAATGTTGTAAAAAGTGTATTTGTGACACCCCCACTCCTTCAAACTTTTCATGACGTCACACAAGCCACGCCCCTAATCTTGACTTAATTTATTTATGTTTTAAATGTACTAGTTTGATTCGAACTAAAATATGACTTAGATTAAAAAAATTGTATAGTACTAGAAAAATTCCAAATAAAAGTTACATATACATTTATATTCTTAGAAACAAGACAAGGTTGACTTTTGTAAAAAATAATTAGCCAAAACTATTCACAACATGTAAGGCAGACCCTGGCTAAAGCTGGGAAATTGCCAGGAAGAACAAGATATATGATACATAATATGTTGCTCGTTTTTAAGGTGTAACCGCTGGTGGCTGCAGAAATTACTTGGAATCGTTTTGGAAGAATCCTCAATACACCGTTACATTGACAGACCCTGATGAAGATGACGCTGAGAACAAATGTACTGTACGTATCTTTATATATATAATTCTTCTGTGAGTGTGTATGTCACTGAACTTCTCTCAAACGACTGGACCGATTTTTATTAAATTTTTTGTGTGTGTTCAAGGGGATCTGGGAATGGTTTAGATTCACAATTTTGTCCGCTGGACAGTGTTTTTAGTTAATTTTTAATTTATTAGTAGTTGTTGATACAAACGTTTTTTTTTTGACATTAGATTTGACAACTAACTAATATGTCAATCATTCTGTCGAACTTCAAAACACGGAGATTTATGGCTTTAATAGGTAAACTCCAAAAATATAAATAAAAAAACGTAACAAATTTTTCTTGATTGTAGGGCGATACGAAGTTCGCCGGGTCTTCTAGTATTATGTATAATGATATTAAACAAAAGTACATAGCAAATAAATCTTTTATAAAAGGCATATACTATATCTATCAATAAATACTGATTCCTATTTTAAATTTTATGTTTTATAGTATAAATAAATTGTGTTAATTTCATTTAATCCAATATTTGTATATATCACTAGATTTTACCTAAAATTTCTTTTAAATAAAGTTATATGACTAACTTCCAAATTTTTTAGACGACCCGCAAATATTACAAAAAAAGACGTTAATGCAGTACTAGACAACCCACAAAAACCAAGGCCAAATATATTACCTATATTAATATTATTTTATATATTACAGATAATAGTGGCATTGATGCAGAAGAACCGTCGCTCTCAACGACACCAGGGACTCGAATGTCTGACCATAGGGTTCGCGGTGTACCGTCTGCCCGACTACGGACATGTACCCAAGCCTTTAGATGTGAACTTCTTTAAATACAACGCGAGTGTGGGCAGGTCGCAGGCATTCATTAACCTGAGGGAGGTCAGCGCGAGGTGAGACGGAAGATGTGGGGATGTGCGGGTGCGAGAGGGACGGAAGATGTGATGTAGACTGGAAGTGGGTTTAGAGTTAGGAGTTTGAAGAGATGAGAGATATGGAAGCGTGTAGGTGGGAGAGAAAGGGAAAATGGAACGTAGGGAGCGGGTCTTTTAGTGACTATGTGATATATGATTGTGTTAAAATATGAACGGAATAGAAAAAGTCCCCTTTTTTATTCTTGAAATATTTTATTGATGTGATAGTTAAAAAAAATAAGTAACTGAGTTAGATTAAGATATAAGACTTAAGTAAAAATTGCTTTATAAAACATTATTAATTATTGCCGTCTTTTTGTATAAACGTCATATTTTTTTAAATATACACTTTTTTTACATAATTGTATTAACAGACTGTATTCCATAGATTCAAGTTCGAGCCCGGTAGCTACGTCATAGTGCCTTCAACCTTCGAACCTGACGAGGAGGGGGAGTTCCTGTTACGAGTGTTCTCTGAGAAAACTAATAATATGACGTTAGTTATACACGCACACACACACACACACACACACACACACACACACACACACACACACACACGACCACATCATCCCTATATAAAACTCTTTGTAATTCCTATTTTCATCAAAATAAATCATTATAACAAATCTGTTACATAGAGACTTAAACTCTTGTATTTTAAATATGATATATGTACCTTAATATCTTATTATAGTTTCAATACAAATATGATGGTAGTCTTATATTTGCCAAACATAAAAATACCCTTTTTTATGTCCCAGGAAACATGAAAATACCCAAATCAATCAACATTAATATACAAAAATTATTTTTTTATCTTCTATATTAATGAAATTTTTTTCTTTACAGAGAGAACGACGAAGAAGTTGGCATGGGAGATGTGGATGATAGAGTGAGTTAAATATAATATATATTAATATAACACGAGTAATATATACCTAGAAAGTAATTATATATTTGAATTGAAATTTCTACTTAACATAAATAGGTGTTAGGGTTAAGTCCACCTCTAATGACTGAAATTTTCTTACTATATGAATTTTAATTTCAAATATAAGCTCAATACTGTCTTACAATTAAGACATATGAATAAACATATATATACAGGGTGACTGGTGAATTACTATCAATATTTAAGGAGCATACTCGGTACATGATTCTCATTCGAATTATGTAAAAAAAATAGGCACTTAATTTTTGACAAAATTTCCGTATAAATAAGTAAAGTGTTGACACGTTCCAAGTGTTCAAGTGTGGACGCGTGCGGCGACGTGTAGATATAACACCACGACACGACATGCGTATGTGTGAGTGTCAGTGTATACCTAATCTGTAGGGTGTTCACACGATGCGTAATTAATTACATAACTTTTGGTTAACTTTACTTAGAAGTTTATTAATATTTATGTTAAATTAATTTTTATTTTGTCATATATGATCGTCAAATATCACGTCCTCAAATATCGATAGTAATTCACCAGTCACCCTGTATAAACATTAATATATGGGAGTGTCAGCTAGGTATATAGGTCAGAAAAAGACGCCGTAGTTACATACTCTAACAACTTTTGTGAGTTCCCATCTCTCAGAAAATGTTAGATTATGTTACTACCGCGGTCACACGGGCGGTGAGGAAACAGTGGACTTGGCATTAATGGAGCTTATGGCCATATGAATGGACAAAATGGCCATATGGCCACAGCAAATGATGAAGTGGAGTGGCAAGACACAAAGAAAATATTGTTTACTTATAAGAGAATAAGCATATAATTTTTGACTATTATGTATATCTTCATATATAAAATTCTTGTGTGACTGTGTATGTCACTGAACTTCTCTCAAACGACTGGACCGATTTTGATGAAAGTTTTTGTGTGTGTTCAATGGGATCTGGGAATGGTTTAGATTCACAATTTTGTCCGCTGGACATTGTTTTTTTAATTAATTTTTAATTTATCAATAGTTGTTGATACAGACGTTTTTTTTTGACATTACATTTGACAACTAACTAATATGTCAATCATTCTGTCGCACTTCAGAACACGGAGATTTATGGGTTTAATATGTAAACTCCAAAAATATAAATAAAAAAAACGTAACAGATTTTTCTTGATTATAGGGCGATACGAAGTTCGCCGGGTCTTCTAGTATATATATGTATGTATGTTTTTCAGGTGAAAGAAATGGCTCCTAACCCCGAGCCCGCGGATCCTGTAAGAGAATTCTTCACGCGCCTTGCTGGCAGCGACGGGGAGGTTGACTGGCAGGAATTAAAGGAGATACTGGACTACGCTATGAGAGAGGGTGAGCACACACACACACAGACACACACACGCACACGCACACGCACACGCACACGCACACACACACACACACACACACACACACACACACACACACACACACACACACACACACACACATCTATATTATGTATAGAACACCATTTAAATATTTGTATTAATTGTAACATGTGTATTAATAGTTGAATAAGTCAGTGGTGGCCTAGTGGTTAAAAGGCCCGCCTCTCATGCACGAGTGCGCAGGTTCGATCCTGGCCGGGGCAAGTACCAATGTGATTTTCCCATTGTGATTTTCCCATTGAGAGTACCATTGTGAGTCATATGTACTTTCTAAGAGTATTTAGACATACTGATTAATGCATTCCCAAAGAGAGTTGATGTCAGGCAGGCGGCCGGACGTAAAAACAATTAGCTCAAACTATTCACAACATGTAAGGCAGACTCTGGCTAAAGCTGGGAAATTGTCAGGTAGAAGAAGAGATTCATTGATACATAAGCAAACGCACACACACAGACACGCAGACATAAACACACACATGTCAGAAATACAGTGACATATGAGAACTTAATAAGTAATATTTATAGGAGTAAGAAGCTCAAAAATAACAAAAGAAACAAACACACATTACATATACATTATACATATGTAATTATAATAATTTATATTTTTTATAGATTTTTATTTCTTACATTATTTCTTCAATTCACATAATAATAAGTAATTTTACTAAAATATGCATTTTCATTACACACTTAAGTAACATTACTTTTTACTGTGTTAATTTATTTTTTTGCTAATTTTGCTTAATAAATATGAATTATTTTTTGTTCTAAAATTCCACAATCAAGTAAAATAACACCTTTATGTTAACTTGATTGTAAATGACAATAATTTTTTTATGGTTATTACATATCTATTTATGTAATTTACACAAAATGCCCATTTCTATGTCACGAATTGTAACGCTTAGATTTAAAGATTTAATGTCGCTTTTGTAATTGTTCGCAAACCATCCGATGATGTATGTAAGTAATAATTTAACCTTAATTATAATTATAGGAATTTTTTGTTTGTAGACAATATTTATATTAATTTATAATTTGCTTTTATATGATTTCAATTTAGTGTATTAATATATATTTTTAACTTATTTATATTGTGATAAGCTTGAATTAATAAACTAATATAATAGCATACTGAGAATTAATATCGGGATACAGAAATGGCAATGCGACATGGTGCTTACGACGGGGGCGGGCAAGCTATACAAGCTTCACCGAATGAACAAAGCTGTTTGGAACAGCTTCTCTGCGCTCTCTGCACGCCGATATGCAAGGAAATAGGAATAGACTTGCAGCAAATGCAGACACAACCTGAACAAGTGCACCTCAACCAACCACAACCGACGCAAGGTTTGCGTAACGGATGTAATTTTTTATGTGATTCTTGTAAATTGTCATTGTAATAAAAAAATTACATTCAATTATAATAATAAATTGATTTTTGTAAAAATGTTTAAATGCTGATTTTTAAGTGAATTAGTAATGAAACGAAATAGAAATATGTACCTAGTTTGTTTTTAAAGTAATTTTTAAAGTAATTTTTGTTAAAGTATGTGATTTTTATGGATTTTTTTTTTAATAATTTAGATATGTTACAGGTAGCCGGTCATCGCTGCATGCAACTACAATAATGATAAGGCATTTTATCGAAATGGAGGATTATTACAAAATGTCTATTTTTATTTATTTATAACTTGTTTATTTACAGATGTTACAGAGATTTTTTTCTTTTAGGTTCATAAAAGTAACGCTTAATATATTATCTGAGCGTTATTTTTATTTTAATGATTACATACAACGCTTTAACAGCTACTAACACAGAAATGTGAATATTTCTGATCTCCACAGAAGTATTGACATTTCAGCTTAACATGCATGCGTTTATAATTCGGCACAAAAATGGGCATTTTTGATAAATTCAAAAACTATTAGAACATAAAATCACCTCCATTTCCATAAAATTATTTTTTAAGTACAGCTAGAATATATTAAAATTTATTTGTTCACGATATATTCTAGCTTATACATAGTTTGTGTAAATTTACACAAATTACATTATATTTATGTAAATTACAGAACTTAAAGGACAAGGATTTTCTAAGGAAGTCTGTAGGAGTATGGTTGCTATGTTGGACAAAGATAATTCCGGTGGACTTGGTTTCGAAGAATTCAAATCTCTTTGGATCGATTTACGTAATTGGAGGGTAGGTTACAGACTACTTAATAAGTTATGTAATATACAGATTTATATAACAAAATCATATTATTTAAATAATCCGTTCAGTTTTAGTCCAGTTGTACACTGACTGCTTCAAGCTCGACCCGTCGAGAGCTAATTTTAGATCTTAGTATATTATTCATTTCATCAAACCAAGACAGTGACATCCTAAAATAGTTGAAAAATTTCTCTTCATCACTTAATCTAAGTTCCATAAACAAATAATGGAATTGTCCATGTTGTTCTCTTAATTCCAAAATTGGATGAACCCAATATTTCTTTTTTGACGTCGCTGCCGTTTTCTCCGTTTGAGCAAAGCTAAAGCAGTGATTCTTCGTCGAAATCCATGACTAGACTGCGGTAAAAATTCAACTATGGTGGCCTTAATGCCTTAATGAATATCAAGCTAATAGTAGTAAAGATTAAATTATTAAAACAGACATATCAGGCTAACTTCAAATAATTATATATGTATATATATTTCTTTGAATCTTATATATAATGTATGTATATAATGTCTTCCCAGGCCGTGTTCCGTCTGTACGACGTAGAGGTTCGCGGCGCCATCCCCGCTCACAGTCTGAGGGACGCGCTGCACTCCGCCGGGTACACCGTCAACGCGCACGTGCTGAACGTGCTCGCTCACAGGTACACACGGACACATACATACACAGACACACAGAGATATACACACTAACACACTCATACATACAGGCATAATCACAAAGAAAAACAGACGCACACGAACACATTTCACACATACAGACACACGACCACATATCTTATACAGAAAAACATACACACTTACACACACACACACGCACACACACACACACGCACACACACACACACGCACACACACACACACACACACACACACACACACACACACACACACACACACACACACACACACACAGATAAAAACAAACATACACACTCATAAGACACACAGTCACACAACATAGATATGTAATTTTAAAATAAATGCTGTTGAGTCAATTTAGTTAATGTCAGTGTAATAATAGATTAGTAAACATAAGAGCGTATGTTAAATATTGTGATTATTATGAATAACACAAACTATTGAACATTGTGTGTAATGTGTTACTGAACCCCTCTATCACAAAATCTACTGTAAATATACATTCATCTTTTGATTTTTAATAAATAAATATATTCTTGAACTATATTCGATTCAAGAAATAAAATAACTTCGTGGATTACTTTACATTAAAGATAATTCCATTAAAGTTTAATAAAAGATAATATGCAATAAGAAATTTTAAATTGTTTTTCTTCTAGTTTTTTTATACTGTTGTTAATAAATTATGAACTCAATTCAGTTCTTTGAGAAATAATATATCTTTACTATTAGCTATTTTTTCTATAAATGCTTTTTTTAAGAAATATTTAAAATTAATTATAATATAATTTTCAGATACGGATCAAGCGATGGCTACATACAATTTGATGATTTCATAATGTGTTCAGTGCGACTCAAAACTATGATCGGTGAGTACATTAAACGTATATATAAAATATTCAATAATAAACAAATATATACAAATAATATTAAATTGGTAAAATATAGAGAAAATATTGTTAATTCTAACTTAGAATTATTTTTAAAATAACTTGTTAAGCTAATCTTAGTTATTTTCCACATTTTACTTTATTTTATATTTTATTGAAAGTCAATATAAATATATATCTTACTAGCTTTCCGCCCGCAGCTTCGCCCGCGTGGAGTTCGGTTATATCGCATTTCCAAGAGAACCTTTGAAAAGTCTGGGATAAAAACTATCCTGTTCTTTCTCAAGGTCAACTCCATCTCTGTACCAAATTTCATTAAAATCAGTTCTGTGGTTTAGGCGTGAAAGCGTAACAGACAGACAGACAGACAGAGTTACTTTCGCATTTATAATATTAGTAGGGATATATCAGTTTTATATAATATTGCTGTAGTTATAATATATATAATTAAAACAAACAGCAAACAACGAGCCGCTTGAGAATCTTGAACGAGAGCTGCCTTGAAACACAACGGACGAAAGGACACAAGTATACAAATATATATACTGTTGTTATACCATTTATATATAATACACCCACCATCCCATGTTGGTAAAGCGTGGTGGGCTCATTATAGATACCAGTTTGAAGAACAAAATAGTCAATTTTGAGTTTTTTCCCATATAAATTATATAAAAATGGTATGAAAATAAAGTATATTTAAACGTCTGCCTTCATCTGAGATTTGAAGGGGCATTTTAATTACACATTTCTGTCGCTAGATGGCGTTAACATATGCCACCTTCTAATCTCAGTTACATATTATTTGCGGGTTATCTATTATTAAATGTTTTATATATAAATATAAATTAATTATTCTCCATATGAATGTAACCGCAGATAATATTTCACGCTATCTAAATAGCACATCACTAAGCTTACTAACATAATCGCACCAAATATAATTATATATTAATATGATTATTATGTTTCAGATACTTTCCAAGGCAGATCATCGGGAGGGGATTACGCTACATTTTCTCTCGACGAATGGTTGAATCGCACAGTTTACTCCTAAACGCCTTATTACGTACGACATAAAGTCTAAAATCGTTCGCCAAAACATTATTATAGTCACAAATCCATTTATACGGGTATAAATCGCCTTATCAGAGTATTTTTGTATCCACCGATATATAAACTCATTCCAATTTATTGTGAAATATCCTTCAGTATCTGTGCGATAGCTTTTCAGTGCATATTTATCGAATAACTAATATTATATGACAATGCATTTCGCTTGCAAGTTATTTATATGACAATTTTTATTATTTTATATCTTTCACGAGATCTGAATATATGTTATATTAAAAAAGATGACTATCATTTTATAATACCTGAATTGATATAGTTCTAATAGCTATAGCTTATTGAATTATTTAAAAAGTTATTGATTAGATTTGTTCAAGAAACAAGTGTATTAAATTTATTTGAGATACTATAACAGAATTTAATAAATTCTTTTACCGATAAACTCATCACGATAAAGTAATAATTACTAATAATAAAAATTTTAATTATTTGGTTTTGGGATTAAGTCATGTGTAGAATATTACCATTTACTTTGTTAAGCGCCATTTACTTTACCAAACTTTAAATGTAACGCGACATGCGATAGGTGGACAAAGAAATGATAAAAATAATATTTACAACATAATTATCGTAAAAATTTATTTACAATAAAAGAAAATACTTAAATTATTATTAGTCTTCTTACAAGCCGGTATAAATTGTAATCGAACACTTGAACCATTTTGTTATTGTATTGGTATTTTAACATAGGGTGAGTCGGCTGGCCTTATAATGAGTTTAGTTCCAGCTGAAATAAAATATACTAAATTAAAATTAATTAATAATTATAGTCATGTATTGAGCATTCTTAAATATAGTTAAATCAAAATAAAATAACTTTTTCTATCTGAGATATATAAAGTCTACAAAAAAAATGTAATAACAATATGAACAATATCTATAAATGTCATATTTAACCAGATATATAAAAAAAATAATTCTATCCTACTAATATTATAATTGCGAAAGTTTGTGAGTATGTGTGTATGTTTGTTCCTTCTTCACGCTCAAACGGCTGAACCGATTTTTATAAAATTTTGTATACAGGAAGCTGACGTCCAGGAATAAAACATAGGCTTCTTTACATCCCGGAAATCCGCGGGTAGCTCCGCGAGCCCCAGCTAGTATATGTATAAATTTGTTCAAGAATACAGATCTATATAAATGTGTTTGTGTGTGTGTGTGTGTGTGTGTGTGTGTGTGTGTGTGTGTGTGTGTGTGTGTGTGACGTCACTCACCCATAATCGTCCCGTCAGCGGCTAGCACGGCTGTCATTTCAGCGGCCGGAACGCGCGCCAACATTAAGTTGAACATACGCTCCGAGCGGACAGCGCTGAACATTTTGTAGCGCGGCATCCAGGCTGTGATCAATCGACGCGGAGGAAGACACGGCTCGCCGTATATCTATATATAATACATAATAATTTACTAGCTTTCCGCCCGCAGCTTCGCCCGCGTGGATTTCGCTTATATCGCGTTTCCGAAAGAACCTTTCAAAAGTCTGCGATAAAAACTATCCTATGTTCTTTCTCGAGGTCAACTCTATGTCTGTACCAAATTTGATTAAAATCAGTTCAGTGGTTCAGACGTGAAAGCGTAACAGACAGAGTTACTTTTATAATATTAGTAGGGATTATATATGAATTATATTGAGTATTGTGGTGGGGGAGATATTAGTAGTATTTAATACTAGTTTTTGTACGCGACTTCGTCTGCGTTAGTTTCAGAATTATAAATGTATAGCTGACCGGGCGAACTCTATTCCTCCTAAAGACAGTAGTTAAGAAGATTTTGGATTAGATCAACTTATTTTTTTCCTTTTTAATCGGATGAAAAGTATCCTATGTCATTTCCTTTGTTATAAACTATTTCTCCACCAATTTTATTTGTAGTCATTCTTGAATTATAAATAAAGTCAGTGGTGGCCTAGTGGTTAAAAGACCCGCCTCTCATGCACGAGGACGCGGGTTCGATCCTTGTCCGGGCAAGTACCAATGTGATTTTTCCGAGTCATATGTACTTAATAAGAGTATTTAGACATCACTGATTAATGCATTCCCAAGGAGGGTTGATGTCAGGCAGGCGGCCGGTTGTAAATACAATTAGCCAAAACTATTTATAACATGTAAGGCAGACCCTGGCTAAAGCTGGGAATTGCCAGGTCGAAGAAGATTCTTGAGTTATAAATAGTGTAACTAACAAGACTTATTTTATACATATGTATAGATCACTAAATTCTATACAAACGAACAAGCAGCGACGTCTTATATGTATATCATTCTATCTAATCTACGTTGCTAAAAGGTTTAACCATTATCTTGTAAGTACTTTTTTTGTGACAATTTTTAAAAATATTAATAGCTCACCTTAACGACATAGTAAATAGACTTTTGAGGTATCAAGTGTTTTGAAATCACACCTTTGACTAACTGAAAAAAAAATACGATATTTAAATATTAAAAAACTGGAAATAAAACTTAATATTTCACTATACAGAAATCATAAATGAAAATCAAAAAATTAATAATAGATTAAATAATTGAAACTTATTCATGCATATAGGAAAAATATAACATACATTATAAGTAATCTTTTAAAAACCAAAACGTTCATAAAAACTAATTAAAAATTTATTGAAATAAATACAAAACTCCATATATATGTATATATGAAATTTTATCTTTTTGTTAATGTTGGTTGAATGTTTATATAATACATACATCGGGAAGGTAGGGTAACATATTCTTGAGTTGCTCTGTCACTTTAATTCTGGCTTCGTCTTCAACAGGATCTTTTGATGGGTCTATTTTTGTTGAAAGCTTACCGACATGATCTAAAACCTATAAAAAATATATAATATGTATATATAGATATATGTATATTGTATATGTAATTAAGTAGACAAAACTCACCGCTTTAACAATTTCATCTGAATACTTGCTCGAAGATGCTTGCAGTTGTTCAGGAGAAATTTTATCAAAATCTGAAAATTTATTATAATTATACAAACATTTAGAGCAATATTTTTTAAACAATTTTATTGAGTGACTTAAATTATATGAAACTTTACAAACAAACAAAAAACACATATGTTTCATATATAATGTGATTTTGGGTATATATTTTGAATACACACCAATCTAATTTATTTTCATACATTAAAACTAAAAATAAATAATATTCATAACTTTTCCATACCATATGGTTTAATAACAGGTGCAATCAAATCCTTTTCCAAAAGCTGTAATCTTTTCATTCCCATTACATCCTGAATTCTATACAATGTGGTGGATATTAATTGAAAATCACCGGAGTGTAGGAATATTCTTCGATATGTCCTACTCAATCCCATGCATGTTACAGAATTCTCATGATCTGCTATTTCTTTAAGACGTTTGTGTACTGTCTGAAATTAGACACATAATAGATTAATTAATATATATGTATATAAGTTTTGAAATCCTCGTTAAATCCTAAAACTCGTATAATTAAATTTATATCCAATCTTTATTAGAATTAATCTAAATACATCTTAATATACATCACAAAGCTTCAACATAAAAAAAGAGAAATATTAATAGAAGAAAATGTTACATAAATATTAATATCATTTATAATATTACTTTCAAGAAAATCAATATGTTATAATTATGTTCAAAATATAAATATATATATCTTACTTGTCCGACGGCCACCAATAATTTGTTATCAAGCTTCTTATTCAAGTCATAGAGCCCTGGATATTTACTTTGCATCTCCAACATTATTTGTTCGTGAGTGTATTTTATTACCTTTAAAAGAAATTATGTAATTGTTAAAATCTCTTCGATAAAATTAACTTGACGACATCAGTATTTATATATTTTAACAAAATATTCTAACTTATTTGAGATTAAAAACTTCAAGATTCTAAATGACTCTTAATATTTAAATATTTTAATTTAGATAAGGAAAAAATATACTCACCATTTCTGCAGAATAAATTGGCTGAGTTTTTCGAACCGTTACACCCTTATCCACATTTACTTGTTTTATCTGTTTTGTTGGTTTGAAGGGTTTTCTTACAACTGGTAGCTAAAAATATTATAAATATTAGATATTGTTATTAATTCACTAGCTAATACATATGACTTTGTCTGTGTGGCTTAGATACAAGATACAAGTAGATACAAGATCGATAACGAAACACATAGTCTTCTTTTTCTTTCTGGCAATTTCCCAGCTTTAGCCAGGTTCTGCCTTACATGTTGTGAATAGTTTTGGCTAAAATGTTTTTACGACCGGCCGCCTGCCTGACATCAACCCACTATGGGAATGTAAATAACTGAACACATAGTATTAATAAAGATTGTTGTTTGTTGAAAGCTAAACAACGATATATTAAATGGAAATATCTTAATATTTTGCATTATATAAGGATCAAATATCTAAATAATGAAACATAAAATTAAATTGAAATAAATCTTGTAACTATCCATATTGTAATTGCCTTGAATTGTAGAATAATATCTTTTTCCTTTGTATGTAGAGTAAATTTTACTGCTAAACAAAAATTATTAGTTGCACTAACTAATTCTAAATAAATCGGGTTCACTTACCACTTTAGGAGTGAATCTTGGTTTAACATTTGTGTTGTTGAGGGTATTTATAACATTATTTGCACTTTTTCGAAGTTTTAACTGAAATACAAATTTTTCAATGATTTTCTATTCAAAAAGTGTTCTCATATTGTTGACAGAGGAATTACATTTGATTTATTGGTTGTTATAACAATATATAACAATATAGAATGCTTATTTTACTAAAAATGTCATAAAAATTAGATAACTTCTAAATGAGTTAACAAATGAAGATTGCTTGTAAATATTTTTGAGATTGAAAAATATATACTCACGTAGGGTATATCTGGAGGTTGATAGGCATACAACTTATAAGGTCCTATTCTTAATGTTCTGACGGTTTTTGAAACCATTTGAGGATCAAGATTTTCTGATAGATAAACATAACAAGTCTTAGGTTTCTTTACTTTAGGATCGAAATTCAACACTCGGAACTGACCTTTAAGTACTGGTCTTAAAAGTGAATTTACCTGCTTGATGGAAAACTGGAAAAATAATATTAAAAGATAAGTTGTTTCTATTTATTTAAAGACAGTATTTACAATCAAAACAATATTTACCGTAATCGGAAATCCTGTTATAGCTATCGTAGTCATTTTACCGAAGATATATGATTAGTTAATTAATATCAAGGAATTATAATATTTTTCTATTTATTATAAATAAAACATTGATAACTCCGCAATATAAACTAAAATAATCAGCGACCAGCGGTGAACTGGAATGCTTAGTGACGTTTGACAATGAAATATGAAGTTATAATCCCGTTCAGATATTCAAAAAGTTTTACTTTATCCAAAATTTATAGATTCTTATAAGTTAAAAAACTGTTGTGTTTAGTTAATATCAAATATATTTAAATTAATAAAATTATGTATTGGTGCAATATAACGTAAATAAGATTAATTCAAAGATAAATTTTATGAAAACGAAAACATATTATAAGCATGTCAAAAAAAACTGCGGTTCTTTAAAATTCTTAACTGCCATTTATCAACGAGTACGATTTATGGTCAGCCATAGCTTTCAGGAAAACTAAAATTTATTGAAACGCATATTTTAATAAAAAAATAGATTTAAAAACATAGCTTCCACTTAAGACTATATGTCCCCATGTTAGGATATTTTAATTACATTTCTAGTTCGGTGTAAATAATATTCTGGTTCACAAGATCCGGAATAGGAGTTGGTTCAACGGAAATTAATTTTTTTTTTCACTGGATAGTGATCGATTGTTATTTTAATTGTTGATACTTAGGTGTGAATGAATCCGAATGTGGTCAATAAACTGCCTCAGGAACAACCTATTCCTTCAGACTTTCAAAACACCCAAATTATAATCCGGATGCTATGAAGGTCCACAAAAAAAAAATCCTTTGCACACTCTCTTTCCAACTCTGTTTAATCAAGGCTGGCTTCAGGGCTGAAATGATTCCACACTACAACTGTACGAGCTACGCTCGACATAATTGCGAAATCATGTAAATACACACATCATTTTTGTTTCATAGCAAAATTATGAAATACTGTAAATGCACGCATCATCATTCTTATTCTGTTATAAAATTTCGATAACTTATAATTATTTCAGTTTGCATTCGGTCACCAAGCATACCGGGCGTGCTCATCAATCAATCAATCATATATGTATTATAATATTATATCAAATTAATCAATTTATATCATTTTATTAAGTGTACGAGCGACCAACTTCCCGTACAACAACTATGCAGACATCTGCATAATCAAAAACACCCACCTATAATATGGAGCAAAGATAAAGTTGAGCAGAGTATGTATTGACCCCGAATTCGCCATAGGCCATCATTAACTACTCGAGAGCACTGTCTTTAAGAAAGTTTAAAATGCAGGACATCATTTCTAGTAATATCATAATATGCCAAAAAGGTTCCAAATCAATCAAAAGCTTTTGACACAATTAATGAAACAAAATAACGTCAATACTAAACCATTAAGAGATCTGCAATTGACAGAATTCGTTGAAACCCGTAGTGACATTAATAAAATCATTGACCATTGTCTTATGTATGTATCTATACAATATAAACTCCATAATTATCTTTATACAATTTTATGGAGGTAATTGTAATTCGACTACAACAAAACGAAAACTGATACTACAATAATTCCCGGCGATATTCGTTCTATTTCATAGTTTTCTTGTAATAAATAAAACAAAAAAATTAACAAAAATTTATTTCTGGTTTTCTTCTTCTTGGACTTTCATTTGATCAGTGTGTACATTTTTTTCTTGATTAATCATAATTTTTATTGCGTTCAATGTTGCTATATGTGTTTTCGTATTCAATGGCCGTACAGTTATGTGGCTTCCTACTGTAAAAAAAGAAATGAATATATATAATTTTTGATTTTATTTTTAATATTATAATTTATATATGTAAATAACTTTATTATATTTTAAATTTAAACGGAACAATATGCATGTTTTCAAATATGTTATATAGTTTCACACTATGCATGTGATCAATTTGGATATTATGCTGTTTCGTCTGCGTTTTATTCGAAAAATCTATCATAGATTTTTCAAAAATTTTAATGTTATACATTATATCCCTACTAATATTATAAATGCGAAAGTAATTCTGTCTGTCCTTCTGTTACGCTTTCACGCCTAAACCACTGAACTGATTTTAATGAAATTTGGTACAGAGATAAAGTTGACCTTAAGAAAGAACATAGGGTAGTTTTTATCACAGACTTTTGAAAGGTTCTCTTGGAAACGCGATATAACCGAACTTCACGCGGGTGAAGCTGCGGGCGGAAAGCTAGTATCAAAATAAAATTATATGTTACTTCGGCTTAGGTTTCATTTGAATATGAGAATTCATAAAAAAATATTATTAATAATACGAAAAAAATAATTATCAAAAACTTATGTTACATATTAAAAAAAATTCTAACAAGTAATTTTACTATTCTTTAATATTAAAACTTACGTATATCGGTCCCATCGGCTTTTAATAACTTGTTCAAGTTTGATGTCGGTATTTTAACAGTTATTAAGTTGTGAATCCTTTCCGATCTCTCAACAGATTTAAATGAAAACTTTTTAAGGAATGGTTTCATCTTTTTGTTCGGCAGAAACGGTTCACCGTAAATCTGAAATGTTATGAGAAGAAAAGATATATATTGTTTTAAATAATGTCTTAAATATGAGGTCAATGACCCTGTCTATTTTTCAATAATCCAGCAAGCCTTAGATACCACTACATTGGTAGAAAATGTTTTGTTGTTTAATCAAGACGATTACACCACATAAAGATATGAGTAGGATGTATAAAATAATACAGAACAAGTTCTGGCACAGCAAAAAGCATCAAACAATGTGTTATAAGCATTTAATATCTAAGACACATTAAAAATTCTTGTTAATTTGTTTGATTTTTTTTGTTCATTCTATATGATAACTCTTTATAATGATAAAAAATGATTGAGTTTTTTATAAAGAGTTGACACTGTATATGTATAAATACATATAATGTATATAATATATATTATAACATACCCGAACAACTGAAAATGTTTCTTTTCCTTGATTCTCAAATTTTTCTTTAATAATTGATTTTACTATCTGAAATTAAATATATAATAATTATTAATTAAATTTAATTATTTTATTAAACAAATTATATGTATAATTTACATTTGGTATTAATGGTGATAGGTTTTTTATGTGTTTTCTAACTTCTATTGTTGTCGAAGGATGTTTATGATTGTCAAAATCATAATTGTTTATGTGATCCATTATCTGAAATATAAAAATAAGTATTAATTCATAATATATAGTGAATAATTTGATCCAAAATGCCAGATAACAGAATACCTTATTAATTATTTTGTTTGAATATTTCTGGCTCAAATTCTTTGCTTTGTTTAATGAGACGCTATCCTCACCTGAAAAATATAAAATTTTTTTTTAAAATAATATTTAGTAAATTGTTTTACGATTTAAAATTTATAATTTAACTTTTAAGATTAATTATTTACAAGATTGTCTACCATATAGTAAGTTGTCACTTAAAGATAATTAGATGTCAATATATATAAAAATAAATATAAAAAAAACAATTTAAGTTATTTATAAAAGCTTAAATATTTATAATACATTTTTCAAGCAACTCCAAGACTGAACTTTATAAAACTTTGTAAGAATAACTGAAACTTTCTCTTATAAAAATATAAATAAATAAATTATAATCTGTATTGGAAATATTCTGATTATTTAGGAAACATTTAAAATGGTCTAGAAAATATTTAATATTATCTATATATATAAAATCATCAACACCTGCGACTGTGCCTTCTCTTTCATCGGAGTTCAATTCTTTTAAGTCTTTTGTTCTCACTGCACTAAGTGGACTTCAGCGACAAATTGAGTTCCTGGCCAGGGAAATGGATCGGACTGAAATGCAGAGACGTCGAAAAGTGCTCCTTTTCCATGGTGTTAGTGAGGTGAAATCCGAGGATGCCACTGCTCGCGTTACCAGCCTTGTTGCGGAGCACTTGGACTTGCCGGATGTTTCTACCAGCAGTATCAAATCTTGTCATCGCTTGGGAAGACCTTTGGACAGCAAGCCCAGACCTATAGTGGTCAAATTTATCGATACTGCCATTAGGAATAAGGTCTGGTTCGCCAAAACGAAGTTGAAGGGCACCGGTGTCACAGAGTCAGAGTTCCTGACGAAAAGCCGACACAATGTGTTTATGGAGGCCAGGAAGCGGTTCGGCATCAACAAGTGTTGGACACGAGACGGTTTGATACACATTATCGCCCCAGATGGATCTAGACATCGTGCCGAATGTTTATCTGATCTTGACTCGATTTCAACTCGTAAGTCCCCAGTACAAAAAATTCCCATCGCAAACACTGGCGATAAGGTTGCATTGCAGAGGTCAAAGCGCGTTGTTAAGAAATAGTTATTTTATATTTTATCTTTCTTCTTATTATTGTTTGTTTTCGTATAATTTTAAAATTATTTCTTTGTTTACATGCTTTCAATTTAATTTTTGTGTTGTGTTAAAAGTTAACGTCATTCTGACGTTTGTCAATCAGGCGCCATAGTTTTCTTGCTTTGGATGTTTATTTTTTTAGTTCTATACATAGATGTAATATAATAATATTCCTTTTTAGTAAAAAACTGTTGTTATGGCTGCCTAATAAATATATAATTATTTTTTTTTTTCTTGTTATTGTTAGTTTTTAATGTTATTATTGTTTCTATTTTGTTATGTTTGTGTTTAAGTGATTATTCCTAGGCAACTGGCGGGTGAGTGTTCTTATGAAATTAATTAGCGTATAATTATTCATTTACCTATATTTATTAATTAATATATATTATTATTATTTTACTTATATATATATATATTTTTTTTATATATTTATCTTTATATTTTTACTTATTTTATTTGCTGAATATTTAGTTTATAAATGTCTAGAAACAATGACGATTTGGATGAAACTTTTCTTTCTTTTTCTTCTGATGGATTGAGCAGTAATGACAGCTTTCATAGTATCCCTTCGCTCGGCGAAACTATAAATTCTTTATTCTCAGACTGTCTGAAATATTTTAATGTTATCCATATTAATGCTCAGAGTATTCCTGCACACTATCCTGATATGCTTTCATCATTCGATTGCAATAAAATACATGCTATTCTCGTATCTGAGTCCTGGCTTAAACCCTGCTTACCTTCTACTTCCTACTCTCTTCCTGGATTTCATTTGATCCGTAACGACCGTGTAGGTCGGGCAGGTGGTGGAGTGGCGATCTATCTCCGTTCTCACATTCCATTTTCTATTATTAGTCAATCGACACCTCTGTCCGTTGAAGGGGCTGAGCACCTTTTTATTGAGGCTATCTTTGGTCATATCAAGATTTTATTAGGTGTTTGCTATAGCCCTAACCTCACGATCGATTACTTCTCATCATTTGAGATCCTTCTAGAGCGATTTAAACCCATGTATGCCCATACCATTCTCATGGGAGATTTTAATACATGTATCTTTAAAAATGACCATCGCTCTAGACTGTTGAAATCTGTACTGAATAGTGCAGATTTACAAATCCTACCCCTATCTGCTACTCATTCCTTTCCTAATTCTATCCCTTCTCTTCTCGACTTAATTTTGGTCTCTTCCGTTGATCATGTTGAAAAGCATGGGCAGTGCTCCGCCCTTGCTTTTTCATATCATGATCTTCTTTATCTCTCCTATAAAATCAAACCACCCAAAGCAAAATCGAGAATTCTTCTGCAGCGTAATTTTGGTGGAATGGATTTGAATAGTCTGCGGGAGGATGCTGCCAACATTGATTGGAGTGCTGTTTTAAACTTTGATACAGTTAATGAGCAAGTTACAGTTTTTAATTCCCTTTTAACTCAACTGTATGATTTACATGCACCAATTCGTCCTGTCCGGCTAAAACACCTTCCTGCACCTTGGCTCACCCCAGAAATAAAGAAGCTTCAAGTAAGAAAGACTGTTGCCAAGGCTAAGTATAGGTGTAATCCGACTGATTCAAATCGCGACAAGTATCTGAAGGTTCGCAATCGCTGCAACAGGCTATGTAGAGACAGTCAACGACGCCATATCCATAAATCTATAGCTGAGGAAGAGGAGTCAGCTAGAGTCTGGAAATTTCTCAAGTCTTTAGGAGTTGGAAAATCATCTAATAACATAAATACTCACGATATTAATTTAAATGAATTAAATAATCACTTTTCGACCTCTCAAACCTTCGACACTTCTGTGAAGTCTAATACTTTAAAAGAAATTTCTGCTAAATCAACTCCTGAAAATTCTCCTTTTTTCTTTAGTCAATTTACTCATAGTGATGTTAAGAAGAACATTTTAGCAATAAATTCAGATGCCATTGGTTCGGATTGCATTAGTCGTAAGATGATCCTCCCAATCCTAGATATTATAATTCCTGTAGTCACACATATTTTAAACCAATCCATTATCCTTTGTGAATTCCCTGAATCCTGGAAAGACGCACAAGTCATCCCCCTCCCCAAAAAAACAAATCCTTCATCTTACACTGATTATCGTCCTATATCCATTCTCCCTTTCCTGTCTAAAGTACTTGAGCGCCTTATTCACAATCAATTAAACCAATACCTTTCAAAAAATGTCCTATTGAATCCCTTACAATCTGGCTTCCGTCCTGGTCATAGTACGACTACGGCTCTGATCAAAATAACTGATGACATTAGATTAGGAATGGATAATCAACAGGTTACTGTGTTGACATTATTAGATTTTAGTAATGCTTTCAACGCTGTAGACTTTGATATTCTTCTTGCTATTTTGTGTTCTCTTAACATATCTCCTAAAGTAATTGACTGGTTTCATTCTTACTTGTATGGGCGCCGGCAACGGATAAGAGTTCAAGATTCATTCTCAGAATGGGCTCCTATAACTGCTGGCGTTCCACAAGGTGGCGTGTTGTCTCCTCTCTTGTTTTCGGTCTTTATAAGTACCATCACTTCCCATATATCTTCTCTCTATCACCTGTATGCAGATGATCTTCAGATCTATTCACAAAGTAAAATTGCGAACCTTCATGAAACTATACATTTGGTTAATAATGATTTATTAAATATTTCTAAATGGTCTACTGCATTTGGATTACGAGTAAACCCAAATAAGACACGGGTGCTGATTATTGGTAGTTCAAAATTAATTTCTCGTATATCTTTTTCGGATCTCCCGGTTGTACACTTTAACGGTGTTAACATACCGTTCAGTGCTACAGCTAGGAATTTGGGAATTACCTTTGACCAGCACCTGTCTTGGGAACCACAGGTAAGTGAGGTAAGTAAAAAAATTTTTGCAGCCTTTGGCTCCCTTCGAAGATTACGCAACTTTCTGCCCATCCCTACCAAAACTATGTTAGCACAGTCACTCCTACTACCAATTCTCGATTATGCTGACGCATGTTATCTTGATCTAAAAGAGGAGCAACTTAATAAACTTGAGCGTCTCCAAAATCTTTGCATCCGATTCATATTTGGTCTTCGTAAATATGATCACGTTTCTGAATTTCGTAAAAAGCTCAAGTGGCTCCCAATCCGGCTTCGCAGGAATACTCACATCCTTCAACTTCTGTACTGTATTCTGTTCAATCCGTCTTCTCCTTCATATCTAAAAGAACGTTTTCAATTTCTCAGTTCTTCACATAGCCATAATCTTCGTTCTGAAGAGAATTTGGTCTTAAAAATACCACCCCATTCAACATCTTTTTACACTCACTCTTTTACTGTCCATTCAATTCGTCTTTGGAACTCTCTTCCACTCGAAGCAAGACGTGCACCAAATATAAATTCTTTTAAAAAAATGATAAAAGAGCACTATCTTGCTTCATGAAGAAATATTGCAATTAATTATTTTATTTATTATGTAAGTATCTATAGTATGTAAATGTATATATCTATAATGTGTATGTATATTATATTATTATATAAGTATATATTTATGGAATATTTATTTATGTATCGTATATATACATATATATTGTATCTATTTTTTTTTCTTTTTTTATTTATAATTTGTACAACCCTACCATCCTATCTCTCTCCTCTACCAAAGGTTGCCTGGAAGAGATCGCTGTTTTAGCGATAAGGCCGCCTATTTGTACTTTTTCCTTTCTTTGTTTTTCTCTTGTTATTTCTGTCTATATTGGTGTACATTAAAGTGTAAATAAATAAATAAATAAAATTCTCGTGTCGCGGTGTCAGACAGAGAACTCCAGAACTCCTCCAAAATAGCTGGACCGATTTTGATGAAATTTTATGAGCATTGAGTAGGTTTAAGAATAGGCCTTCATCTATTTTTCATAACCCTAAGTCATAAGGATTATTCAACCTTAATTTTTTTTCGGACGAATTGTTCTGTTGTTATTATTTTATAATGTAGCATTAAAAAATACATACAACCAAAAAATTTTTACTTTTTTATCACCAACCCCTATTTTTTATATGGCAAAACAACGTTTGCCGGGTCAGCTAATATAATATAGTAATTATATATGTTTTTACATTGATATCATACCATCACATTCAACTTTATAATCATAGAATTCAGTCTCATTTAATTCCATTTCTGGTAAACCCATTTCTAGCTGATAGTTTTTGTAAATATCTTTAATCAATTGTACATCAGTTTTATGAGGGAATTCATCACGGTAGCACTTGCTTAAACAATAGCAAGTGGGAAATTGTTTTTCTGTTTGTATTTTTTCCAATTTTTCATATATATTCTGAAATAAAAAAATAATTGATGTAAAGACAAAATTTGTAGCCATAAATATATTTTGCAATTAAAATCTTCTATTATAATAGTTTAGAATTTGTGAAAAATTTTATTATTGTTAAACTACATATATATTTAATTTAAGATTTAATTTCTTGTTTATTCATGGTCAGAGTTGATTTAAAGAAACCAAAACAAATTCATAAAAAACTATTAATATAAGAAAAACTTTAAACAGTACATGAGACAGTCTTATATATATCATTACTGGTATTTTAATTAAAGTTGAAAAGTAAGAACAAAAGTAATTAAGTAATTCATTTGTATGCAACCAACAATTGCAATGCAATTTTTAATACATTGCATTATAATTCTTAATAAATTGCATTGCATTTTTTAATAAAATAATAATAATTACCTGATATAGTGTTTTCAATAAAAAGTGATAAGTGGAGCAGCTCAGTTCATACAGTTTGTTGAATTTTGACAACATTTCGATCAATATTTGTTCATGAGTAATAGTTAATACCTAGTATAAAAAACAAATAGTTAAAAAAGTCAGAGGATCACTATGATTATATATTAATTAGTTCATATATATATATATACAGGTAGACTGGTGAATTACTATCAATATTTAAGGAGAATACTCGGTACATGATTCTCATTCGAATTATGTAAAAAAAATATATAGCTTATTAGTCAAATGAAACTAATATTTTTCAGAAGTACTGCAAGATGCTTGTCTGTCTATGATCACGGTTGCTGTAAAGTAACCAAAACATCAGGAGTATGTAGTTTATAGTCAAAAATAGAAATTGCATAGTACATTTGAAAATATAAGTTTCATTTAAATGAATACTCGCAAAAATCTTAGATCTCAGTGTTAGACAAAATCCATTAAGTTCAATGTAAAGTGCATTACGTTTTAATGTGATCAAGGTTTATGTTACAAAAACATTTTTTGGTCTTAAAATTTTATTATACAAATAAAAATTAAACAATAGAATTTTTATAAAGCTTACCTCTTCTGGTGTGAAATTAAGAGGTATATTTAACGCCTTTCTTAGTGTGTTCGGAATTTTCTTAGTCTTCTGTGGTACTTGCAACTAAAAAATATATACATATATTGCAGTATTAATTACTTAGAAAAAAATATATTAATTTCAGAAGATACTCACATTCATATCATTGTCTGGCAAAAATGCCTGTAGTTGAAATGGAAATCTTGTTCTATTGATAAGTTGTATTGTAGAACGCGTTTCCAATCTATGTGACAATTTTAAATAAAACGTCTTTGACTTCGTTTTATTGTTCACGCTAAACGCTTCGAACTGTCCGTGCAAAACGTGAGCCAGTTTCCTTATAAATTGTTCTAAAGATAACTAAAAAAATACATTTTATTATTACTTTTTACAATACAAATAGTTTTTTGTTGTTTATTGAGCAAGGATACCTTTGGAGGTATTCCTCGAACTCCGATTATAGACATCTTATTAAAGTTATTTTCACTTAAGTTTAAAATACATAAGATTAAATGTGATACAACAAGAATAATTATAAAATGTGTTTTATAATTGTAAAATAAACATTTATCGTTTTATTGACAACTAATAATCAATGACTGACAAGTAGCGACGTCAAGGTGTTGCCGTTTAATTAATTCAAAACCTTGTAAATCTATGCCGTTCACTAATTTTACCTTTTATAAAACATTTAAATTTTTAATCAAATTAATTCAAGCATCCAAATTGCTTAGAAGGACAATTGTCTTTAAAAATATATTATACAATATTTTAAAATACATTCTCGACTTCAAAGATTACGATCCGTTGTATTGATGTGTAAGTTTTTTAATTAGTTATTTTTTTCCCAGAACAGTATCATTTAATCTTTCAAAAAAATCTACGGTAGTAAACAAAACAGTCCCATTAAAATCCTTTAATCGTGACCTTCAGTGAGGAGGTAATTATTTATTTTGTTTGATAAAATGTAATCAATAATGAAATTAAAATGTCAGATTGACTTTGACAAAACAACAATAACACATTTTTAATGTTAAATAAACGAAAAATGTTTTAAGTTAAGTTGTACTTTATTTAATATAACATTATATCAGAAAGTTATAAAGTGAAATATTATGTTTGTTGAAGCTTTTTTGCATTATTGTGTTTACATTCCATGGTTTTGAATTCTTAACTTGCTACATTTAACTTTGCATCGCATATTGCAATTATAGTCCAATATTCTTTTACTCGATGTACAGAAATAAAATGGTGAACGTAATCATCACAGGCCTTCCGTATAACGTAATTATCATGTACTTAAACCAATAAGTTTTGTTAAAATTTGAAAAATTAAAAAAAATTTTTTTTTTTAGTTAAGAGTCCATAAATTCATCGACTTTCTGCTGTATAACTTATTTCAAGAAAATATTAAAATCAACGTTAATTACGTATGCAACGACGGGGATAAAGCAAAACTATCACTGAGCATGAGGTCAAATGAAGCCCGAAAAGTGGTCAGATTCCTGAACGGGTATGAATTTACATCTCGGAGGCTGAAATATCCATTACAATGCTGGAAAGAAAACGGCCCTTCAGATATAAACAATGCCGATGATTCACAACCATTTACGGATCTCCAAGAAACCTCTTTGAATCAACCAGATGAATTACAAGCCATAAATGTAAGAAAAATATCACATACTTTCTTAGCTATTGATAGATTAATATTAAATAATATATTTTTAAAACATACTCTAAGTAGATTCTTTAAAAAATTATGAGTTATCTTAATAAATTAGATTTATTGAGTATTAATAATTAATTATTTTCAGCGTCAGATACAATTGATAAAACAACAAAGAATTCTTATAGAAGAGGAGAGCAAGTTACTTATTGAGAAGAAACGACTTGAAATGATTCAGGTGTGTTCAATAATATTTGTTTGATAGTTCAAATATATTATTAAGTAATTGTAAAAATATAATGGTAATAATTACAACAAGCTTTATTTTGTACAAAAAAATTAGGTGCGATATGATAAAATGGTTAATTATTTTATTTTAAGCCTAAACCATTGCAAATATATTCCTATTTATAAATTATATTATGGGTTGAAATTATTAAGATGAGGGTTTAATTTATAGCTTATTAGCTTATATTTATACATTAAGATATTTATCGTATTTTTCCACAGAATCTCGGACCAAATGATTTCCATAAGCTATGCATGTTGTATCAGAAAGCGAATGACAAAACTGAGTTGTCCACTACTGATATTGCTCACGAACCAACTAAAGTACCCGAATTTATTGGACCCTGCAAATTTATATTTGGAGAAATGACACAAATAATAAAAAAGAAAGTTGAATATAAATATCGCATTGCCTTCATGAAATTTTTACGCGCGAATGTCAGAAAACGTTTGTTGTTCGCGTTAAAAGACGAAGCGTATATGTCTTCAAAGGAGATATTTGCTTTTTATAGAAAGCTCTATCCCAAAGAGACAGATGAAAATCTTGTTCAAGAGCTCCTGGATATTGTGAAAAAAAATCGCATGACTTTTTATGTATCGAATACGGGACAGAAAAAATATAAAGGTAATTATCAAAATTAAATTATGACCGCCATCTTGATAAGTTTTTGACATAAACACATTAGTTAGAAAATATTTAAAAATGACAATATATAGATGTATGTATATTTTTCAATAATTGTCTGAGATGAAATACTATCGCTGTTAAATATTAATTTTATATAGGTGTTTAAATACCCTATTTATGTATTATTCAATTTAATAATATAAAAATCTTATGTAAATTGCTTAATAAAAGTCGGCTAATTTTGCTTCTCAAATAATGAAAAGTAGCGTTCTCTCTGATCTACTCTGTAGACCTCGGTCTAGACTTCAGTGAAATTGTTACAACATTTGCTATCAACCAAGTTTTTGTTCCAATTCTTGTCTAAAATGTGTAATATACTTATAAACTCATATTAGAATATTTCTATTCTATAGTATCAAACAATGCTTTGTATACTAACTACAGTCAATTTCCTATATTTCATTTAAAAAAAAACTGTTTTAGTTACAAACTCGTGGTAGGCATACTATTTACATTAATTTTATACTAAATATTAAATAAATATACTTATCTAAATGTTTTCCGGATTTTCAACAGGCATAAAACCTAACAAAAACTGTACGGCTATTATAAAGGATGATATGATTTTCTATGAAGATGTAAACACTGATTTTGAAGATGGTTTTACATTGGATACAAGTCCAATACACAGTGATTTGTATTACAAAAACATGGAATATACAAACGATGGCGTGTGTTGTGAATATGATAATCAAAATGCTAATGAAGACTTCGAAAGATCATACGAATATGAAACGAAAGTTATAAATAAATTTGACAATGATAACGAAGTATTTGGAGACGAATTTATAAAGGAAGACAAAGATTGTATGACTGGGATCGATCAAACGGCAACGGAAATGGCACTTGCTGATGATTTTGATATAGAAAACGATTTAGACGACTGGCTTGAAGATGATAAAGACAAGGTAATTTTATAAACATTAAATTAAACATTTAGGGAAAATTTTGTTAAAATATTGCTATCTACGATTTTAGTGTTTTTTACTACCCGGTTATAATGAGTGTAAGATAAATATGATATACTAAACCCAATTTGGGGTTGCATCAATATTATAAATTGTATAATTAAATAGAAATCCACGCAGCCAATATATGTACATAATTTAAATTTTTTCCAATCACATGTATATCTTCTTATATTACAGTATTAATGTAGTTATGAATAGAAAACTTGAAGTTAGAAAACAGTAGTTATTAAATAATTATGTATATATATTTTAGATAGTTTTTTTGTTTCAGGTACATTACTGAGGCAGTGAAAATTGAATAAAATTACCTATTTTAATTACATAGATATATGGAGCTATAAAAAGAATATTTTTTGTTGTATAATCCATAAATCTCCTTCCATTCATTACTAACTTACACAGAATAAATTATGATAAAAACTAAAACATATTTAATTTAAGTGTTTTATTCATATAACCCTGGAATATATCAACAGTGCTATTATTTAGAATAAAAGCTTAAAAGTATATATCTTTGTTATATATACATGCATATATATGTATATATAATTAAAAATCTTCCAAATCGTCTTCATCAATTTCGTTAACTGAATTAAGGAGATCATCTATTTGTTCCTCATTAATTTCATTGCTTGTTTCTTCAACTTGATTGTTTTCTATTACATCAGAATCGCTAAGATTCTTTGAAGTATCTATAGTTTCTGTATTTTCATTACTTTCATCTATTATCAAATCATTAATACTGTTTTCTTCACTTAAATTACCATCAGATTGTTGTGTTGTATTTTCAGTGACATTTTCTTCACATATTTCTTGAGTAATATCATCTGTAGTACTTTTCTCTGAATTTTCAATATTATCTGTGGTCGAATCATTTTCATTTCTTTTATCTTGACATTCAGAATCGGTTATAGTATTATCAATATCGTTTTCTAAATTATCATTAACTGAAATTGTTGTATCTTGTATTTTTATATTACCATCTTCGTTAACATCAGAAATTGGTAGTGAATCTTTCGTTTGTGTAGTTTCTTCATCTGTATTGGAATTATTAGTTGTTAAATTTATATTTTCTTGTAAATTTCCAACATCATTAGCCGGTGTTGAGACTGAATTGTTTATATTTTCATTGACTTCTATAGTTTCTTTAGACATATCATTTTTATCACTGATTATAGAGTCTTTTGGTGTTAAATCTTGTACAACAATCTCATTCTGATCTGTTGTATTTTCCAAGTTAAATGATTCATCATGTATTAAAACCACATCATTTTGATTTTCTATAAACATAACATCTGAATCGTCTTTATCTTCTAGACTTTTATCTAAGTCTGTTGCCGTTAAATCTACTTCTTCAACGTCTTTCGATGAATCACCTTTTTCGTTTTCATTTGGTACAGTATTTTCATTTTTAGATTTCTTCACAGGTGGACCAATTAAATGCAGAGGTTTTATTTGTATTCCAATATTATCACCTTTAAAAAAATATATTATTTTTATAATAACATATATGTCATTTATTTTGAGTTAATTTTAGCTAAAAATTATTTATATATTTTAAAATAGGTATAACCAGTGGCGGCTGGTGGGTTATCGAACTGGTGGTGCACTTTACTAAAATATTAAAATTAGAAAATGCAACAAAAAATAAATTGAGATACATTAATAAATGAGTTGAGATACAATAATAAATAATTGGTGGTTCAGCGCACGAGTGCACTTAAGGTACAGCCGCCACTGGGTATAACTATTAATGGTTAATGCAAAACTGGGCTTGTACTTATTAAATGGGCCTTAAGCCTATTATTTTGCTTTAGAATTTAAATGAAATTATACATTTGTAAATGACTGAATTACAAGGAATAAAATATCATAAGTAACTTTTTAAAATAACTAATGTACTAATGTTTTATGTTAAAAACAAAGAAATTACCGAATGTAGCTGTCTGTAGGGCTAACATTCTGTCATAATTCTCATATGAGTCACAATATGCTATGAGCATCTTTGAACTATTCTCAGATTTCTTGAGGCTAACAACACCGTGTCTTTGTAGGAATGCTTCCAATACATCTCGACTTGGTAACTTCAGTGAAGGAAATATACGAACACATAGACCTGTTGTTATATTCAAAACACGTTTCGTCACTTGCAATTTTATTACCTGTAAAACATTAATATGTTATTAATATATAATCATATGAGAAATCTTCGTTTAAGTATTTTTTTTTTCGGTATTTGCTATAGATTATTATCTATTATGAGAAAATATTATAAATATATTCTTTATATGAAAATTTCCCAAAGCGAGTTGATGTAAGGCAGGCGGCCGGTCGTAAAAACTATGAGACTAAACTGTCCACAACATGTAAGGCAGACCCTGGCCAAAGCTGGGAAATTGCCAGGTAGATGAAAATTCTTTATATGAAAATTATTATATAACATTAGAATAGAAAATGTCACAATTGTTAAAGGATTTTTATGCCTAAAAGATGTAATACCAACAAAAATTACTTTACTCTCATTTTTTATTATAATATAATATTCCTACCTTCTTGAATTCATCAACTGTGTTTCTTAATATTATATTCCTGACAATCTCTTCGTCCGGATCATTAGACGGATCACATGCATTCAAATACTGGAAAAAGTTTCAAATACTATAGTAATCAGTTTGCAACATTACAACTTCAAATTATAATAAGAATCAAATCTTTCTATATACATAATTATTCAGACATATTGTAAATATATTATCTGTGAAATTATTTGCTAATTGTTTTTGTTTTTTAAATATAATTGATATTTTATATGCCACAAAGTTTCATGTACAGATCCACATTTCTCTTTGGGAACAAAGATCATATTTACTTCTTATAAGTGATTCAAATACATATTATATCTTACACATTGGACCAATTGTTCAATTTCATTATCAACAGCTTCTTGTAGTTTTGGTTCCATCTTGTAGAAATCTTCTTGATATTCCAACATCTCATTCTTCTTTAATTCTGAAAACATTGAGGTAGAAATATTGTGATTAAATTTATTGAATTTTATATATATATCATATTTACAAGATGAAAATCAAATAAACAATGTATTTAATATATACTTACTTCTTAATTCTTTTTTATCTGAAACAAATAAATTTTAATGTATTATTATATTTGAAAATTATAACTGGTAAGAAATTTTTGAACTGACATTAAAATATTACCTGCATTAGGATATTTTGGTAATTTTTGGTTATTTTGTACCTTTGCTATAACTTTGTCAGTTTGTACTTGACTTTGATTTGGTAAAACATTCTTATTTGCTCCTTGAATATTGGAATTGCCATAAATACCTGCAATGAAAAAAAATTATATCTAAGATTTTAGCATGCATATTTTTAAATAGAACCAAGACTTTAAATGCTACATGAATATTTAAGATGAATTTTAATCTCGTCTGCCAGTGATTACGGTTGCTGCAAAGTAACCGAAACGTCGGGAGTATATAGATTAAAATAATAAAAAACGCGTAGTATATATGAAAATCTCAATTTTGTTTAAAAAAATAAATGTGCTTTTGCTATAATTTTCATATTAGTTATATATTTTCATATAATTTGTCCACCTACTTTGTGTTGGTGCATTCGCTGATCTAAATTTCGGATCCCGCGGATGTATTTGAATTTCATCATTTTTGGGAACTGGAAAAATACAAAAAAAAAATTAAAACAAAATTTATTTCTTACTTCAATATACGAATTATTCAAATAAATTGAACATATATGTTTATTTTTCAATTTAAATTCATTTTAGTGTCACAGTTTGATTTGTAAGAAAATTATATACTGAATAAAAATTTTTCCTAAGTGTCGAAAATTTTAGTATTTCTTTTCAATAAACACGTATATGCTTATCAAATGGACTTAAGAGAACTCGTGTGTTGTTGAACTTATATTTTTTGACCCAGAGAAAGCTACTGTATAGGAATACTCAATTTAAATCAACGGCTGAATTTATTATAGTTCAGTATATTTGTACTCATCGATGTAAATAGACAAAGAAAAAAAGGAGTTATGTACCTTTGCTATTATGTAATGTGGGAGATATTTCGCAGAGACATTTAAATTCAAAGCAAAAAATCGAACAATATAAAGAGAAGAATCGAATCAGTTAGATGAGAAATAAAGCTTCGTAGGTCGTAACCAGAAGTTTTTGGGTGAGAAGGCTTTGGCTTAGAGGTTCCAGAGTAACTTTAAAACTCAGAGTTTGCAGATAATTCTAATCTGTTTTTTTACTCGTTCCAAGTTAACTAAGACGTGGTTCACATAATGCTCAACTAATTAGTGATACTAATTTTATGTCTAACTGTTAATCAATAATGACTGGTGATCATAAATTATCTAATATATATAATCAACTTAAAATATTGATTAAAACAAAACTAAAAGGAAAAAAAAAATCTTACGATTTGCAAGAATTAAAATTCTAAGATTAGACATTTAAAATATCTGATTTAAGATTAGAAATCCCTGTAATTACAAATATTTCAGGGCTTGTTCCGCGATATTTTTCTTTTGTAAACTATCACCATAATTTTTTCATGAGGTTGCAAGAAATTTAAGCAAAGCTTTTTTGTTGACGTCAAGAATTACTTCAATGAAAATACAGACAGATCCATGGCCTAAATGAACATTAAATGGAAATGTTCAATGACACATGAAAAAAGCCTTGAATGATGCCTTGAATTTGCAAAAAATGTAAAATTTTGCAATCCGAGGCAATTCAGATCGATTTAAGCTCCTCACTATCAAAGTACGTTAAGGGAATTGATTATCCATTTGCCAGAACACAATTAGTGGAATATATTGTATGTTTTCACCAGAACGGGTTTTAACCATTTGGTTAAAGGTTTCCCAGTGAAAGGTTTCCAGGCATATTCTTCAAAAAATTGTCCAGGTGAACAATTTGCCTTTTAATTAGGACTATTAGGAAGAAAAATGTAGGAAAATATGGAATTGGATTAAGAGGGATGGATGTATGGTCCGGGATTGTGTTTTCATTCATCAAAGGAAAAATAGATTTTCTCCGATATAATCAGCTGTTTTGCGCTGATTTTCTATGAGAGAGAACCATATCGATGGATATAGCATCAGCTGGAGGTATCTAGACCACAGCTAAGCTGAACCAGCTCATTAATAATTTAAATAATGTATAAAAACGTTACCTGATCCAACAGCATTCTCTCCAATTTCGCGTTCTACTTTCTCCATGATAGCCTTGAAGAATGGAATGTCATTGCATTCATTGAATTTCATGCGATAACTAACCAATACTTCGTTCAAAGATGATATTATTTTGTCCCCCAATATAACATCCAAACGTAATGTTACACACTCCCTTAGCTTTTTGAGAAGGATTTTGAATACATAGTTGTCAATCTTGGTGGTTGAACCGTTTTTAATTACTTGTTTAGCCAGCAAAGTTGCGGCTTGGCTGCGCCAATTTGCAGCGCGCATAATCATTTTTTGTGGGTCAATGTTTGTTGTTGCGGCATCTTGATTTGGATTCTTGTTGGCCTGAGCGAAGCTATTTATGTTTTGTTCGAATCGCGGTCTCTTTGCCGGTGGGACAATGGTAGCAGGCTGTCGTGGTGGCATTGATTTGGCTTGGTTGAATGTCATTCTATTGCTAGACGGCTGACCCACGAAACCGAAGTTAGCAGTTGTCCCGAAAACATTGCTGTTAGATTTCGAAAATGTAGAATTTTCAGGGTTGCTGCTAAACGTTCTTGTAGCCACGTTCGGTTTTTTAGACCAGACATAAATATTTTGGTCCGGTTGTGGATTATAACGTTCATTCCGATCGTATTCACTCCCTCTTTTTCGATCGCTACGATCGTGAGTGTTCCGCTCACTATCACGTTGCCGTTCGTGGTAAGAGTCACGGTCACGTTTCGATCGTCTTGATCGTGAACTTCTCGGTTCCGTGTCACGCCTATCCCATGATCTATCACGAGCACGACCTTGTGATGGCTGTCTGCTATCACTGAGATCACGCCGCGATCTTCGATTCTCCCATTCGGAGTTCATTTTACCATCAGACCTAGACTTCCCTTGGTCGTAGTTACCAAAACTTTCGTGACGCTTCGACGGCGGTGATTCATTTTCCCGATAATTCATTTGGTTGTCGGGACGTGCGTTGTTGGTACTATCACGATCGTTTTGGTAACTTTCATAAGTCTGCGGTACGTTTACTGATGTAGGATCTTGTATTTTATTCGCACAAATTACATTCATGGGGTAGCCCCATGGATTTAGTGCTTGATATGCAGATTGAGTATTTTGGAATGTCTGTTGGTTAGAACTCGATTGCTTATCTTGGAGCTGGTCATGGTTCATAATAGGATTCTGTGAACAAATACAGCAAAAATCTTAGCTTCAATCAATCAAAAGCGTGAATGATATTGACAAACATCCACGGTTATGTACATAAGATTGTGATGTTAAAGATCTGTAGTGCTTACAACTATTATAATTTTCCATAATGGATACCTGTGATAGGAAAAGTACTTTTGATTTTATGCCTAGAAAGATTCTAGGATAAAAGTGGGAGGTAACATAGTTGATAGCACTTTTGCCTAACTGTGGCAACGGCTTTTGTCAACAAATGTCTCCTCACAATATTTTTGTGGCTTTTATATTCGCTAAATTAATCCGTCCTTATTTTTAAGAACAGAACAACCACAAATCTGCCATAAACGTCTGACGTGAAAGACAAAATATCTCTAGAATCACTGCTACTTTTTACGCTTTCCATATTTTTGGGTGCAACTTTTAAAATATATCAGATAATCTTCACTTATATATTTTTTATATAATTTTAAACTTATATATTCATTTTTTAACATATGGCCAGAACTATAACATATAACAAATACATAGGGAGAAAAAAATTGTCCCTGATGATTATGATGATGAAATTTTGTTTAAATTAGCAAAAGCTTTTGCAGAAGAAGTAATTATAACAGTACGTTATTTAAAACAAAATTTTCACGTAAACATATAAATAACAATAAAATCTTGAGATACTACATGAAGTTCCGTTTAAAGATTTTGAATTATTGGGTACTGTTATAATAATTTAAATTTCATTATCAATTCGACAATTCAGAAGTGTGGTTTACTCTGGACTTATAAGAATTTTATTCACTTGTACGCCGAAATGAACTAAATACTCTTGAAATACATTATTAATAATATTATCAAATAAGAAATTGGTCATCAAAAAACAAAAAACCATTGGTACATTTCCAGGTTTTTTTTTGGCTAAAAGTAAAGTGCTTACAATTTTATTACTTTGCCAGAATCATAGTTTATTTCTGCCAACTGTGTGATTGAGAAAATGCATTTAAATGAATAGTATAATATAAATCAAGGTTACAAATAAATTACTCTGGTAAAACTAACAAAAAATTGCATAAAAAGTAAAAATAATAATAATGACTAAACAAATCTTTCTTTTAACATGCTAATAATACTTTTTATTATATTTTTATCATGCTGATAATGCTAAAATTTCTTTTTCTGGTAGTCCCATATATATGTATTTTTTGTATGATAATCCAGCGAAAATAAGTTAACAATAGTATTCTCAAAAATTTGCCTGCAAGTAAAACCAGGGCTAACATATATTGCAAAGTAGAAACTATCAAAATCCCTCTAAACCATTGAAGTTCAATATCATTTTACTCAAAAGGAATGTACATTTGGGGCTACCAAAAATAAATGCATTCACCAAAATCAAAATAGTAAAATTGTGAATTCAAAATATAATGTCCAAGGAAATGATAATATTCTTCAGAGACAAAACCTCTCATCATTCCATGTATTCACAGTGCATGTGTCGGGTCCATCGTTGTAGTGAGAGGAGCTTCAACAGTGACTGGGACTTGTGACCCAGGTGTGGGTTTAAGGGACCCTATCTAACGCTCGTTATACGCTCACCTCCACTGTTAAAGCTCCTCTCTACTATTATTAGATTATTAGGGCTCAAATTAATAATTTTACTTACTGTAACTTGAGTCATATAATAAGGCATATTGCTGTAGTTAAGTCCCATCATATTTGTTGCTTGAGTTTGAAGAGGATATTGTATCTGAGCTTTCATAACTGTTGGTTGCAATCCCGATGGGATTGTCGTCAAAGAAGGTGGTTGTAATCCCGATGGGATTGTGGTTTGGTAAGACTGGTTTGAATACTAGAACAAAACACAAACATAACATTTTAATTGATAGAAATTAAAGTATCGAATATTGATAAACTGTTACGTTAAAACATAGTCTTAGTTCAAAGATCTAAGACTTGCAAGTATTCATTTGGATTAAAATAATGTTTTCAGGATACTACACGTTATTTTATAATAAAAATATAACTCGTGTTCCCATAAACACAGTGGAAAAGTAACCAAAACGTCGGTAGTATGTAGTTTTTAATAAATAATAGAAAAACGCCTAATAATCCGAACATGTAGTTTCTTAGTCTTAGTAAAGTTTTATGCATGAAAGTAGTGAAATATAAAGTTAATGCGCACCTTCTTTTGTCGCACATCTTCGACATAAAGTACACGGTTCTTGTACAGCTTGCCATTCAATTTTGTCATCAATAAAGCCGCATCTGCCTCCTCAGCTAGACCAACAGTAATGCGTTTTCTGTTGCCCTCATTCAACAAGTTGTCTAGAATAGCTTCGCTCAACCCACATTCATCCTGTATCAACTGCTTTACATCATGGTATGCTGCCTGAAATGAAAGTTAATGCCTTAAAAACAAGTACGAGATATATTACTGGAATTTACTTATAAGTAATCCTTACATCTTTCGGCAAATTGTGTATTATAAGAAGCATTTTGCAACGCTAAAAACTTATTTTTTATTTTAAACGTATAAGTAACTTTTTACTCAAATGGTAAATGCTTTTACACATAACAATTAACAATATCGTCAATATCTTTAATTGCCAAATGGTTGACGAAACGCAAAAGACAAATAGGTGTTGCCAAGTAATAGAATTGATATTTAAGATATCTATTAAAATTAAAATTATTAAAATAAAATGAGTAATAGCAAAAAAAACAATCTTCAGTTTATTTATTTAAAACGTTAAAATCATCAGATTGATAAAAATGATACTTAAACGTGTTGATTTATAAAAATTGCCTTTTACACCTGCTGCGCAGACCGCTATAGAAAGACTCGCTTAAAATGGAGAAAAAAATTAGAGCGAAGTGATTAAAATATCACATCAAAAGAAATAAAGTTTCTTCACTTTAAATATAATCGATTTTTAAAAATATGTTACCGATCGTTTCGTAATATTTAGTTTTTTAATTGGCATCTCCGCTAAATATCTTCGTTCCCTTTCGTATCCAGAGTCGTAAAACATTTACAAAAAAAAAAACAATCTTCATTTTCTTGTGAGTTCTGTCAAGGAAAAGAGCGCGGGAATTGAAACGTTGACGCGGGCTTTTTGAAAATTTTAATTATTTTAAATAGTTTTATACTATAATTTACAAATTTTTATTTAGTTTATTGTAAAGAAGTAAAACTTAGTCTGTATATAAGTGTTTATGTGGAGAGATGGTGAAAAAACGTAAAAAGAAGGTTTCGGGTGAGTCCTTGCCTTTCAGCACAAGCAGCGATTCCGATGGCGAGGATTCGCCAGTATTGCAGGATGCAAATGCCTTCGCTCCCTTTAGGGTCGCTGATTATTGTCGGCGATACCCTGAAGATGCGGAAGCCAAGTCTAAATTCTTAGTATTTGTCGAAAGTACTAATGATGTCCCACTCGGTAATAGGGACATGATGTCGCTTAGTCCGTTAGACTTAAGCTGAGCTTTGCATTTGTGTGAGTGAAAGTAAAAGTAGAGTTAGACAAAAAAACTTTTAGAATACAATTCTATTATATTTTAAATAGAATCATAACATAAGTGCTATAAAATAAGCAAAACTTGTAAAAGTCCAGATGGAAATATTATGAATATTATGGAAAAAAAAAATGATTAATAAGAATTTCGAAAAAACTATACTTACAAATTCTTATTCACTTGACATTGCGTTTTCAACATTTGATATTGCTACCAGTACAAAATGTGAAGTGAGGAAGGTGCGGGGCGGAGTAAAAGCAGAATAAACCGGTTCAAAACTAGTAAAGAACGAGGCATTCAAAAATTTGATATCACACCTACACTATACGTGTACACTCACACAAATGTAAAGCTCAGCTTAAATCAAACGCACTATACTAGTTTCATACGCTCTGTGAAAGGTATACAATATTTAAAAAAATAAATAAATATAAGGTCGGTGTTGTTTTCAACGTGCGAATTTGGCAAATGCCTTTTTAGAAAATGCTACATATCAGAAGGAACAACGACTTAAAGCTTCAATACCAGCAGGGGCCACCGAACTTTCGGGAGTTATCTCTTCGGTTCCCACTCATCTATCCAATCACAAAATATATAAAGCAATATCAACAACAAAAAAGTCATTTCTGTCCGACGCATAATGCGTAAAGTAAAAGAAGAAAATAACACCTTCACACTGCAACCACTACCCAAGAGCGTAGTAATAACTTTTGCGTCTGCTACGTCACTGCGGGACTATGTTCACATTAAGATGTGGCGCCTGCCTGTCTCCACATATGTCCCATCTATAAAACAGTGTTTTAAATGTTTACGCTATGATCATCTGGCTTAGTTTTGTAAAAATTCACCGCGATGCTCCATATGCACAGAGGGGCATTCTTTCAAAGAATGCAAGGTTAACATTGAAAAAGCTAAGTGCATTAATTGTAATGGCAATCACATTGCCATCTCTAGCCAGTGCCCTATAAGGCAAAAGAAAATCGCAAACAGTAAACCCAAGTCATATGCTGACACGTTAAAAGATTCATTAAATTTTCCCTCCCTTAATAAAAAATTAAATACCCAAGAAGTAATCCAAGCAATACTATCAAATTCAGAAGCAATGACTCTATTAACAGAATCTATAGTAAAAGTTATAACTTTAAATAAAACGCAAAATATACGTATTAGTTCACAATTTATTAGCTCAGCTATTAAAGAAACCATACAGGATAAAAATACCAAATCGTCACATTCAACCACCAAATCTTAAATATTGTACAGTGGAACGCTCAAAGTCTGTTAAATAACAGACTTGAGTTTCAAAATTTTCTATACCAAAATAATATACATGTAGCTCTTATTTCAGAAACTTGGCTCAAGACTAGCATTCGATTTTATTTACGTGGTTATACCATTAATATTAGGAATGACTGCGGTAATGATCATAAGAGCGTAGCAATATTAATTAAAAATGGTATACATTTCTCTAAACTAGATACTTTTTATGATGATTCGTTACATTTTGTAATTTTTATTAAACTGAAACATAAATGCATTTCTTTGTTTAGTTTTTACAGTCCTGGTAATAGTTCTTCTGCTTTTGAAAAGGCGAAGTTCGATCGTTTATTGTACAGTATTCCAAAACCGTTTATAATTGCAGGTGATTTTAACGCCCATTATACTTTTTGGGGTTGCAGTCGCAGAGATTCTCGGGGCAGAGCTATTATGGATTCCATGGATGACCATGACTTAATACTTTTAAATAATGGTCAACCAACAACTATAGGCTCTCATATTTGGAAACCAAACAGTCTAGATTTAACTATGGTGTCTTTTCTTTATTTCTTTCTTGTGACTGGCAAGTTCATCAGGACCCTTTAGGCAGTTATCATCTGCCAACTATCACAAAATTTACTCTCGTAAGAGATCAACATGAGCCCTCTATTTCCTTGAACAACATTCCTTTTCACAGCAATCTGAAATTAGTAATTGGGATAGTTATGAACAAATTGTTAATAAAATGTTAATGAACGTTAAACTTGACAAAAGTGATCTCCTTGACTCCTTGATAAATGTTCAAAAGTAGTAGAAGACTGCAAGAATGCCAACATTAATTTCAAAACCAGTCTTAATAGTAAAAATTACATTAATTTCAAACGCGCACAAGTCTTTAAAAAACGCACTTTAAAAGAAGAACGTTGTAAAAGTTGGTCTGAATTCTGCTCATCAATAAATCGTTGGATATCTATTAATCGTATTTGGACTAAAATAAGAAAATTCAAAAAAAGCTGTCCAAGTTCTAACTTATTTTCTGACCTCAATTGGGTTCAAACATTTTATATAAATACACACCGGATACTGTTTCACAACAGATAAGTATAAGTAATGTTCTTGGAATAAATAGTGATAATTCATACATGATCGATTGTTTTACAAAGCAAGAGTTAAAATCTGCTTTAGCCTCAAGAAAAGATTCTTCATGTGGCCTGGATTGGCTTTCCTACAAAATGTTTAAACTTTTAAATGTTCAAACTCTATCTATTTTTTTAAGTCTATTAAATAGTTTATGGTCGTCTTTTATTATCCCAGAGAATTGGAAAACTGACTGTTTGGTAACAATATTAAAACCTGGCAAAGACTTTAATTTGGCTGATTCTTATCATCGTATTACACACTGAGTTTATGTGTTGGAAATTTTTTCGAACAATTAATAAAACAGAAATTAATTTTTCACATATAAAGTAATAATGTTTTACCTTACAATCAGTTTGGCTTTCATTGTGGCTATTCTGCTTGTGAGAGTCTACGTAATTTCTGTTTGGATATCCACAATGCTCGTTCCGAGAATAAAGTACTAGTTGGTGTTTTTCTTGACATTGTAGGGGCTTTCAATAATGTAGATCTGAACCAATTATCCTCAATATTATTATTACTACAGGTACCTGGAAAAGTTGTAAATTGAATTTTTAATTTTTTGAACTACAGAAAGGTGTTTGTTAAGGTTAACAATCAGTTAATTTGGTCCAAGATATTCTTGTAGGAGTGTATCATAGGGTGGTGTATTGAGCCCATTGCTTTTTATCGTATTCATTTTTTTTATTTTTTTATTTATTTATTTGTAATCAACAGCGTATACAGATTATATTTGTACAGTTTTTAAAACTTCATTAAAACTAAGGCCACAGAGATTACATTGTAAAGTGTTTAATATAATATTTTTAACAAAGTGGATAACAAAAACAGAGTAGATGTAAAGAAAATAATTGTTAAAACATGCAACTAGAGGATATTAACAGGTATATGGGTATTTTTATGTGCGTGCGCGCGTGTGCGCGTGTGCGCGTGTGCGCGTGTGCGTGTGTGCGTGTGTGCGTGTGCGTGTGCGTGTGCGTGTGTGCGCGTGTGCGTGTGCGTGTGCGTGTGCGTGTGTGTGTGTGTGTGTGTGTGTGTGTGTGTGTGTGTGTACATCATACATCAGCTAAATTTTACTCTGGGGTGTGAAGTATCTAATCTGCAGTTTGCAAACGATTTAGTTGTTTATTGCTCTGATACTAATTTTTTACATGTACAATCAGTCCTCAATGTTGCTCTCCAAAGACTAAAGAACTATTTTGATGGCCTTGGGCTGGAGGTCAGCAATGAAAAAAGTAAAGTCGTTGTCTTTTCAAAAAATGGAATTAGAAATAGGAATGTAAATATTTTGTTTAATAATAATGTAATGTCTGTAAAGTTTTTAAGTGTTATTTTTACAAACAATTCTAGATGGAATAAGTATGCTGAAACTCTAGAATCTCGAGCTTTAAATGCTTGTAATGTTTTAAAATCTTTAACAAGCACATATTGGGGTGCTGATCCAAGGACTCTATTAACATTGTATAAATCATTAGTAAGGAGTCATTTTGAATATGCTTTTTTTGTTTTGCAGGGGTGAGAACTATAGTAGATAAATTAGAAAAGATACAAAATAAATGTTTGCGTAGTATAATGGGTGCCATGCGAACTACTCCCATAGTGTCAATGCAGGTGGAATGTAATATACCTCCATTAGCACTTAGGTTTAAATACTTACAATCAAAATTTTTTGCAAGGTTGCTCTCCACTAGTAATCATCCACGTCTTGTTAAACTGCGGGACACTATTAACAGGACTGCCAATATTAATTCATATGTGTTTCACAGTTTTTCTGAAACAGAACAAATTTTTAATAAACACAATATTTTTTCTAGCATGGTATGGCCTTGTTTTCTAAAGTATAAGGAAGACATTTATAGGGAACTTGATAGGTAAAAGGGATATCATCAGATATATACAGATGGATCAAGGAACAATGAAGCAGTCTCTATAGCTGTCTATAATAGTCAGATCAAAAGTGGATTCGGTCATAGGCTGAATCCACTCACAAGCATATACTCCGCTGAATCCATAGCTGTATATACAGCTATGGATTCATTCAGCACATTCAAACACAGACTCATCCAAAGTGGATTATAATAACGGATAGTTTAAGTTTATTAATGGCACTACAAAATCCACAATCAAATTCAAAAACTAACTATATTAAATATAAAATAAAAGTGTTGTATCATCTGCTGTCTCAAAACAAGCAATTAGTCCTATTCTGGACACCAGCCCACATTGGTGTGCATGGTAATGAACAAGCAGACTATTTAGCTAAATTTAATACAAATCCGGCCCACAATCAATTAAGTCACAGCTTTTTAAATTTCCCAATTCCTTATTCAGACGCTCTATCCCTTTTCAAACTCAAGTTACAGAAAGAATTTTACAACTTATGGCATCAGGTGGTAAAGGTAAAAGTAAAATGGTTTGCTACAATAAAGAAAAAGGTCTCTTCTCCCTGGTTTACCCGGGGTAGTGACTATAGCCATAGAAAGTATTATACCACAATCTGTCGTTTGCGTCTGGGACATTGTAGTTTTGGTGCTCACCTTTTTTAGGATTGGTGTTTTTGACTCTTCAATTTGTAGATATTGCAATAGTGCTGATGAAACCCTCGAACATATATTTTTTGATTGTCCACAGTTTAGTATTCAAAGGATGTTCCTTGTAGACCAACTTTTAAGTATTTTAAAAACTGCTTAAGATATCCCGCGCTCCCTTCAGCAAATACTAAGCATTCAATAATGCTTCTTGCCAGTTTATGGATTTATTGTTTCTACTATAAATGAAATCTAATTGTTATATGTACATATGTATATAATACTAATTTTTTCGTTTTAAGATATTTGTTTTTCAGCTATTTTCAGAATTTTATCGTTTTATCGATTGTGACAAATGAATTGTATTAAAATTTAAAAATGACATTGAAAAAAGACGGAATGTAAAAAAAACAAGAATTTGACAAAAAAATATTATTTTAAATAAAGAAATGCTTCGGCCTTATAATTAAAAAATGATTCAAGAAGTAAATTAAAAGAAGACATGGCTTAGGCCTGATATAAAAACTTGAGTCAAGATTAAAAATAGAGATTAAGACATTTAAAAGTAATTAAAGATACAAAATACAAAAGATATGGCTGTATGGGCTTTGTTCTCTATGCCTGTTCTGAACGGAACGAACATAACCAAAAACAAAAAATTGTGTCAACTTACAAATTACAAGTAAAGAAGTCAATTTTGACAGTCTTGCATTGCATTGCATTGATAGTTTTTCAATTGCATTTACTATTCAAGCGTTTATCGATTTCATGTATATCAAGTAATTGTATCTCTTAATAGATGCATTTCTTTAACAATACTTCGTCAAAATGATGATCACAATATATGGGTTACCTGCTACTGTAAGTATATTTGAGAGGTCGGTTTGGTTAGAAAAAACATTTTTCTGATAATCATATCTCGTTTCAGATTAAGTATCAGGATTTGAAGGCGTTAATTAGTCGGGAATGCAATATTAGCGACTTTATATTGGACTATCTCGTCAGTGATGGTGATGGAACTAAGAAAGTTAGAGTCGGCTTAGCTGACGATGTGGAAGGAAATCACTTGATGAAATATTTAGACGGCTATCGTTTATCTGGGCATGTCTTAAAACTTGTACCGGTTGGAAAATCCGCTGTAAGTTAAAACAATAATAATTTATATAAAGACTGAATTCTATATATGACTTGCTATCAACAAGTAATTAAACTTTTATCATCATTTTACATCAAGAGTCGAAAAGAAAAAAAAAATTGGTTGTTTGTAAAGTTGGTTTACGATCGAGATGTTTACGTGATAACGTCTTATTGGTGATGTAAGTTTTTGGGAAGTAAGGAATTAATGAAGATAACATGTTTTTCAAATTTTAAATTACATCTATCGTTTTATTCACACTTTTAATGATAAATTTCGGGTGTAAAATGACAAGTTTACTTATTCGACTATGATATACATTATGAAGATCGGTCCACTCACTCAAATGCTATGCCTGCCTCTGCTCGTGAGGATTCCGCGTGACAAGTTTCACGGAATGACTGGCAACGCTCAAGATGAGACGGGAGATCGGTCCTTTTCTCTCTGGTTATACCTGCGATCGCGCTCGTGAGGTTTTGGTGTGACACAAGTTTTTGAACATGTCACCCAACTAAAAATTTTTAAGACGTTATCACATCAAAACCTAATGTAAATTCTGTTTAATTATTACTATAAGTGAAAGCATTATTGATCTCTTCTATTTTGAAAATTACCTTTATTTTATAAAACAGTATGTATAATAGTCATTTGTACAAGGAGATAATATTTCTAAAATATATATATTACAGCCCGCAAACACTCAACAACAGACCTATCCACCAAGGGGTAATTTTTCACATAACAACTATCCCAATCAGACTGCTAAAACGGCAGAGCCCAAAACATCTTGGACGGGAAATCAGTGGACAGCAAATCCCGTTCAAAATACATACAATTACCAACAGCCACAAGCTTTAAACACTCAATATGCACAATCTGTGAGTATTTTCAAGTAATTAATTACTTTCCAAGTTTATTTTTAAAGCCTGAATACAGAAGGAGTCTTAATATGTTCAGCAAGAAAATATATCTTCTTAGATATATTTTAACATTAAGTATGTTAGAATGCATGGAGTCTAACATAATATAAAGTTCTAAAAGGATGTTTCACATCAGCTAGAATACATATGAACCAAAATATTATTCATTCATACTAAACTTATAAATTCCCACACAAAATGAATATGTGTACTAAAATAATAACAAACCAGAGAATAAATGAATTTAATTAATTTAATATCCACTTGATCTGAGTTGCCCTTATACATTATCTTTATAATTGAATATTATTTAATAAATACTTTTCAGCAATCAACTCAGCCGGCCAAGCAATTTGATTCTCGTGAGATTTCAACTGCAAATCGTACACAGTCACAAACTAATGTATCACAGAACTATAATTATCCAAGTAAAACTAACTTGATAAGTTTGGGGGTAAGATATTTTGTATTTTATATATATCGCCCGCGTGGAGTTCGGTTATATTCGTTTCCAAGAGAACCTTTCAAAAGTCTGGTATAAAAACTATCCTATGTTCTTTCTCGAGGTCAACTCTATGTCTGTACCAAATTTCATTAAAATCTGTTCAGTGGTTTAGGAGTGAAAGCGTAACAGACAGACAGAGTTACTTTCGCATTTATGATATTAGTAGGGATTAGTAGGGATTATATGTCTTCTTCTTCCTGGCAATTTCCCAGCTTTAGCCAGGGTCTGCCTTACATGTTGTGGATAGTTTTGGCTAATTGTTTTTACGACCGGCCGCCTGCCTGTCATCAACCCTCTTTTGGGAATAAATTTATTGTCTATATTGTGTATATTTATATATATTTATAATGCTTTATTACACTGGAATTGTAAAATATTTTGCAAACTATAAACTATTGATTAATTACAGAATTATAATATAATTTTGAATACTATGTGCCTTGTATATTCAGATTAAATTTATAATCATTAAAAGTACATGTATTGACTATAAACAATTTGTAAGTGATTATTGGAAGGCATATCAATATAAAAAATGTTACATAAATATTTTAATGATTGAACAGATTGTGATGATATTTCTAATATAAGCAAATATCACGGAAAATTCTTTAATGTAACGTGTAACTATGTGTTCAGAGTACATATAAACTTTATCTGCTTAGATAGTTGTTTTATTAATTTCTTTATTTCCTTCCAGCCACATAGAAACGTGACGTCACTTCCGTCGAATGTTCCAGAAGCTTCTAATCGTAACCAAGCGAACAGATATCCGGTTTACGAAGAACCTGACAAACCCGTGAGTTCTAAGGTGTTCAAACACATAAAATTCTATTCAATTTTTATTGTATTATAATATTCGTATTACACTAAGTTCTGATATAATATAGATTATATTTAAAAAGCATACTTTTTGTATGTAATACGAAAGAAAATAAATTAAAGATGTTTTCAAAAAATAGCACTCGTATAAATATATAAGGTAAATGAACTAGATTCGGAATTGAATTCATAAGGTTTAGTTGGTAGCAAATATTAATAAATTGCCAAAAAAACTGTAAATAACTTGATTAGAACTAGTGTAAAGTTAATGCTAAGTCAAAATTATATTTCCATATACATACATATATAATCTTTTATTTAATTAAATTTTCAGGTATTGATTATGAAGGAGAACTTCCGAGGTCCACAATCAAATCAATTCGTCAACACGCAGACGGCTAATTATCCTAATCAATCGTGGTCGGGACAGGTATATATATATATAAATATATATAATTAAATATTATAATAATAATGTACGGAAATAAAAATTTCTTTTTATATTAAAGCAGGTACAAAAACCATATGAGAAGAATTCACAAACATTTGACAAAAAATATAATGACAGAAAATATCCTCCAAACCAAACAGCCACGGAAGTAAATAAAGATAGTTTTAAATATGATCGATCGGGATATCAGAAATATTCGGGTGAGAGACGGAATTCACCTAACAGACAGATAGATCGTCCAAACGTTCGGAACATTGAACGGCAATCCGATCGAAATATCCGACCAACCGATCGAGATTACGATCGCTCATCCGACCGGCATATCCGACCAGCCGACCGGAATATAGATCGATCAGACAGACATGTAGATAGATCTGGTCGGAATATCGATCGGCCTGAAGGGAATATTATATCAAATCGGAACGCTGATAGACCGTATGGACGTGATGATCGACCAGTCGACCGAAATATCGATAAGCCATCAGTTATACCAAGAATATCGCCAACAAGACAAAGGCAAACGCCAGTATCTAGAATCGATGATAGATTTTCACCAAGTAGAAATCGTCAAGCATCACCACGAAGAAGATTATCTCCATTAACAAGGAAAGAAGAATACGCTAGTAGAAGACCTTCCCCTCCAACAATAACACCAGGTAATTACATGAGATATATAATATCTTCTTCTACCTGGCAATTTCCCAGCTTAAGCCAGGGTCTGCCTTACATGTTTTGAAAAGTTTTGGCTAATTGTTTTTACGACCGACCGCCTGCCTGACATCAACCCTCTTTGGGAATGCATTAATCAGTGATGTCTAAATACTCTTAGAAAGTACATATGTATCGGGAAAATCACATTGGTACTTGCCGGGATCGAACCCGCGTCCTCGTGCATGAGAGGCGGACCTCTTACCCACTAGGCCACCACTGACTTTAATAATATATATACAGCAATATATCGTAGGGGACTGTGCGGATTTCCGCGTAACTAGTTATAAATTAAACACTAAATAATTACTAATTGTGGAAAAATTGCTTTAAAAGTCGTTAATATAGAAAGTATTTCATCTTAAACTTTCTTCTAATAATCTGCTTCCAATGTAGATATATGGAATTATCCAATGTAAATTACGCGGATTTGCACTATCCCCGACTATATAAAATCAACATTTTTGGTGTTTTTCAATGATATATATATATATATATACAGGGTGACTGGTGAATTACTATCAATATTTAAGGAGAATACTCGGTACATGATTCTCATTCGAATTATGTAAAAAAAATAGGTACTTAATTTTTGACAAAATTTCCGTATAAATAAATAAAGTGTGTACACGTTCCAAGTGTTCCAAGTGTGGACGCGTGTGGCGGCGTGCTGATACAACACCACGCCCCGTTCGCTTATGTGTGAGTGTGAGTGTATACCTAATCTGTAGGGTGTTCACACGATGCGTAATTAATTACATAACTTTTGGTTAACTTTACTTAGAAGTTTATTAATATTTATGTTATATTAATTTTTATTTTGTCATATATGATCGTCAAATATCACGTCCTCAAGTATCGATAGTAATTCACCAGTCACCCTGTATATATATATTTTATAAAATTCATTATTATAATAAGCATTCAGAATTTTATCAGTGAAATAGGAACAAAATCCAAACATGCTTACTGCCTTTATTTATAATAGTAACAAAAATTCAAATAGAATAATAAAATTTCATAGGAAATTAATAGGATTTTAACCTATTGTCTCTGGACTATTTCAATCTAAGCCACTGTGACCTGACTTAAGTTTTGAATTATTTTAATATTTTCTATCTGCTTTAATGTTAATATCATAAATTTAAATAGATATTTAAATACTATATACATTTTTAATTTGTTTCTAAATTATTTATTTAATGTTTACAGTGGAGAGACATGCAAGTCGACAATCTCCAACAAGGCAAGCCGGGTGAGTTTCTTAACTATTATTCTATTATTAACATGTAGTTGTCAATACAATTCCAACCTTTTCCAAAATTCTATCTATCTCCTGTGTTAACATGATGAAATAAGTTACATTCTAATATGGAGACATTTTAGTGTTATTGATGTATTATTGAAACTGGTGTTTAATAAGTCCCTTTTGCCTATAACATGTCTTTATAATGTTTCAATATATAACAATGGTAATTTTTTTTTTGCGCTTTCCGTTCGTTTTTACTATTTTTTTAATAAACCTTTGTGTATTTATTAATTTAGATAATAAATTAAAATACTTTAAATTTGAATCCTTGATAGTATTTTGAGACCATCAAATCAATCCTGACCTTGAAATAAAATCGAACAAATTTAATATCACTATAAATAAACCAAAATTGAACACCATTTGTAAATATCGGGTCACTGACCTGGTAAACATCTCACTTTTAGTAAAAGCGATTTGGCAACGAGGTATCCACAACTATTTGCAATCTTTGAATACATCTTGGTATATGATATCAAACCCAGGTGTCAAATATATTCATGAAAAATCTTGTATAATGATTAAATTAACCTATACTTAAAACATTTTTTGTCTAGGTTGGGATATTTTATAGCCTTATCCATATTACATAGTTATTTTAAGTGCATATTTTGCATACTGTCTATTACTTTTAACATACTCCTTTGCATAATACATTTCAAAGAAAATTCAATAATGACTATTGAATTTTCTTTGATTGGCAGAATACCTTTTTGGTTTTATTTTTCTTATATTGTATATAATACTTATTATTGAATTTTCTTTGATAAAATCCAAACAGTATTGTATATAGATATTTCTTTTTGTAGATATTCACCACGTCGTACGGACAAGTCGAGGGAATTTAACGAAAATAGAGTAAAAGATGTGCGACCGGCGTATGAACCGCAAGTGAGTTATTTTGCCAGACATGGTACAATAAAATGTAGTTTTAAAAAGGTGTTTAATTAAAACACCTATATGTACTGCTAAGTCTGATTTTAATATGCAATATGTTCGGATTTGTGAAGTTTATATATTATTTGTGGTTTTACTTTTTGGTATATTTTGGTATAAGTTTGTTTTTTTTATTTTTATGCATATGTATAGCTAGGTTATATCATAAATAGTTATCTAAATCAGTGGTTCCAGATTATATTTAGATTTATATACAAGTTTGTGGTGTAACGTTATATAATAGTAAAGTAGGTATATATGTTGGTTTGTGTTTGTAACGACAAAACAGTTGAGTGCTAGCAGTGTTTTTATTGAAAAATCAAGAAATCTCTTATGGCCTGAGTAAATTTGAATTGGGAGACGAAGAAAAGAAAATATTATTGATCAACATGGCACTACAATAAAATTTGAAAATTATGAGTGATTGGATTTTTAATCTTCAAGGCCACGTGATTGTTTTTCTGCTTCCAACATAAATTTCTGCAGAATATTCTCTTTTTACGAAGAATCTATTTAAAATGGGCGCTTTTTTTCCTGAGCATTGACATCTTAAAAAGACAAATCATCATGATTTCATACCACGTTTTTTTAACTACTCAAAGCTACAGCATTGTCTTAAACATTTTATTCAGTTCGTAGCTTAATTAATACTTTTTTAACGGAAGTCGCTGATAAAATCCAACTACGGAATATAAAATCCACTAGAAAACCTTATCGGATTTTAATTGGAAGAACAGCAGTGTTATAGAAGGCAATTGAAGAAATTAAAAGATAATTAGCAGTCAAACTTAACAACCTTTGCTTTCGTTTTATCACGAGAAAAACGAATTTGATCCTGTTTCTATCCACAGATTAGTATAAAAAGGAATTTTGTAAGCACAGCGGAATCTAAAAACATTTATTGCTAGCAGCCTAAATAAAACTAATGTGATTTTTCGGAGTCATATGTACTTTCTGAGAGTATTTAGACACCACTGACATACGGTGAAGGAAAACATCGTGTGGAAACATGGACTTATAGTTTCACAATTATAAATTTGAAATCACCAACCCGTCTTGAGCAAGCGTGGTGATTAATGCTCAAACCTTCTCCATGTGAGAAAGAGGCCTTTGCTCAGCAGTGGGCTCTGATAGGCTGATGACGATGAATAAAACTGCTTGATACAAATGGAGTAAAAGTACATTTAAATTAATTAATTCAGCAAATAACGAAAATATAGAAATATTTAATTTTGTTGAAAAAGTTGAAATAATACTTTTTTTTTAAACAAAGTATTGAATGCATATGAATGTTTGTTCATATGGGAAGAAGTAAAGGCTGACTATGAATTCAATTGTATGGCTCGTTCAGTAAAGCGTTGAATAACGTGTAATGTGTTCTGGAGAGTATTTTGGTGAAGAATCTTCATTTAACTTGGTATCCCTAAGTACCCCATCTACAACTCTTAGTGGTGAACAGTAATATATAATATCATACATTATTTGATTTGATTTATCTACAGAGAAGAAATAATACGAACAAAGCCAAAAGTACGGTTGTTTCTAATACACTGCATTTTTTTTATTTATATGTGGACATCATGGTATGCCAAAAGTCAGTGGTGGCCTAGTGGTTAAAAGGCCCGCCTCTCATACATGAGGCCGCGGGTTCGATCCTGGCCGGGGCAAGTATCAATGTGATTTTTCCGAGACATATGTACTGTCTAAGAGTATTTAGACATCACTGATTAATGCATTCCCAAAGAGGGCTGATGTCAGGCAGGCGGCCGGTCGTAAAAATAAATAGCCAAAACTATTCAAAATTGCCAGGAAATTGGCAAATTGCCATTGAGAAGAAGAAGATCATGGTATACCAAAAAATATTATACACAGAGAAATCTCTTTTACTTTTAAAGAGATGATTAGAAAACTAACATATTTTTCAGTATTGTAATTTTGAAAGAAAAACAAATGAAATTTTGTTTATGAGTAAAAGGGAATAGCAGCATTCAAATTTGTTACAACGACTAGAAATATCAATATTCATGATAACAAGGACTTTATTATTTAATGACTTATGCCGGCTATCTCTACGGGCTTGAATTGCATTATCAGTGCAGTGGCGATTGGAATCCACATGATGGTTTTGGCATGTGGTTTTGAAATGTGGTTTCATATCAGAACTTATAATATTATGAGGTGAATAACGGATTTTCAACAAAATACTGAAGGATATGATTTGAAACAAGACAACTTTATTACTACAAAGTTATATCTCTTATGTAGAAAATTATTTTACGTAGTGACTTACTGAGGAGTTTGAATATAGCAGAATTCAGGCAGCTTGTAAAGCTTTAGATATGTTTGACTTGAAGAAATTTTATTCTTCATATATTATAAATCAAGAAGTGGATTCTACTTGACACAATAATGTATTTGATATAGTAAAAAACTGATATTATAAGAAGAAAATACAGTGAATTCGAGCTTAATATAATGGATCTAACATGAGTTGTAAACATATTATATGCATTATTTATCAAAGATTTTAATATGTAGTATTTTTTTATTTATATTAAATTATTTTATCCGTAAAGCATGTATATATGTTATGATTATTCTTGTTTGCAAATAAAATTTCAATTTACAGGCGTCAAAAGCAGCTATGTACTCAGGTGGTTATCGTCCAAACGTCCCAGTGGACGTACAATATCCGAGAAAAGATTGGAAAGATAGGGAAAAACAGTTTTCACCAAAAAATGTCATCGAGGATAGGAGAGATGTAGTCAGGATGCAGAACTTTGATATACCAAGAGCATCTGAACAACAGAGGATTGAGGAAGAAAAGAAGCGATCGCAATCACGTCATTCAAGATCTCCGCGGAGAGAGAGATCTCCGAGGAGAGAGAAGTCTCCGAGGAGAGAGAAGTCTCCGGCCCGTCATAGGAGACAGTCACCATCACGTTCGCCTCGCAGAGCTTGGGCGCTTGAGAAACGACGCAGTCCTGAAGGACGCGAACCACCACCACCTCCAGCGTGGCCCGGACAAGATGTAGGGGAAGAATATCAGAAAAGATCGAAACTAACAGACAGAGATATTATCGAGAAAGTTCCGGTGTGGGAGAATAAAAAGCCCGACAATTACACTAAAACTGACAGACGAAATTACGACGAGCAGAGAAATAGGAAGGAAGTGTCTAAATGGAAACCTGTTCCACCGGTTGCTACGGAAGAAAATACTCGTTTTGTGGATGATGACCGATATAGAAAAAGTGGTAAATATGCCAGAAAAGAACCAGAAAGAAAACGCAATTTGAGCCGCGATGATGAAAGCAAATCATATTCTGAAAGACATGAGAAAGATCTCTCACGAGCAGATCGCGATGGCGCTCGTTATAAATCTGATTTTGCTCGTGAAGAATTTGCTGGAAGAATAGAAGAAAAAAAGAAAGAAATATTACACAAACAGCAACAATTGCAAAAAGAGATAGACGAAGTTTATAAAAGGGCTGTAGATTTTACAAAAAAAGCTGAAATGTTCAAGAAAGGTGAAATGGATAAAGATTATCATTTCAAAGAAGAACGTCGTCGAGATGATAGGGAATATGAAGAACGTCACTACTCGTACGAAGAAAATCGACGTGGCCGTAATACAGACAGACCCAATGAACATAAGACTAGCAGTTTTGGAAAATCTCGTGATCCTGAAGATTTCGAAAGAAAATTTGGCGTGAATGCAGCTGTCAAAATAAAGAGACTAAAAGCCACTGACGAAATATCTGACAAAATACTTCAACAGTTCGCTGTAAATATACCCCCAGATTCCAGAAAAAGGGTCAGTGAAGAGTTAAAGCTATCTGTAGCGAAGATATTATTGGACATGTTCGGTGATAAGGACGTTTCTTTTATAGAGATGTTAGTTAAATTTAATGCTAGGCATACACAGAAGGACGAAGAGAGAATTTTCGAAGATGTTATGTCTTGTTTGCCAAGTCACTTCAGAACTATAAAAAGATCTGCCCAAGGTAAGATTTCTGAGTCGTAATTGATAATTCCAGATGCGTTTCCAGTTTTTTTCCATTCTTCGTCGTTTCCATTTGTCTATGACTGTACACAAGGCGCAAAACGTTACCTTAAAATATATCCATTTAAATTTATATTAACCATTAAAACGTTTGAATATAAATTGTTGTTGCACTATAAAATTTCTAAAGTAAATAAAACGATACTAACATAATTAATTCAAATAAATAAACTATCTAAAAGGAATGCAAGACCTTTTTAATTATATATGTTTTAATTTGTCGTTATAAATTGATTGTATATATTTTTCAGATGATTCAGGGATACCTGCTAAAGTGTCTAGACGCTCTGCTGACTTAGAAACAGGTAAAACATTATTTTATTATAAGATTTATCGTTTTTTGGTATCCTAATAAATAATATGGTTGGTGTTGTTTAACAGATGTCCGTATGAATAAACCAACTAGTAAGTATTTTAGTCAAAACTTAAGATTTTGTATGGCTTTATGTAAGTTTAGCCACATCGTTATGTATTTGTTGAGATTTTTAGTCTATAACATCAGTTTCAGATTGGAATTATGGTCATTTAAGTAGTATGATACCGGGAAGTGTCATGGTTGATCCGGCATTAACGCAAATGGCTGCGTCGGGTTTATTATTGAACACTCCAATCGTGGTCCCTATTACTACGCAATTCCCAATAATTCCAGTGTACCCGGAACCGGCTAATATAAAAGAAGAGAAAGATAGTGATTGTCACACATTATATCTGTGCAAAGATAATTTTCAGATTATCACCGAAAATGAGGTTGCTCAAGTTAAGAATTTCTTGATCCAGCAACTGATCAAAGTTACAGAAACATCCCAAGGTTGGGCGCCAGACTTCACTTTCAGTAATCAGCGTAACACACATCGTCATGAAGTGTTCACTCGCGACCAACGCTCCAAGGAATGGCTTTTGAACCTAGATTTCAATTTATTCACTGAATTCAAGGTTTTAGTTTACACTTCAGAGGAATTGTGGTACGAACGTGCCGCTATATGGCTACCGGATCATTCAAGGCATCGCAAATTCGGTCCGCTGACCAAACTTAAGCTACAGAACAGAAAATTAGATGGTGTTAATATAGATAAGTGGAAGTTCATAAAGGGAATAATCACTTCTAACGGTACACGTATATATGTGGATATGCCGCCGTCTTCCGCGCGTGTTTTAGAGACACACAATAATTTGTTGAGTTATGAATTACAGAAGGTTAGCGTTTTTTTTAAAGCCGTTGCGATAGATAAGAACGCTTTCGATGCTGGTATGAACGAGCCGTCCAAAGAGATTCCGCCTAACCCATCCTCCTTGCCTATGCCGTCTCTTGGCAAAGATCCGAGAATTATTAAATTTGCCAGTAAAGGCAATAAATCATACAATGTCGCGATGGCGAGGAAAATAAAGGATATGATATTGTTTAAACTATATAAATACCACGAGCTAGAAGGCAAAAGTAGAACCGATTTTGTGAAATACGGTTTCTGCCAGCCAGGTTACTTTGGTATTTTACCAGAAAATGAAGAATCCAAAAGATGGCTGATCTCTTTAGATATACCAAAAATTAATCGTCAACAAATAGTTATTTTAGGAGCTGGTGATATGAAAGTAAGATTTTTTCGAATGACTATCCTTATGCCGAAACTTTACAATCTCAAAGAAGCTCTCGTTTTAGAACGCTTGCGTCAAAGCAATCAAGGGGTTAAGGGTATCAATTTTAGTATGTGGAGAAATCTGAAGCTTATAATATCGAGAAAGCAAGAAAGCGTTTGGCTTGAAGTTGATATGGATTTGGAATCTATTGAGACTTTATCTAAAATGAACTACCAACTCGATTATGCAGCTAACGGTCATATTAAGACTTTGAAAGTTCAGTCGCGGTTTTCACAAGACCGTTTGGAAGAAATTATTATGCAATGTAAAGACGAACTCATAGATTCGTATGATGTTCACAATATGGACTTAGCGTCGGATGCAGAAGAGGGCATCGTATGTTTAGATTAGTTTGAGAAGGTTATTTTGTATCTTGTTTTATTTTCTGTCGACCTGGATTCAGCTTGAAATTAATGCAATAAAGATTCAAGGTCAAATAGTCGTATTTTTTAAATTTCCATGAAAGATTTTCTATCTTTTTAAAACAAAAATCGTCAATTTACTGTAACCAAAAAGAAAATACTTTGACTATAAAGCTTAAAAGTGAACAATTGATCGTTTCTCTTTAATTTAATTATTAATTAGATTTTTCTTACTGCTTACATACTTGTAATTTAACAATTGAGCAAATGAAAGTAGACAATAATTTAAAACAATACATAAAGCGATGTAAATGTATTTAAATAAGAAAAGAAAAAAAGAGCATTTCAGTTAGGCATTTTTTAAAGATCAATTACATGAAATCATTATTTTATTAGTGTGTACGATATAATAATACAAAAAAACATGGGATAAGTATTTTTCATAATATTTATGAAATATCGTTGACTATATGACTATAAAATGAATTCATGTCCTAATGATGTAAAATTTTCAGTTTTTTTGAGTCAGAGGCTTTCAGGAATCTTTAATGGGTTATATAGCAAAGGTTGCTGGAAAATAAAGATATTGAAATCAGGGCTGTTCAAAAACGGGTAAGAATTTCAGTGTTTTAGTTTTATAAATGGTTATTTTACAGTATTCGTCGAGAATGTTACTGACTAGGGCGTAAGCAGTCGAAATCAATTGTGGTAAGTTTTAAGTGGTTAATTCGGAGTTTGTGTTTGGAGATGTCTTCAATTTCGTGTGATAAAAAACTTGGGAATATTAGTGGTATATACGATATTTTGTTCTAACAATTGGTTACATATGTTTAGGAAAGATTGATTTTCAGATTTCGTTGGAGATGAAGCGTAGTTAAATCTCTAGTCGCTGCTGTGGCCACGATATTTTTTTTATGTAGTGTATGGTTAAGGAACTTATAAAATCTTTTTGGGAATTTAATGTTTTAGGTTCCTTAACAATTTCACAGCTTTTCATAATATTCCAGATGAAAATTAACTTATACTCAGCGTTTTCACAACTCATTATTTTTAAACTGTGGATTCTTTTCTGTTAATATTTTTAAGATAATTTCGTTTTAGGATTACCATAAAAAAACTTTTGTTACCCTAATTTAGCCATGTTTTGTCAGTTTAAGTTACGATTTCGTATATTTAATTGTTTCAGAGCTACAGAGAGAAATTGCAAACACCATGTTGACGTTTAACCAGAAGCCGGAAAAGAAATGGCGACTGGCTTTGGCTAGAAAAAAAAAAGATGGATTAAAGGGGAGTATTATGAAGAAAGAACCACCAGTTAAGAAAATAATTAAAAAGGGACCTGTCACTGTTCAGAAAGAAGTTAATGTAACGAAATCTACGGAACAAATAACCAACCAGGAGTTAAAAACAGTTACTGATGAAGAATCGAAAGAAGAACCACAAGGTTAGATCATTTTAACTACATGAAATAATGTTAATAGAAAATAACGATTTTAATATATCAATTCATTCTTGGAACGTACTTCGAAGGCAGCCCTAGTAGGCTCTTTTCAAATTTGGTAGAGAGAGGAGCTTGAACAGTGGAGGTGAGCGTTTAACGTTAGATAGGGGCCCCTTAAACCTACACCTGGGTCACAAGTCCCAGGCACTGTTGAAGCTCCTCTCACTACAATGATGGACCCGACACACGCATATAAATAAATTGAATGATAAGTGGTTTAGCTAGAATTATGTATAAACAAATATTTCAGTATTCTAGTATTTTCTTGTTAAAAAAATTGTTACAGATGTTTTTACTTTATTTAAAAAAATTATTTAATATATATTTGATTTTTTTTGTTTTAGCAGTAACTGAGGGAGATGAATCAGACCAGCCAATAGAAGGACAGTTTAAATTAAACAAGTTGATGTCCACTGTCTTAGAAGATGAATTACAAAAGATTCTGACACAGGTATTTAATATAGAAGTACTATTTTACCTATATTATGATGTATTTTTCTTAACATATATCTGGTGTATAGTATATTTGTATATAAGTAAAAATATTAATAGCCAAAGAATATACTAATGTTTATATCAAAATTATTATCAGATATGGAAGGCATTACCCAACTTAAATTCAACTGACATGGAGAAATTTATCGCGGAAAGGTTACATAATGAAGCTCTTGTTGAGCTAAAGAATGTAAGTTATATGATAAAATTATATATAGTCTTCTGTTTTAGAATTGGTAATAATTTTTTTGTTTGCTTTAAGGTACTCGGTCTTAATATCACTAAAAGATTACTCAATGTGTACAATCCCTTATTTGTGAAGGTATGTTATATATTTTAAATTTTTTGTTCGCTTGGTCATACGAATATGATGCAAATAATACCTTTAATTTTCCACAGATACAATTCTCATGTCGTCCCGAAAATGGTTTATTGTCGAAATTCCTCAAAAACTACAACATAACTAAATTCAAACGTATTGATCCTGAAACTAACACGTTTGCGGCTATATTAGACACGATAGCTGACTTTGATAAAATATGTAAAGCCAAGAACATTAAATGCGGTAAGTTATACAAATTGAATATCTTAATTAGATCATTCGATTCTTATTTGTTAAATAACTTGTCAAAGGCAAATATATATGTAATAGAATGGCATGGGCCATTTTTTAGAGTCATTTTAAATCTCTTACTTAGGTAGATTAAAAAGTTCTGTAAATTGTTTAAAACTAATACCATAGATTCACTTATAACATGTCATGTCTGAATTAGGATAAATGCTATATACAACTTTGACTTAAGTCTAGATACAATTTAGTAAAATGTAAACTTATATGTTTGATATACATATTTTCATGCTTATCAAATAAAGAATTGTATGAAATGGACTAAGCAAATCTGGTTATTCTTAGTATAAGCAAACTAAATTGATATTATTTGAAAGGCAAAATTAAAATCTTTTAACATTTATTTATTTACAGGTAGCGCAAAAATAACAGTGACTCCATGCTACAAGTTCAAGAAATGTCCAAAAAATCTTATCACAGCCTTCAATAATACGGCGGAATATGAAAACTATTTTAACGAACATACCACAGGCAACGTAAAAAAGGAAAACTCATCAAGCATAGACAATTCAGAAATAGAAAAAGTTGATGAAAAAATTGTTCAGAACAAACCAAAGCCTGATATAGAAAATCCTGGGAACAAAACAACACAGGAGATAAAATCTACAGATAAACAAATTGACAACAAGAATGATGAATTTATGAACTATGAAATGTATGAAGAACAAGAAATTGATCCGGAATTAAATGAAGAAATGGCTGATGAAGAAATACTAGCGTTAATATCTAGCGGTGTTGTTCTTGATGAATGTAGTGGATCAGACCGCGAATAAATTTGGGAATTAAAATGTTATTTCAATAATAATTATTAAATTATAATTTGTTTTACTCAACCTCTGTCTGTCTCAACTTATAAACGTTATCTTCTATTTTGAATCCCTACTAATATAATAAATGCGAAAGTAACTCTGTCTGTCTGTCTGTTACCTTTTCATGTCTAAACCACTGAACTGATTTAAATGAAATTTGGTACAGATATAGAGTTGACCTTGAGAAAGAACATAATATGATAGTTTTTATCCCAGACTTTTGAAAGGTTCTCTTGGAAACGCGATATAACCGAACTCCACGCGGGCGAAGCTGCGGGCGGAAAGCTAGTTTGTTATAAAATTTTGACTTATATGTAAATTGATAATTTTAGACACGTTCATAAATAAAACAATAAATTAATTTACATTTTGACATGAGTTTTTATTTTTGTTAAATGTAAAAGAAAATATAAAAATTGAGTAAACAAATGTTTTGTGAGTATCAGAATCAAACATTGAGAGTATTCTTATGGCATGCACTAGACATTTTGAATTATTTTCTATTACTTTCGATTTCGATAGCCTCCTCTTCCACCTGAAAAAAAAACGAATCACATATTAAATTTTATTAAAAATAAATACAAAATTGTTTACTGGCTTCTATTCATTTAACACATTCATTATAGTATTATTATTAATTATACTTGGTTATATTGTTGTATATCCATAGTCTACTATCGATAGTAAAAGCCAAGCCGATAGTTACTATAATCTATCGATAGTATCGTCACATGGTACAATACTATCGATTGTATTGTAAAATTTGCTATTTAAACCCAGTAACTATCGATACTTTATTGATAGTATCGATAGTTTTACCACTTTCAATAGTATTGTTTCAGAAGTGCCATTTTTACTATCGATAGTATTACCATGTAACGATGCTATCGATAGCACAATCGATATTCTAAACAGTTTTCGAGGTCCACTATCGATGGTCCGCAACACTACTTGGTTACAACTGCATTTGGTAGTGCTATTATTATAATAAAAATATATTAATATAAATACAAATTATATAATTAACAAATACTTCAAAAGTAAAAACACCTGAAATAGGAAAGACTAGTGAAATAAATCTACAACTATAAATAGATACACAATTGATTTTCTAGCAATATTTAAGATTTTACCATAACTAAAAGGTTTGTTTTTTAATTATGGGCTGCCCGTAACAAAGATGAAGCTCTTCGCTTTTTGGGAGCCGCTGCTTCAATTCTTAACCTCTCTTTTTCGATTTCATCTGCTATGCTATAGGTTTCTTGGCTAGCGACCTGAGTTTTATTAATAGGATAAAAAAACAATACTAAAGGATTATATATAAAAATATAAAAGTTAATCAGTAAAAAATAATATTGTTCACTTTGACTATACTCTGTTTCTTGTCTGTGGTACAATTTGTTACTTAACTGTTTAGACTTTTGACAGTAATGTGTTAAATTCATTAATTGATTGTTTGATGAATTTTTATTTCGCTCAATTTGAATGAACTGATTGACTAAGTTTTAATCTATTAAACATATTTTAAGGATATATATTTTTATTATTACTGTGAATTATTTGACCATTTGCAATATGAGACGTAACAGGGACTTTGGTGTCATGCAAAACAACGGTCCGCTCATGACCGAACATTTACGTGTAAGTTTTTCTAAATGTTTTGTATTTTGCTTATTGTGCTTTTATATATAGTATTGTAATCACTCAAGCCTTTAATAGTTCAGTATTTATGGATTTAAATATCATGGGACGTCATTATTACTATTTAATGTTTCAAACGAACGCTTATTAATAGCAAACACTAAAAACTTAGTACAGTAGGACCCCGATTATCCGGACCTCGGTTATCCGAATTCGCGATTATCCGGACTGCCAATCGCGACGAGTTTATTCTAACATTAACATGTCAGAACTTGCATAACGCCACGCCACTTATAACTAGGGCCCGGATAAATATGTATTAAAAAATCTAAAATATGTACATAAAATATGGACGAGAAAATAAAAAAATATGGAGTATAAAATTAAATAATTTCATAATTAAACATTGTTTTACTATAAGAAAGGGTCACTCGTGACGTACATCGTTAAGAAACATTTAAAAAATGATGAAAAAAAGGAGTGAAATATTTATTTCAACAAAAAATAACAGTTTTATTCAACTTCCATTACACTAGCTTTATCAAATTGGTTGCAATACACAATGGCATCCTTCTTTAAATTATCAAAATGAAAACTGACCATTTGGTCGACATATAGCCTTATATTTGCTGTATGATCTCTCCACTCACATGACGTGATGGATGCATTCTTAAGCATACTTAATTCAGTAATTGTGTAAGCCATGTCTACAGCCCTCAAAACTTTTGCACAGAATTTTGTTAATTTTTTAGCATTTTAAATCCTTTATTTTTTTATGTTTTTTTGTGAATATATGGATGATTGTGACATTTTCTTGTAAAATATGGACTTAACTTTGAAATATGGTAAAATATGGAAAATATAAGTTGGTTTTTCACAGTCTAAATATGACAATCCATGTAAAAAACACATTCTAGACCGAAAATCGCGTAAATTAAAAATATGTATTTACATATTAATACGGGCCCTACTTATAACACTTATAAGTAGATTATGTACAATTTCTTAATAAACGTTGATTTTCGCTCATATGTATTTGTTGTTTTAAATAAACACCTAACATTACATATGTATGGTACAGACTACATATGTACATATGCAAAAAGCCCGTTTTTCTTCATATATTGGATTATCCGGACTTTCAATTATCCGGATGCCTACCGACAACAATTAGTCCGGATAATCGAGGTCCTACTGTAATCATATATTTCACGCTTTGAAATCTATCTTTTCCTATTTTTGAAATCTATCTTTTCCTATCTTTTGAAATCTATCTTTTCCTATCTTTTCCTATTTTTGTGTTTTTTCTATTTGTAATGTTTTCTACATATGAAACAACAGCTATGAATTCTTATTGATTTTAATTCCAATCTATCTCTTAAGAATTTTGAAGATCTTTCTCATTCTATATAAATCGAAATGCTTAAGTATTATCACACATATATTTTCTATTTGTCCTTAACTTTGGTGGTTCAAAAACATTTCTAATAAATATCATACACTCTAGTATGACTCGATTATTGTTTAAAATTGATAATGAATTTTTTGATCATACTTGGCTGGTTAGTAATTAAATATGCCTATTTCAGGATTTAGACATAGAATTGGAACTTCTAAAGCGCAAGCGAGAGATCTTACAACAAGAACAAAACATGATATCTAGGATTTCGGTAAGTCTATACTTATTTCAAAATATTACTATGAAGAATAATAGTTTTATTATCTACTAGCTTTCCTCCCACAGCTTCACCCGCGTGGAGTTCGGTTATATCGCGTTTCCAAGAGAACCTTTTGAAAGTCTGGGATAAAAACTATCCTATGTTCTTTCTCAAGGTCAACTATATATCTGTACCAAATTTCATTAAAATCAGTTCAGTGGTTTAGGCGTGAAAGCATAACAGACAGAAAGATATGTAGTTACTTTCGCATTTATAATATTAGTAGGGATATAAATGATAATGTTGTACAATTTCATAACGATTTGAAGTCCCAATCTAATTTCTGTTTATTTATTTTCCCTTATTAAATTGCACAGTGTATTAGATTAATGTAAATTTATAAAGTCATTTATATTTTTTTAGTTTTTATATGTTAAATGTTATGTATATAGCTTTATATGTAATATATCATGAATGTAAATATTAATGAAGATATTTGTTGCTTTAAATATAAAATATATTGAATGGATTCTTATAAAACTTTCCAGTTATATATTTTGGATATCAGAATAATATAAAAATCTGTATGTTATCTACCTATGGAACACATAAACAGTTGTTTTTTTTATAATTGATGTGGCCAGTTGCTTAATATCTATATTTTAATCATATTTTATTATTTTTCACTGCCAAATCACAAATGCTACAGAGACAATTATGTGGGCATTATGTATGTTGATATTGTAAAAGAAATATCAATGCTTTTTGTACATTTAAATTCTGTCCTAATAACTTCGTCTCCTATAAGTATGTTAAATACAATTTATAATAAATAATGTATAATGTAGCTCATGTATCACATAAATAACAAAACTTATATTATTCAAAAAAGCAGCTTAAATCAATCATAATATTATGTCTACTCATTCATCTCCAAATTCTAAGATTTTTATTATTACACGTCAATATGTATATATGGATTCCTTAATAATATTCCCGCATGTATATTACGATAATATATTTTACAGTTCTTGTTATATTTGACACAACTGTAATTTATTATCAACTATATCGAGCGTTAATTCTGGTAGTTACTAATATAACGATTTTGGATTAATTTTCAGAGGCAGAATTACGAGCAAGCAACTAGCTCGTTTAGGCATGAACATAGTCAGTTTCAACCTCAGCAAGTTGAAGTAACTAACTTCTCTAATTTGTATGAAGCTCAAGGCTCTAATCGTAATTTCCGTCAGAACCTGAAGCGTCAGAACCAATCTAATTGGCAGGTTCCCAATCCTCCTAAACGTTTCAACGCCCCGCGGGCCGTGAACCCATGGCAGGATGATTCGGTACAAGGGCAACGGAAAGTTTTCCAACCCCCCAAAAACACTTTCACGCCCCTACCGCTAATGTCCATAAAGCCTGGCATAAGTCAGCGCATGAAACGCGATAACCCAAAGCGAAGGGATTTCCAACCCTCGAAAATAACGAAATCCAAACCAAAAAAAGACAACCAACCCCAAGCCAGATCACAGCCCGTTAAGATAGTTAATCACCCAACAAACGAAGCTAAGAATTTAGTTTCGGACACAAAGAAAGCTTCAGAGCCTATTGAGGATCAGATCTTGCATCCCGATAAACAGCTATCATTGCAAATGAGGGGGCGGCTTGAGCTTGCGTTGGGTTCGATCCTGAAAGAGTTACGCCTAGAGCTAGCCAGCGATCCCGATGTATCGGAGTATTTCGCTACGCATTACATCCAACGGATCGTAAAACGCATGATACGTTCCCGTATAAGGGATGTCATGATGGGTAAAGCCATTGGCACCATAAATGACATTCTGGACAACTACCGCCGAGCGTATCCAAAGGAAACCGATCTCGATATAATAAAAACTGTCAAAGAGGCCCAAGCCTACAGCAGTAAGAATCTGAGTGTAACGCATCTCATTGAATCAGGTAGCTATTACAATACATCGCATTGAATACAAAGCAATTTGTCAACAATGCGATGAAAGTCAATATTATTTTTAAACTGTCCCAGATCGTGTTTGGTCTATTTTATTATCTATGGTTTCCTAATATTTTATCTTAAAAAGATTTCCCTCATTCTTGCTAAGCCTTTTTGTCTTCATTTTGTTGACAGCTTACATTTTCACATTATATACGCAAAATTCAGATTCAATGCTTCTGGCATTAAATTGAATTTTGTATCAAATTTATATGGAGGAATTGTGATGTTTGTTATGAAAAAAAATAATCCAAAAAAGAAATTTCTACCTTCAAAATATATTCGCCTTTTCTGGACCAATATCACTGTCATAAATTTAGTTTTATACCATGGAACTTTATTTGTTCTCTATGTAGCACAGTTTTTTCCTGTACTTATATTTATGTGTTTAATATTTTTATTTAAATACATATTTACACAGGGTGCCTTGAAAGCAAAACAATATATTAGATACGAAGTATTTTCCTACATTTAATATTGTTTTTTAGACAATCCCCAGGATTTCTTCAGGATGAATATGACTCGTATACTCAGCAACAAATTGGAAGATCTGTTCACCACTGTTAGTATATACAAATATTTACCTAAATGATTGTAAAATTACCGCAATAAGTAATATAATATTGGAAAATAGTAGCCAAAAAATTATTTTCATACTTAAAATTTTATATTTAGCGATACTTCTATTTATTTGTCATAATCTTAATCGATAATTATATATATTACAGATGGAAACATTATATGAGAATAAAGACAAAGAGATCATTGAGAGCATCAACAAATTGCCCGAACCGGATAAATCTGCTAACACCAAAGATACAGATGAATACAATGAGAAGGTTAACTTGCAACTCATATTGGACAATTTCTTTGAACGAGTAAAAGATGATAACGAACTCGTGAAAGCATTGGGAGGTAGAATCGATAAAGCTAAGCATTACATTGACTTCATGGATAAATTGATTGTGGAGAGACTGCCCAAAGTTCTGCCTAAATTCAAGGATGTGAGTAATGTTTTGTACAAAATGATATTTATATAATACTAGCTTCCCCCCGCGGTGTTACCCGCGGATTTCCGGGATGTAAATAAGCTATGTGTTATTCCTGGACGTCAGCTTCCTGTATATAAAATTTTATCAAAATCGGTTCAGCCGTTTTAGCGTCAAGAAGTAACAAACATACATACACACACTCACAAACTTTCGCAATTATAATATTAGTAAGATAAGATAATAATATTAGTAAGATTATTAATATCACACACACATACTCGTACACGCACATTTTATCCATTCCCCATGAGCGTTAAACGTATAACACAACCTTGTTGCAAGTCGCATAAGAAATTTCCCTTTAATAAATAATTATGATATGTAACTAACAAATTATTGACAAATTTCAGATGATTTTAAACATACTCTATCACGATAGAGATTTCATCGGTGCAAAGGTTATGGTTATGAATGAGATGAAGAAAAAGGGTTACCGTTGTACAGTAACAGCAGATGAATCTGTACAACAGAAAGAAAATGAAGCTGAGATTATAGAAGAAACGGATAAAAATGAAAATAAATCTGTAGAACCGCCTAAAGAGACTGCTATTGATAAAACAACAAATGTTACTGCAACTACTACTAACGAAATATATTATGTTAAGGTATTTATATGTACATATATATAGTATATACATATCGATAACCTCCCACTTAAGTAAGCCACAAAAATGCTATTTTGCTTTTTTTATGAAAAATATCCTATTATGGATCATTACATCCATTCAAAGTAAAAAAACAACAAAAATACTAGTTTTAAAGGATTTGTCAGATTCATAATGTTCTAATTTTCAAACGCGAACGGATTAAACTGATGTATATGCCTATGCAATTGTTTACGCGGGGCGCGAGGTGGGTATGAGTTACATACAACAGAGTAAGACTTATGTTTTTCAACGTATACAGTTGTAACTATCATATACCAAAGCTATCTGGGCGCCGCGGTATAATGTTGTAAGTATTAGATGCAATAACTTTTATAGCTTATACTATGGAGTAAAATGTTGTATAAACAATATCTCCGCAAATAGGTATATTACTAAAAATACCTTTTAACGTAGTTAAGAAGACTATTATGTTAAATTTTTAAAGATGCATCAATAACTGCAGATTTTGGTTTAATTTGACTCTTAGAAACACTACTATTAAAGTACAGTTTTGGAGATACAACAACTTACGTGGGAGGTATCAATATATATACTTGGTCATAGTTTATTACTAACAGTAATAAATATATAAACGAATGCATACTTTAAATTAACTCGGAGTAAGTTACTTTTTTTTAGATAAGCATTCTCATTGAGAATCCCATCAAAATCGGTCCAATTATTACATAGATTAACCAGAATAGACATAAACAAAACATTATTTATATGCATCAGATAAAATGCAGTTATCTTAATATTATAGACATTACAATTGTATTCTTTTGTATTAATTACTAAATACCAATGTCTCGTTACTATGAAATACAAATTAAATGCATATATTTATATAACAGTACTATTTTAATATTATTACCATATTAAGACAAAATTTCTTCTAACAATATAATATCTCAAATATATTTATTTTTTTAATTTCCAGCTCATAGGACGCCCTAAACTACCAGCTCGAGCGGAAATCTGTGAATTCTTGAATCCTTTCAACACTAAATCCATCAAGAAACATAAGACTATCAACAATTTGCTTGTATTAACATTCACTAATAAAGATGACTATGACAGAATATTGGCTGCCAATGAAACTGTTATTGGTAAGAAAATGTACTTTATATATATACTTAGCTCTAGATATTAATTAACATTTAATTCTAATATGAAAGTACTTACTCTTAATTAGATCCCAAAAAATCTTTTAGAAATGTCATGTATGTATATTATCTTCGAAGGTACATGTTTTGATTTACTTTTATAGAATAACTAGCTTTCCGCCCGCAGCTTCGCCCGCGTAGTCGGTTATATCGCGTTTCCAAGATAACCTTTCAAAAATCTGAGATAAAAACTATCCTATGTTCTATTATGTTCTCAAGGTCAACTCTATCTCTGTACCAAATTTCATTAAAATCAGTTCAGTGTTTTAGGCGTGAAAGCGTAACAGACAGACAGACAGAGTTACTTTCGCTTTTATAATATTAGTAGGGATTAGCTAGTAAACTATATATGAAATAAGATCGAGTTTGTGAATAATAAATTTTTGATCTGTATATATGAATAATTACTCAAATATTGAACATTGAACAGGTGATGCAACACTCATTATAAAAGCAAGCGAACAAGTACTGTCTAATAAGTCAGTTAATCAGAGTTCGTCGGAAAAGAAATGTGAAACTCAAAATAAATCAGAAAAGAAGGAAGAATCTTTAAACTCATCTTCTAACGAAGCTCCAGATGACTGTTCTATATCAAATGATTTGGACAATCAAATTAATAGTTTGCTTACCTCTATAAGACAAGCAGATGAAGATGTTAGTTCAAATTCTAATAACATTAACGAAAATGAAGATATATCTTTAGATAAATCTTCTGAAGTAACCGAGAAAATGGATGTTAGCGATGAAAATACTGAAACCGATACAGTCAAAGTTAATGATGAACTTTCTCAAAATAATGACAAATTGCCTACTGATAAAGGTGAAAGTATCAATACAACTGATGTAAAACATGAAGATTCTACTGAGAAATCAAATATTGACGAAGAAAATATTAAATCATGTGATGAAAAGGATGATAATCAAAACAAAACTGATTCTACTGAGGAAATTGAAACAAAAACATCTGAGATTACAAATGATGAGAAAGAAATGAACACTAAATGTAATATAACAGACGATTCAAATGAATTAAATGTTGAAAAGAATAAAATTGAAGAATTAAAGAACAAAGTTCCTGGACGTTCTACACCTACTAGGTTTTCATCGAGACTAGCGAGCACACCCTCTACAATTACAACAAGAAGAGCTAGCAAACTAGCTCAGAATAATCCTTAAATATTTCACCATAATTTCATCAAATTTCATAATAATATTCAACAATGGTATTGTCACAAGTGAATATTTTATGTTCTCAAACAATATGTTCATCGCTTTTATTTCAATAAAACATTTTCTCTAATATTTGTTTCAATTAATTTTACTAGAAATATTTTTATTATTTCGTTAATGTACATATTAGGCTGAATAGATATTATTTTAGCCAACTTTTTATAAAAACAATTATTCAGTCAAATTTAAGTGTAATGTCAAGTAAAATATTTGATATAAAAATTAAAAATTCCTCTAATAAACTAGATAACTTAGCACTTATTGTGTTCTATTAAAGTAAATATTCTTTAAAAATAAGAATACTCCATGGTAAGTATGTAATTATAAACTATTTTTTATTTCAATAAATTATTTAAATGTAAAGTTTTTAATGTGAACTCCATAACAGATAGAAAAGTGTTGCCTAAAATTATGGAAATCTTATTTATTGAAGTGAAATTTATGCGACTTCCAACATGGTTGCGTTAAACGTTTAACGCCTCCGGGAGAGAGGATAGAAATAGATAGAGCGAGAGGAAATACGGGCAATTAATTATGACTTGTAAGTAATGTTAATAAAGATTGTCTTAAAGAAACACGAAAAAAATCATAAAAATTTCCTGTTTTCATTCCAACACTACGAAGTTTCACTTCAGCTCGGAGGGAATCCGTGAACAATTATTTTTATATAATATTAAATTATAATTTCAAATATATGTATAATGTAATTCATAAGTGGTAGAAGTATGTAAGAAGTTTTTCAATAATAAGAAAAGTTCGTGTAACCTGCTTCTTATGTCATTAGGAATAGGAATTTTATGTATGTAAAATATTAGTTTTTATAAATATATGAGTTTTTGTAAATAGCATCACACACTACATAGCTCGTTATTTATAATCTTTTTCACCTTTCGGGATTATATTATTATATTGAATATTATCTGGGTATGTGTATTAAATAGACTGAAAATAATTTGTTATTTTCTTATTTAAAATTTTTCATTGACGTTTATATAAGAAAATTAGATTTCCGTACATTTTGAGATAAAGAATAAATAAGTTGATATAATTTTTTTTTTATCTAACATGAAACTTTTATATCGTTCAGTTCCTTCTAAATATCACATCTGTATACCTAATTACCTATGAAAGTTGTAGAATAAACAATAAACAGTAGAAACTTTAAAAAATGTAGGATTTTGTAGAAATCTTCGAGATAAAAATTTTGTTTATAAATGAGTAAATGAATACTCTTTTATAAAAGTTTAAAATATGACGTTTTATAAAGAAAAATCTATTCATTCACGGTATTAATAACAGAACTTTATAAATACAATGAATCGTAGCACAGATTATAATTGGTAAATAACGATATAGATGCTTTATTATCATTACTATGTAATGAAAATTCTTAAATAAGAAAGAAAGACTAAGGTTTTTTTAATACTGCACGCTTTTATAATTCTTTTAACTACATAATCCTGACTTTTCGGTTACTTTACAGGAACCGTGATCAGGCGGGCAGGCAGACAAGATGAAAAAATCACGGTTTATTTAAATGAACTGAAAGTTAGTATTATGTAGTGAAATAATTATAAAAGCGATTAGGATCCGAAAACTTTAGTTTTATTTAAATAAGTACACACGAATATTTTATATATAATTATGTTATTAAACTTGATATAACGTTTGAAAATTCTTACCATCAGTTGATTAATATAATACTCGTAAGTTATAGTATCTGTGACAGGATCGAGCGCTACTTGGATCATTTCGTCGAATTCTTCCTAAAAGCAAAAATATTTTTTAATTAACTTATAATTGATATAGAATTACAATAAAGGTGTATATGTGTATATATATATTCTTTTTCATTCTGATAAAACATAAACCCGTATTTTAGGCTATTGCCGGAAGACAACATTTTAATATAGTGATTAATTGGTAGCATCAATCAATTCATAAATAATTTATTTTGTATACCTGAGTAAATGGCTCCCCTTCTTCAAGCATGAGTTGTGTAAATCTCTCTTTAGTTATAAAACCCTGTCCATCTTTGTCGAAATAACGGAACGCTGCTAACAAAACTTCAGCGCTCGCTGGATAAAACCTTTTAATGAATATCAAATATATTAAATTTACAAAAAAATATAAGTGGCATTTTAAAATTGTGTATGCTGTTTTGTAAAGTAAAAAAAAGAATGAAACTAATATTTTCGGATTATTACGCGTTTTTTTATTATTTTAACCACATACCTATACTTACTTTCGACTCTTCGGTCACTTTGTAGCAACCGTGATCACGGGCAGACGATATATTAACATGTAGTTTTGTAAAATAAACAATAAAGTAATCTTAAAATATTAGTGTCATTTAAATGAATACTCGCGAAAGTCTTAGATCTCAATTAAAATCTTAAATGAATAGGATTTAAAATGTATAGCTACCTGTGATCAGTAATAGCCTTGAACAAGTAAGGAAGAAAATTTATAAGTGGAACATTGCCGGTAGCTTCTTTGTTTTCGGTTGCCAGAATTACTTCTTGAACTTCAGCCTCCGTAGGACAACATCCTTTAAAGAAAACATTATCTTTTTATTGTACAAATAAAATGACTTTAAGTAAATGAAATTAGTTTCGTTATCTCAATACCTAGAGATCGCAAGATAGTACCCACTTCTCGAACGTCAACCACTTGTTTCCCAGAATGATCAAAAACTTCGAAAGCCTCTATTATTCTCTTTTCAAGCTCATTATTAGGTAGAACTAAAATAAAATATATTCCTTTTATAAATGGTTAAATGGTATGTAATTAAGGAATAAACATCTATAATGTGTATGTATATTATATTATTATATAAGTAGATATATATTTATGGAATATTTATTTATGTATCGTACATATACACATATATATTGTATCTATTTTTTATGTATTAAGTAATTTGTACACCCCTACCATCCTATCTCTGTCCTCTACCAAAGGTTGCCTGGAAGAGACCGCTGTTTTAGCGATAAGGCCGCCTATTTGTACATTTTCATTTCTTTGTTTTTCTCTTATTATTTTTGTCTATATTGGTGTACAATAAAAAGTATATAAATAAACACTCGTTAGTCTATTTAAAACTATATATGTATTTGGAGATTGCCTAAAATTAATTGAGAAACTATAGGTACTTTTATTAAATGTGTCAGACTTTTGACGAAATATAAACAATCGTAATATTGTTAATCTTACTTTTTGGTTCTTCTTTTCGGGCCATTTTGATTTACAAATATATGAGATTCAGTATAATACCATAAAATTAACCTAATAAAATATAAATATTAAAAAGATAAACATTTGTGAATTGCTTAGCAACCCCTAATACATCTTAAGCGATCTGTGCATAAAAATAAAATAAACCATTTCTTTTCTTTGATAAAAATAATTTTGATTTAAAAATTTTCTTAATCGTAAGAATTGGATTTATTAAAAATATAAGTAATAAAATCACTATTATTAAAAAAAGTAGAAATTAAAGTTATTGTAAAACTATAATTTTGCTAGAATGATGTATGATTAACGTATGCCTATTGTCATAATATGTCAATGTCAATTCACAAGGCACAAAAATTTACTTTAAGCTACAATTTGATTTACTGAAAAAGAAATGCTCGTCAGTTTTCATATTATAACTATGCTTTAGTGAATCGGTCTTCAATTCTATTTTCAGTTTAATTCAGTCATATTTAATTATTTTGACTTGTTTTATTTATTATACAAGACGTGAAGGCAAAATGGTGGCATGGAGAACCACGCAAACGATCATTGTATTTAAGAGTATTTACTTTTTGATTATAATTTATGAAGAACAATATGGATGATTTAAATCACACATTACTGAAAACTTTCTAAGGTAAGTCATATTTTTAGAAAAAAATAAATAACGCACCGCTACACCTATTTATTGCATTTAAGAATAACATCCTTAGTAGACAAAGGCACCCACTAGACATTATAAGGAGTCAACATTTGAACAAACATTTTAGTTTATTGCAAATAAAGTTTTTGTTATTTGTACAGATTTTAATAAGCAATGTGTATGATAAAATTTTAATAAGTCTTAGTAATGAAAAGATTACATATCCAAAGAGCAAAATAATAACTGTTCATACTATTTACACTAATAGTTGACATAATAACATAAACTGGGGGTTGGTAAAATTTCAGATGTGGTGCCAGAACAGTTTTTGTTTTTGGCTTAAGATTGGCAATCAGTCAAAAGACTAAATATATGCATTGTGTGGAATTTTGGTTGCAAGACGAGGCTATCGACTCATCTGACTTTTCAGAAGACATCTTTCCTCTTTAGTCTTTGCACCACAGCTGAAGGATATAAGAGTTGAGATGTCAGGTAATTGGTATGAACATTGTTGTGCAAAAATAATGGAAAAAATCTAATAAGCTACAGGAAAAAAACACTAATTATAATAATTAACTGGTAATAAATAAATAAACATATTTAATAATTTTCAAAACTTGTTCTTAATTAAAAAAATGAAAACAAAGAAATTTGAATAATATTAATTTGGGAAATTACACTTTGAGAGGGAATTCCTATGTTAGTCTTCTAGTTGGGTGTCCATCAATCTCAAATCGGGATGCATTTTTTAAACAACATTGATAGTTATATCACATTAAACCAATATTAATATATTTTAAAGTTTATATGAATAATGTCTTTTGTAGTTTTACTTTTAACAAACATGAATTGGACTGGTCTGTGGTTGAGGTTCTCGGCTCAATTTGTAGTCTGAATTGGAATCTTCATTTGGTGTATTTTGTTTGGGATCTCACAGATTTATCTCATCAGAAGATTTAAATGTGCCGGGTTGTATCTCTTGTGATTTTAATTGGGGTCTTTGAGCAGAAAATAAGTTAGGATATGGCCACTTATTCATATTGCCAGTATTAATTCCCTTTATTTTCACAACGCAGAAGTAGCAGTCGTCATGACGGTTTTGACTGTCATGTGTGGGATCCCTTGAATCAACCGCAATCAAGAAAAGAACTGTATTTTGCAAATGTGTCTGAATTTATCCAAGGAACAGTCACTCCTAAGAAACTACGTCTCGAAGATGACCAAATATCTGTTGTGGTACAAACATATTTTTTATTTTTATTTTATTTATTTATTTATTTGGTTCTCCAACAATGTGTACACTAAATAAATAAAATTTTCAATGAATAAATCTTAAAACTAATTGTCACATTTATTTACAGGTGAACACAGCATGCACGAATTATTTAGCGGAACAACATTTTATTATTTATGATATAAATATATTATACGAAATATATGGTATATAAAACATAATGAAACGAAATCAAAGTGAAACAAGCAAACAGAGTGTAAATAAAATGAATTGGTAATTTCTATTTTAGTACTATATTTTATACTGATTTTATGGATGTAGTAGTTAAATAAATACTCAGAAAATACATTATACATTCAGCAGACTTATTGACAGTATTGAGCAGAATTCAATTGATCTTTTAGTGTACATTTATGTTCTGTGTATGCATCAGCAATTTTATTATAGCATATTCGGTTTCACATAAATTTTGGTGGACATATTAGTTGTTGAGTTCCCTCAATTAAAGCTCTAAATGACTTTTTTTCTATCAGTGCCATAGGTGACATTGTGTCAACAACAAAGTTTACTATTAATTTATCCAGATTTATTGACTTCTGTAGAGTAAGAATACTTTGTTTCATTTTTTTTGTACTTGTGGTACTACTGTTATCACATTCTGCACTACACTTTCTTTTCTTTATATGCAGGCAGGGGTTTTAATTGTTCCTACTCTTTCAGAAGATCACCATGGCCTTTTCTCTAACGAAAATATAACAACCAGAAAAAAACAAAATAAAACTAACATTTTATATACATAATTATTATAATTGTCAAGAATTATTACAATTGTCTTGTGGGGATTACTACTTAACTAACTATTTCGGAGGTTTCTTGAGTATAGTAATTTATTTATTTTAAATATTTATTTGGGAAACAAACAATTTTAAAACTCTGTAATATAAAATAAAAATCACAAATCAATCAAGTTTCCACTTTAGGCCAATACAAAAAAAAAAAAACAAATCGAATTAAATTACAATCTCATGGCCGGTTGCACTTCGTGGCATTGTCGCCAAACTTGTGATAGTACGAACAGATAGGGTACTTTTGATTGCTTGAGTGTGATTTCGGTGCTGGAGACGGGCTTCGATGTCTGGAACTATGTATCTGGTTGACCTTTGCAGAAAGTTCGCTTACTTGTCTGGTGTTTTAAGCAATCTGTCTAGCCATGGCATCGAACGCGGACTCTGACCTGGGGATTGCATGGAGCAATGTCATTGATCCGGTCTGCTAAATCTGCAAGCGCTTCTATAGGCAAAGTAGGCTGCCATTTTATAATTGTCTGCATCGAACTTGGCAATCGGCTAGTCCAGATCGTTTTCAAAAAATCTTCTGGTACCGCTGGACCTGCTAAATGTTGCAAGTGTCTGAGAAACTGCGAAGGTTTTCTGTCTCCTAGCTCTTCGTGCATTAACAATTGCTTTACTTTGTTCTCTCGATATACCGACAATCGCTTTATTAATTCACTTTTCAATTTTTCGTATTTGTTAGTCTCAGGAGGTGATGTAATAATATCCTCGACTTCCGATGCATACAGGTTATCAAGTTGGGCGATGACGTAATAAAATTTCGTTGTGTCTTCCGTTATGCGAGAAATAGCAAACTGATCTTCTATCTGGGCAAACCAATGGGGAAAGTGGAGACCCTTCGTACGGTTTTCACATTTTATTTTGTTAAATTTTTACTTTTTTATGAATCAATCACCCGATAGCTTAAACTTATATGTAGTATAACTATCTAAGATTCATATAAAAAAATTACAAATGTCTTTATCTGATATTTCAGCCATAATATGTAATGATTTAAACTAAATCTGAAATTAGTACGAATGTGCCCCATCAATGGGGCACCTATGTACAGTGTTGGGAGTACCTTCGTACGCTGTAGGGTACCTTCGTACGTGGGTTTAAAACGACACATATAAATCAAAATTCTTTTATTGGCAAAGAAATTAAATCAAATCAAATCAAACAAATCTTTATTTAGACATACACAGTTTAACATATAAAAAACAGTATAAAAAAAAGAACAACGTGAACGTGATGCCTAAATTGGTAGGCCACTCAGCTTACGTTGAAAACTCATTGTCATGAGTTTGTCGTCAAATTAAAAATACAAATAAAGAATTAACTTATGATAAAATAAACCAAATGAAATACTTTTCATAAAATCAACAAAAATTAAACAGCTATTCTTACTAAAAACAAAACATACCTAAATGACTTTTCTTAAAATTAACGAAAATGAAATTGCTTTTCTCTAATATTATAACATAAAATTGCTTCATTTTCTAACTAAATTAGTTCTTAAATTAAGAATCTTTGGTGCGGATTAGCACAGCAAAAGTTGTTGTTAATAATAACATGATAATATAACTATAGAACAATAAAATTTGAAAAATCAACTGAAAAAGTGAAAAGTTTTGATGTTCTAGAAGTACAAACTGTTGGAGGCTTAGGTTCAGGAAGAATCATTTCAACGTCAGTTATAAAAACAGTATGCATATCTTCAACATTAGGGAAAACAAATGTCCATGAAAAGCCTGTCTTCTTTCTTAAATAAGATACTTTAAATTCAGTCTGATTATTCATTATAGTGATCGACAACTTTTCCTACATAGTAAATAATACTTTTTTCTTAGGGAACCTCACTAAAATAAACGAACCGTCTTTAATATTTTTTTGTATTACTTCAACAGTCAATAGGCTTCTGTTTATTTCATAATTTTCATGCTCGGTTTCATCTTCATCTGTGATGGAAGTTGAACTCTCTTGAAAGCTTATATCAGACTCATTACAATCAGATTCATCGCTGTTTATGTTTTTAGCTTTCTTGTTCTTCGTTGTTAAATTAAAATCAGCTATATTACGTTTCATTTGTCTAGCCTTAGACCTTCGTTCTTGCTCTTGCTTTTTCAATTGCTTTTCATTTTATTTGTCTTCAATTAGCGGAGCCTCCATATCCGTTGAAGGTCTATGAAACTCTTATTTATTTATTTATTTATTTACGCTTCACAAAACAGATTATGACTAAAGATACAATTAATTGATAAGTAAACATTATAAATAAGCTCAGTTACCTATAACCCAACAACCATGTGAACACAGATTATTATAGACTGAATATTTCACTTATAAAATCAAAAATACATCAGCACTTAAAAATACATTGTATACATATAAAAAAAGACATTTACAATAAATAGAAAGAATATTTTACACTGAAAATTATGATGAGGAGAAACTCTTATCTTTTCTCGCGCCATATTCAGGCCATCCAGATTTTGGTGGGTGGCGTGGTTGTCCATAATTAACAACACGGGTTTTACTTTCGTTGGCCGAGTTTTTTCAATAAACACTTGCAACCAATTATTGTAGTTCTCGTTATTGATCCATCCAGAGTCTGAACACCAACCCTGTGCACCGTTAGGGGCATCATCCAGCAAACGAGCATTCATTCTCTTTCTTTTTCCGAAAATAAAGCATGGGGGTACAAATCTGCCTGTCGCACTACAAGCGCAAATTATAGTCGTAAGTTGTCCCTTTTCTGCGGAAGATACGACTCCTACTTGCTTTTTCCCTTTAACGTCAATGACTCGGGGTGGGTGACTAGCACTTGTTTTAACCCCAGTTTCGTCCATATTATAAATATCATCTGGACGGGACATGGAATCATGTTGGCATAGTACATGCACAAGTTATCGTAAAATCTATCAACTTGCGTACGATTGTAATCTAATCTAATGAAATCTAATGCAAATATTGAGTTTAACTTACATTCTATATCCCTAGTAGCCACATAAGTGTAATCAATAAAGAATCAAATACGTACCTTTCAACAAAATATCAGGCGGTACAATTCCCCTATACAAAGACTCTATTATATTATATTGATCTATAAAGATTATATGTTCTGCTTTCTCAATGCACACAGAACCTCTTCGTCTATGTGCAGAGTTATGACATGCTTTAATATAATTAGAGGGTCTTTGTTTTTGATCTCCTCGACTTGTATTTTTTTCCTGCTTGATTGATTTGACGTCTTTCAGAGGGCTAGTAAATAATCGAAATGGATAATTTTTATTTACTGATTCGCACAATATTTAATTGTATTATAATCTGTCATTATTACTCTATTAAGGAAGTGAAAAAAAACAACATTTTCTAATTAAATCAGTATTTATTTGGTTCAAATCATATAACCTATATTTCGCTTGGCAATATATATATATATATATATATATATATATATATATATATATATATATATATATATATCAAAGATTCTAATAAAATCGTTATAAAAATATAATTATTATCTTAAGCCAAAACACCTTAACCCTTTGTAGCCCAAGATCATACTATTTTAAATTACTTTGGGATAAGACAGGTTTAACAAATAAAAAAACACGTATTTCTCAAAATTTAAAAAATATTTATTATTTTTTATTTATTTGACATTTTAGGGAATGTAACATTACTGTAACATTGGGTTAAACTAACAGAAAATGTAATTATGTGGTATGAAAGGATCTGAAACAATTATTTTGTTTATTGTAACATAACGCTACTCCGCATTTTTCGCAAATCGTTTGTGATACACCAGTACATTTGGGAAATTTGCACCGAACCCTTTTTTCTACCCAAATCGGCCAGTGGCCAATTTGATCCTGCCTTACTGCCAATGGGGGGACATGTTGCGCTGGCCCTTTATGTTTTTTGACTTGGATTTCATTTTCGATCGTCCTTCGGTGCTTGATATTAGGTTTCAAACCCATCTTGCATAAAGTCTCACCGATCTCAAGGCGAAAATCTGCTGAAGACATTTGTTTGTCACTGCAATTTTTTGCCTGCCTTACTCTTCGATATAATAGCCAAGAATTGGCCATAGTCAGATCTAATAAATGATAGAACATCCGAACCTGCCATCTTTTACTTCGTGTCAAAATTTTATACCTTCCCATAATGCTGTCAATCAAATCTACGCCTCCCATATGCCGATTATATTCACCGACAACATGAGGGCGATCAATGTTGATATACTTCTTATTGGCCTTATCGTATCGTCTAACTTGGGCCTTTGGCAATTCACCAGCAAAAGATGATACAAGCGTTACAACTTTATTGTCTTTCCATATAACGTTTGACACATCAATTCCGTCCATATTCGCTACATATTCAACTGAAAATCCGCGTTCTTTTTTCATTACTTCCTTGTCAGCGGGTAGTTTACAATCTGGAATACGATTGCGTCGTACTGTCCCAAGACTCAATATACCCTCTTTAGCTAAGTACTCCAGTAATGCCAAGGAAGTAAAGTAATTATCAAAATAAAGTTGATAATTCTGATGCCTTGGTATGCCCCGCGCCATTCTGACGACTACGTTTGAAGATGCTCCTAAATCTGGTTCATCAGGAAGCACAACATTTTCAGCTCCTGTTTCAGGTTCAATTTTATAGGCAAAACCTGAGACCCCACTTAGTACAAAAATCTTATAACCCCATTTTGTGTGGTTTTTTGGGATTGTATCTTTTCAAATTACATCTTGCCTTAGTGGAGCAAATCTGTTCGTCCACACAAAGGTATGTCTCCAATGGAACTGTACTAAAAGTCCTATTCAAAGTTTCTACGATAGGTCTAATTTTGAAAAGCCTGTCACCATTAGCTGAATTACGTGGGGGTAAATTAGAATTGTCATTGAAATGGATATACTGTCTAATTTTTTCAAATTTTTGCTTCGGCATTATTTCTTGAATCATGGGTGTACCAATAGTTGTGTTCCAATGACTGGTTACTCTTGGCAATTGTATCAATGACATCAGATAAGTTGCTCCAATAAATTGCTGGATATCGGTATCGGTAATTTGAAAGGATTGGTTAGGATTTTTTTGTATTATGTAGAGATTTGTTTGTGCTGTAATAAAAGTTATCAATTCTTTGGGAAAAAAATATAAAAAGAATTGAATTGGTGTATCAAGCTCAAGTAAATTAGGTGGTAAAGTAGTATTTCCTGTAAATCGCAACTGCTGGTCGTTTAGAAGTAGGTTTTTCTTTTTCCATTGTAATTGTCGCTTTTTTCCTTTTTTATTAGTGGTAGCTTTATTTGAATGGCTCTCTTGCTGTCCAGGATCTGAAGACGAGGCGCCAGCAACAGGCTCACTGCGTTCAGATTCTTCGATAATTGAATCTATATCAACTGCAGTATCTTCTTCACAATCAGAAAATATTTCTAAATCTTCTAATAACGGCTGAAAATCTGGATCAATGACGCTGTCATCATCGTCTTCTAATCCGTCTTCACTATCATATTGGTGCAATAGGTCATCTATTTCACGATCCCTCAGTGTGTGTGACCCCATTCTAAAATAATGGCATAATTTTATATCAATATCCAAATACTTTAGTTTCAATCAATATTTCAATGTAACAGAAATGTTACAAACATATATTGATACGTTTTTTACATAAAAAAGCAAAAATATGCTTTGATAACGATATATGAACAAAATCATTCACTTACCTATAGGTTTCGACGAAAACAATACAATTTTATACACTTTTAGTATATTTTTATAAAATTCAAACTCTCAACGAGTTTCAACCTGTCACTTCCATCGACGGACGTAATTCAAACTCCCTATAATCAACAAGTTACGCCATCTATGATTTGTACTTGATACTAAAATGTTTGGTTTGGTATGTTACAATACAGTAACACTGATTTGAATGAACATAAAATATTTAGTATATATTTTAGCGGGATTATTGAGGTTTGTTACAGAAATGTCACACGAGGCTACAAAGGGTTAAATTAGTTAAATTCTATTAACAATAATACAAGTCGTGTCCACAACATGCTTTCGCTCGTTAAAAGAGAACAAGTCAAGCGTCATAGCTTTAATATCGCTTCGGATGCGTTCGGGAATTTAAAGGTTCGGTTCAAATAAAAAGTGTGTTTCCTTAATCGGCCAATCCTGACGAAGCGTCGTCCTCGGCGCGCTCCTCGCCAAGGCCAGTTGACTATATTGGTAAACATGAACTTAACCACCCTTATAATGGTTACGAGTTAATAAAACAAAATTTGTACCTGTTAGACTCATGCCTTAATTTGAATTGCTTGTTCGTTTTGTTTTAATCTCCCAGTGAAAGAGTATACAAACCAACTGTTTCGTTATTTTGAACTTCGCTGTTTAGTCGCTTTACTTGAGGTAGCGTTAAACTTCTAATGTACTGAAACGTAATATGGTGCCTGAAAAAGAATGTGTCCTACTTCTCGATCGTGATGTAAACTTATATTCTTAGATCGAATTCTGTTCCAATTTTCCAAAACCAACGGTGCTTGTTTTGTCGACGCCACTTGTTTCGAGACTAATGTTATCTATCAGTCTTATTCACTCGCAAGTAATTGTTAAAGTAGATTTGAAAACACATATTTTATTTTATTTATTACTTTTTATGTACTTAATCAAAACGGTATTACATAAATATAACTATGAACGCGAATGCTATCCCACTTCTGAATTAAGGATTCTAATAAAATCCTTATAAAAATATAGTTTTCTTATAAAGCTAGTAATTTTAAATAACAATAAAACCTTAACCAGAGCAAACTAATTATTATCTTAAGCCAAAACACCTTAAATTAGTTAAATTCTATTAACAATAATACAAGTCGTGTTCACAACATGCTTTCGCGCGTTAAAAGAGAACAAGCCAAGCGTCGTAGTAGCATTTTTTTTTTATCTAAATATATTGCTTAATGGTAATAAAAAGTAGACAAAAGGGATATAAAAGTAGACACGTTAATAAATGTTATAGATGTTTAAAGACTTAAAACTATATGATGAAACGATGAAGAGCCCGAGGGGCTGGAGGGCTTTTGCGATTTGATACAGCGGTCCTCCAGCTCCCAAGTGCAAAGGGTGATAATGAGGATGATTGATGAACCTTATACTAACTTAAAACTAACAGTCTGAGCCGACATAAATGTATAAATATAAGGAAGGGATATGTACAAGGAGACAATATAAAAAAAGAAAAGAAACAGTTATTTTACATATTATCGTAGTAGCGTTGTAGCCTATTCATGATAGCATTCTGTTCTAAATTCGTTTTTGAGCGTGGAATCGAAAAAGGAACGTATTTACTCGCTCGGGGTACCCTTGACGGCGCATTAAAATTAATCTTTTTTACGAGGTTAGGACAGTAATTTGCCATTAACGATTTTGTGAAGCAAAATCTGGTCCAATAACTGTCTCCGATTGAGGAAGCCATTTAGCTCAGAGTATTCTAACCGACTATGTTTTCTTCTAATCAAATTTTTCATGAACAGGGTATTCAAATCGCGTAATTTATTATTTGTTAGCGCGATTTTTTCTGTATAAGCCGGTTTTAAAGTGATGGCAGATGTGATTGAAGATCGGCTCTTCCTTTTTTTAAATTCAACCTCAATCCACTCTTCCTGTTTATAGCTGGTTTTATAAAAAAATTTGTCCTCTCCTTTTTGAAATCGTAAGATTTTTACATCCTGAAGTTTAAAATCATCCCTATTTGTGTTTTTGGCAAGTTTTGGTACCATCTCCTCATAAAGTGCTTTAAAATCGTAAAAATCTCCAAAACTCATTTCGTTGACATGCAAAGGGTTTCCTTTTTTTTTAGCGTTTCTGATCAGTGAAACGTATTGATCGGGCACGTAAATAGGGCCTGACTTCTTTGCTCTGTTCAAAGATCTTTCTATGATGCTGTGAACTGCGTCTCCCTCGTTTTGCGTATGACCGCGAATCAAATACTTGTGCGTAATGGACTGGATGTCAAGATGTTCAACTGCGTACAAGTATAGAGCGATCATGTACCTACAACAACAGTGGAAGTTAATTACGTTTTCCTTCATAGCCAAAAGCTTGAAAGAATTAAAGTTTATGCTAGGTACCTATGTATTCAAATCAAATTTTGTTTGTACTATCTGAGGCTTACCGGTTCTTCTGTTGGCCCCCGCAGTTGTCAGAGTACAATACAACGTCTTGCCCAGGGCTGCTACTTGAACACGCGTCGAGATATTTGTAAACGCCAGTTCCTATCTCGTTAACACCCCTGTGCCCAAGTCCTTCATGCCAAAAGAAGCACACGGTCTTGTCGCTTCCGATTTCAGTTACCTGCAAAAAGAAAAAATTGAACAGTTTGGACACGTTTTAGACAGTAGGAAGTAATTTATTATTATTATTATTATGAAGTAGTAAGTTACTGTGAATGGAACACTTGCTGATACTTACTGTGAAATTGAAACAATTTAGTCGTGACTTGTAATAAAAAGCTGATGTTTGCCCCATCGGTACTGGCAACACTGCTTGTAGGTCGTAAACAGCTAACTTGATTTCTCCTTTTTGGGACTTTTCTTTCTCAAGTCGACTTAATTCTTTTTCCTCCTGATGTAGGTGGTAAGCGTCTTCAAGTTCCTTCTTGTCATCATTAACAGCATTTTTGTACGCCTCACATTGATCACATTGATCCTTCTTCGGCAGGAAGAATCCTATATTAAATTCGTTGTTAAATATCCGTGCATACGTATCATAATTTGCCGGTTGCATATTAATTGCAGATCGTTCGGCAGAATACTGACGATGCATATCTGCTATGGTTAAACCACCATCGATGAACTCTCTCATTGTGTCCTTTCGTACGTAGTGGCTCTCAACACGGGGGATCGAGTTTATGTGGTTCCTGACTGAAATCAAAATTTCTTCGTCTATCTTCTTACGATTGGTATGTTTACCTCTTTTGTCTTCCAAAGAAGCAATTCCAGTTCCACTCAATGTGGATTACTGTACGGATTGCTCTTTCGCTTATCCCCAAAGTATTTATTATGAAGGTTTTACATACTCGAACCTTATTTGTATTAGTATCCCTCAGATAAAAAGCACAATTTGGCTTTCGAGGTTCTTGGGCAGTTATGCGACGATATTTCAGAGCAAGTTTCTCAATACATGCACTGAGAAAATCCCGCTGACGTTGTATCGAACCCATTGCCCAATAATCCGTGAACAGCTGAACTCTGTATTGTTCTGTGAATTTCTTGGAACAAGACAGGATACATTTATCCTTGCAAGAAGGACCCAACTTTCGAGGGGGTACAGTTTTCCCTGTTCTACCTGTATAACTTTTTCCTGAGTTCCTCAACAGTTTAGCTTTTACTTTGCACCAGTTTTCGACATTTCTTGTTCTTTTTTTTCCCCTCACTGTTGGAGATGGTTCATGGAGTTGTGTTTCATCTAGCTGGGTTTCGGCATTGTTGGTAGTGGAGGTAATTGGGGAAGAAGGAGATAAATTGCTGTCCGAAGATTCATCACTACTTGATGGATCATACATTTCGCCTGAACCTGATGAAACGACGTCATCGGATTCATCCGAAGTGGTACCGTGCTCAGAAGACTCCAATTTTTTCAAATGCATAGTTGTCGGAGTTGACTCCACAACATTCCACTGGGTTGATTCATGATTGGATTGATCATGACTGATATTACTGACCTGTATGGAGGGTGCAGGCATTTCATTGTCATTTGACACAGAAGAAGAAAAATTCACCTCATCGATTTCCTTACTCATTATTTCACGAGCAAGCCGCACAATTTTCTTGGTCCGTTCGCTCATTTTAGCCCTAAAAAAAAATTCTCAAATGAACCTCTAAACCTTAAACTGAACCTCGAAAATAACAAACTAACTTTTTTTTAACCATCAGTAACGTTTAAATAATTAACATTACTAATTATTTCAAGTAAAATATGCATTTTCATCCTCAGATTCATCATTATGAATTCAAATTTATAAATTGCCTTCAAGTCAACAGTGACATAAAAAACCGAATTACACAAATTCATACGTTCAACAACTGTTTCTAATAAATCGAATGTACAATGGCACAAAGAACAGTTATGCTAACGGATATCTCCTAAAAATCAAGCTACAATGACAAAAAGTACACTTACGTCGTTATTGCGCTAGAATCAAGAGGAAGTCAATCCTGGTTCTTGTCTGATGTTGCACTTACGTCACTGTGGCACAGAACACAACTACTCTCACGTGTATCAAGAACGCAACTGACCCATGTGGCGTTGTTCCATTGGAGGAGGTAACAAACAGGTGGTATTTCGACCGAGACGCAACTTGCCCTCTGGCGGTTTTGATGGAACTACTGTTACGTCTATGTTCCCTTGTGTGCGGGATGTATTTCTGACCTTGTCTATGGACTTATTTGCATTTGACCCATTTTTGCATTTACGTCACTGTTCTTCCGGAACGGCGATATGTCGGTAACTGTATATTATAATATTAGCAACAATATAATTATTTGGACATCTTTTGGCAAATTTCTAATATTTATAATATTAGTATAAATTAATGTTTCGCCTAGATAACAATAACTTCTCAAATCACAGTAATATTTTTGGACATAACTTGTTGTCTGCACAGGTCACGCACATCGTTTTTGAACATCCAAGACAAATAGGCTTACGGCATTTAATGCAATTGCACTTTTTTTTATAGGTTCGTTAGCGATTTTTACACAAATGTATATTTAAATAACGTTACATATAAAATTAAAAACATGCATAAACTGTGTAAAATCATTTAAAATTAAACACTGCATGCATACATAATTCTTTCTTTTAAGTAATGTTTGATAAATATAAATTAAAAAAATAATGAATAGCAATTTACATTATATATTAATTAATAATAAACTTGAAATAAGTTCATAAACATTTAAAAAAATTTATACAATCATAATGCGGTTTCTGATGTAAAGCAGTTATGATAAAAGTTATATAATAAAAATACAAAGTGACATTAATAAATAATAATTGAAAACATTCAAAACGAGAATAATTAAAATAATTAAATGAAAACAACTAAATTCATTGTAATTGGCTGATTAGGTTGTTTACAATTAACTTCCGAAAGGTATCAGGCGAATTTAAATTCATATCAATTAAATGACAAACCATTATACTTAGTACGCCTCTTAAGATTTGATGGGTATATTTGGACCTAGTACGCGTGCAATTGTCAGTCGCAATTCTTTCGACAATCTATTATTGTATACGCGACATTTTAGGTGGGGCAAAACTAATCTTTCCTTACCTTTACCGCATGATTTTTTTTGTTGATGATAAAAGTATATGTGATAGTAAATAAGAAATAAAAGAACACGTGTTTCTGCATTTTTTAATTTATCGAAAAATAAAGAAAATATACCGTTTTTCCATTTTGGTACATACCTATTTGGTCCAGTGAGCAAAAAAAACAAAATGTTTTTCGGTAATTGCAATCAGTTTAAAACAATAATTTTAATACGATATTCTTAGTAAATAACCTTATGGTTATATTATAGTACATTTTTGAGTAACTATAAATCCTTTAAATTGAAATAAAAATATTACAGTCACTTTATGTCGTATGAAATAACTTAAAACAAATTTTTTGTCATTTAGGCATAGGCTTACTTTACATTTTTGGCACTCAACATGTGACCTACCCTTATATTCTGGTACTTTGCACCGTTGTCTAGTGGTCCAGACAAGCATATGATCTATTTGATCCAGTCTTATATCTCTAAACGGCATGACAGCAATGGGTCCTCTCAATTTCTTCGCTTCAATAGCATTTTCCAGTTCATAAGAAGGCCGTCCTCGTTTTCCACTTGTTGATGGTTTATTGGTTTGGCTTAACCCTTCAGCTACTGCGCATTTGAAGTCAGCTAAAGGTAAATATGGGTCTAAATCTGCTAAAGTTCTCCTGTATAACAACCACGCATTAACTGTCATCATATCAACCATATGGAAAAATATGCGGTGGTAAAACATTTTCGATCTTGACTTGAAAGGACCATTAACCGCCACATCTAACGGTTGCAAACGATGCACATAGGGGTATTTAGTTAATCTAGCTGGCCAAAAACATTTGTTTAGTTTTTTGAGTTGCTAATGACGGAAATAAAACAAGCGTAATTAAAACGGTTATAAATAATGTTTATTTTTTTATAATTTCCATAAATAGAGAAAAAAACAAAAACCACAATTAAAAAATGTGATTCACATGTCTACATTGATATTATATAATGATGATTAGGGGTCATCCATAAAGTATGTCACACGTAAAGGGGGGAGGGGGGGTCGACAAAGTGTGACATAGTTATATATACTACATTTCCAAATCTATTATATCTAGAGGTAGTTAGCTTGTTGTTAGCACGCGATGCTGGTATAGCCTCAAATGAAGCAATAACAAAAAAATCTCAACTTTGAAGAAAAGTATTGAGCAGGAAAAAATATATTAAAGCGAAAGATTAGCGCAGCGGAAAGACAGAAAAAAGTCATTTAAATGGAAATAAAACTAAATTCGGAACTGCAGTTTTAATTTAATAATTTTTCGATGTGAAATTGCAAAACATGTGATGTCACACTAGGGAGGAGGGGGGTCTCAGAAATGTGACCACCTGTGACAAGGAAGGGAAGGGGGGGTCAAAAAATTATTAAATTCGTGTGACGTACTTTATGGATGGCCCCTTATGACACATATGATTCCATTAATTTTACTTCATAGCTACAAGTATTTATAGATAGTGTGGCATGTCTAGAAATATTTATTATTATTAATTAAATTAATGAATAATCAGTTTATCTCATCCTCACTTTCTGATTTAAGTGCGTGCGCGTCTTCTGGATTTGGTGTTGCAGATACAAGCATATTCAATGTTTCAGGAAGAAAAGAAGACTTCTTATTTTTCTTTATTACCCTTGAGGCACTAAAAAAGGGATCTGAGCTTAAAAGTAGCCTATTCAAAATGTCTCTATTACAGGACTCTCTAGAGAATTTTCGTGAGTAATCCTGTCTGTATGACCTAAAATGCTTGTTGCGTGCCTCTGCTGCTTCTTCAGATAGTTGCCCTATGGGTAACAATGCATTTTTTATTATATCCGATCCGTGCACAAGTACTTTGTGCAGTGTGGGTGTCATTGGGTGCCACGGGTAAAGTTTTACGTACAAGAAAGCAGTTTCTTCTGCATATTTTTCATATTTTTCTAAATTTATTTCGTATCCGCTCGAAATCGTTTCCAAAATCACTTTTAATCTATATATCAACTCGTAATCTATTCCTGTAATATCTGAGGATAGTTTCGGATCTTCAAAAAATCTCCTGCTGGTGTTGCCGTCATTAGTGTTTCCGAAGTTTGCTTTCGGCATGTCAACTAATAAGCCAGTTTCATTGCGGAACCTGGTCTGTATTTCGATTTTCTTATTCATCTCAATTTGTTTTTCCTCCTCTGATTTTCTCTGCCGGTACTTTTTCACAGGTAATTTATACGCTAAGTGTAGAATGCTTTCAAAAAATCGTATTCTCGCATGTAAAATAGAAAGACCGAATTCAGTAGCATCCTTTGAAATTCTCTTTTTGTCCTTTAAATTGTTGAATTCTTTGGAAGTTTTCCCACAAATATAGCAACGACTTGTAGATGTTGTTCCAGTAGCTGCGTTGCAAACCTTTCCATCTACCATTGTCATTACAAATTGGGAATGCACCAAAAACTTTTCTCCGTCAATATCCACCTCAGTCGCAACCAAATTATTAATGGAATTTTTAACATAATTGATCTCTGCATTTGTTACATCAGTTGTCTCTTTGACGAAGCGAAATCTTATTGGACGACAAAATCGGGCAGATGAAGGTGTTGGATTTTCCCATAACACCTTTTGATTGTCCTTACCGCAAATAAGTCGCACAGGTACAAAGCAGCTTTGAAAAATATTTGCATCAGAGTCAGCCTCATTTTGAAGTTTTTGTTTGTACTGTGCTTGTTGGGATCCATCGCAGCCCCATTTACATATCAACTTCAAAGTGTTCCGCTCTTGCTCTTTTATTGTCAATAAGACTTCTTCTAAGAATTCCGATAAGCGCTTAACAGTAATATCAATTAATGGTTGCAGTTGGGTTTCCGCGCAGGTACTCGTTATCGTGATCGTTTCTGGAGGAGGATAACATTTCTTTTTGGCTTCTTGAATTAGGCTATAACACGGGAAAAACTTCTTGTTCGTGTTTCTTATAACTTCATACTGTGCTCGTGTTAAATCTGCATCTATAAACATTTTTAAAGCTTCCATGGGGGTTAGACGCGATGATTTTCCACACTTAGAGGTATCGAAAGCTTTTTTGTACTTCGTTGCACGCGTCGGAGAGCTTGTTATATCTTGGAGAACGCGGGAAGCATCACGTTTTCCCGATTTTCTCAGTTCAACTTGAGCTGCGTGAACTATAACACCATCTTCTACATTGGAGCGGATCTCTTCAGTTTTTCTTCTTTTGCTCCTTTCGCTAGATTCACCAAATGATTTACGAGGGCGACCTTGACGATTTTTAGTTGTGACTGGAATTTCGAAATTGCCTTCCAGCCAAAGATGGTTGTTTGTTAAGAAAACCTCTTCTTTTTTGTGCGATTTAATCCACCTTTGCTTCATTTCTGATTTGAAATGTGAAAAATTGCGTTTCAGTTTATTTAACTGACTTTCACTAAGGTTGTCTTGAGTTAAAAGGTGGTCTCTCAAAAAACATAGCTTTTCTTCTAAATTACGTAAATTTTCATTCTTCATCTTATCGAAGAGTGATTTACGAGTCACTATTCTCACTCCAGAGGAACCCTCTGAACCTAAAACAAAATTTAAACATAAATTACTATTTCACTAATTTCGACTGTAAAAAATCAAAGTACTCTGCTTTAACGTATCTGCGCTATTCCGCGGCTAATTTATATAGGATTCGTTACTTAAGAATCTACTTTTTAAATATGAATGACAAAAAAAAGCCGGATCTACCCCGATACTAAAACAAATACATCTTTAAAGATAAAATTTCTTTAAAAAATCTTCTCATTTTAGACATTATTCCTCGGTCACTAAAAATATATGAAACAAAATTAAATTTTATTTATTATATAACATTTAGATTGTCACATACCTGTAGTCTCCGAATCCATTGCTTCTTTGCACCAGGTTAACACAGAAAACTGCAGTTTAGCTCACAATTTTAATGCTTTCTATAAATCGCCGATAACTGACAAATGCACAAAGTTCGATGATCAAATTCCGACTGAGTTTGCCAGATAACGCGCAACGGGAGAGGGGCGGGGACGGCGGCCTATTGTTCGTTGGAGTGTCCCCTGCATTAGGTAGTCGAATGCGGTAGCATTTTTGTAACTTTGTTATTTTGACTTTTGGCCGCGTAGATAATTAAAATACCCGTCTGTGCGATGTGTACAATGAGGAGGAAATGTAACAACAACTTTTCCAATTTCTCGACAGTAGTTGATAGCATCCAATGTGCAATGTCTCTCGTGGTTGTCCATCAAAAGCAGTATAGGATCCTCTTTTGAGCACCTGATTATAAGCTTCATGTGTTCAAGAACTTTTAAAAACAATGGTCCAATCATCCAACCACTAGTGGGACTATTAGCAAAACCTACACATCCTCGTGGTCCTCCACTAAGCATTTTGTCATGAAAATGAGCTCTAGGAAAAATAAAAACAGGGGACGTAGTTTCCTATGGCATTTCCTATCCCACACATCGTAATGAGTTGTCCACGTTCGGCAGACACGTATTGGTTTATTTGTTTTGCTCCTGTTTGAGCAATAACATTAGGTGCTTGCACGACGGCCATAATATTTGTCTCATGAAGGTTATATATCCTGTCGGGTGTAAAATTATATTTGCATAAAACTTTTTCATAACTATTATCAAAAAAAATTTCAACATTATGTTTGTTGAAGCTTGTTGCCCTGGACAAACTGGTATTTTCAGGTTTTCGGATTGAAAGATCTTTATTCCTTTTCATGAAGCCTTTTAGCCATTCTATACCGGCTTGTTTACTTTGTGTCGATTTAGTTGGACATTTACCGAGAGCTAGAGCGTATTGGTAGGCTAATTTACGAGCTTGTTTGTACGTTAATCCGTAATTCATTTTAGAACTCTTCAAAAGATATTCTTTCACCATCCGTTCGTCGTCATTTGTAAACACTTGTGTGCAGTGGCGGGGCAAGATCTACATTGGATGTGGGCAAGACGGATTTCGCGAGGCCCTGTTCTATGGCAACCTAAAGACGGATTTTATAGAATAATAAAAACAAACAAAACAATTAATATTGCGAAGTTTTTATTCATAAAAATACAAATGAGATTCACAATGATTAATGAAAAATTACAAATCGTAAATATAAAGGTGGAGATGGAGATATACATTTAATTTTCTTAAAAATCATTGGATTTTTTTTATTAAAGGAACAGAAATTTCCTGTTATTAACTTTACTAAATTCTTTAATTATGGTATCGTAATTCAACCTAGATGCCAAATCTGATTCAATTGATAAAATAGCCAATGCTAAAAAAAAGTCTTTCTTGGCGCATTGTGTTTCTCAAATAATTTTTTATTAATTTTAATTTTGAAAAACTTCTTTCAGCAGAGGCTGCACTCACCGGAATCGTTTATAAAATTCGGATGACTAAATATTTGGATAAATTTCTTTCAAGTTATTTTCTGTTATGTATGACAGCAGCTGTTTCACGTCTTTTATGAAGTTGGGTAAATTCGGGATCATTGTATTTAATTCTTCATATAATTCACATGGTTGGAAGTCACTGCTCTCACCCACACGCAAGACGTTGTGTAAATCGTTACAGTGTTTTGAAAAACAATATCTTCAAAATGTTGATTTAAAGACGTAAATCTGAACTCCATATTGGTTATTATAGAATCAATCATGACGTAAAAATAATCTGTTTGAAACCGGATTTTGGGAGACTGTATAGGTTGATCGCTGCTTTCATAATCGAACATTCTTTTCTTTCTGGCTACTCTTTTCTTCCTAAACTCTTTTGGCAGATCATAACAGCTTCGCTCACAAAATTGCCGAACATCAGACAGAACTTTTTCAAATCCAGTTTCCCGATACTATTTTATCCATTCACAAAATGTGTGTACATGTTCAAGAGCAATGCTTAAATGAATTTGTACTGATTGCCATAATTTACTTATAATATTAACACGCGATAATATCTCATACCACACATGTAAAGATAGTTAGTATTGAATCACAATCACTAAGAGTGTCTGATTGCTCCGTTTGATTTTTTAAGCTTCCGATGCATTCAATCACTTCATCGAATTGCAATAGTACGGCTTTTACTGCTTCGACTCTACTTTCCCATCTTGTGTCTGATAATGGTTTCATAGTTAGTTCTAATTTGCCTTTTATTAAATCCCAGCGTTTGCTTGAACTTGAGAGTAGTAAATAAATTTTTTGAATGAAACCAAAAAAGTATTCGCTGCCATAGATGAGTTCGCTGCATCTACCAACAGTCTACCAATCTACTCTTTTTTGTACACCATGATTACAAAACAAACAATTACAAAAAATTCAAACTAAAAACTAATGGTGAAACAAAAGGCGGCCTTATGGCTTATTAGCCATTTCTTCCAGACTACCTGGGGTTAGAGGATTGCGTTTGGAAGACAGTATAGGGTGGTACAATATTAAATATTCTTAAAATAAATATAACCTCAACGCATACAAAAATAAATAACAGTAATAAATATTCAATAATATACATACGTGCATATATCAATAAATACATACATACATACAGATACATACATACATACATACAAATTCATACATACATAGAAATAAATATATACTAGTCAAAATAAAATAAGGGCCGCCATGTTTTTTTAGTTATTTAAAAGAAATATGGGATTTAGGGATATGAAAATGATCAGAATAAATTATTTAATAAATTTTTAATGTAAAGAGCAGCAGATATTGTTTTATTACTCTAAAATTTACATCCCTTTCTTTTTTTTGGAAAAATCGACTTTTTAACCTAAAATGCACAATATGAAAAACGTGTCTAATTTAAAAAAAAACTGAAGATTTGTTGAAATTTTTATTTTTTCAGTAACGTGTGTGTCCTCCCCTTTTTCGAACACATTCTTCAAGCCTCGAAGGCATACTCTCCACCAGGTGTCGTATTGTGTCCAGAGGGATTTGTTCCCAGCTTGTCTTTAGCACGTTTATGAGCTGTCGTTCGTTAGTTACCGGTTGATTTGTGTCAAGAATGCTTTTTTTTAATAAATCCCACATGTGCTTAATAGGGTTAAGGTCCGGGCTATTGGCGGGCCACGGAAGCATCTGTACACCAGCTTCTTCTAGTGCTTCGGCAGTAGCTTTAGCTGTATTAGCGCGGGCATTGTCATGCATTAATTGGAATCCTGCACCAATTCTCTATATAAATGACACCACGTGGAGTCTTATGACCTGCTCAATGTACCGTTGAGCCGTTACCATGCCTTCGTTGAGAATTACGAGCTCGGTTCGACCTGATAGTGAGATTCCGCCCCACACCATTACGTTGGGACCCCCGAATCTGTTACTTTTGTGGATGCAAGCATCCGAAAATCGCTCTCCATCTCTTCTCTAAACTCTAATGCGACGATCATCACAAAAAAATTTCACTTTGGATTCATCTGTGAACAATACCTTGCTCCAGTCATCAATGTTCCAGGCCTGGTGCTGCCTAGTGAACGTTAATCGCCTTGCACGATGTGCGGATGTCAGTGGAATTCGCACTACTCGTCGTCTAGAGAACTGTTGGTCTTCATGCAACCGATTCCTAATCGTTTGGTCACTTACGCGGGTGCCCGTCGCTTGGCGTAAGCGGTTTTATAAGGAACGGGCGGTGACGACTCGCTCTCTGCGCGCAGTTAACCGTATGTAGCGGTCTTCCTGTGCTGTGGTTGCTCGACTCCTGCCTGATCCTGGTCTTCTGGTAACTCTCCCAGTCTCTTGAAACCTAAACCAAACATTCTGGATTGCTCTCCGTGAAAAACCCAGCTGCAGAGCTACAGAACGGTGCGAATGGCCCTGTTGAATCAGCGTTATGGCCATAGTTGTGATCTGTATGTCCATATGTCTTCGAATCCTCGGCATTGTTCTTTAAAAATGATAATCACGCACTAACAAAGAGAATTCCTGCTGTTCACCAAGAACTCGACAGTTTAAATGACTCAAAAAGTCGACTTCAAATAGGGTAATTTTTAGTGACTTCGAAAAAAAACTTCATAATCGACCCACTTCAAAAATTAAGTAAGTGATATACTCTCATAATGTTTGTCAACACTTAACGTAACGCCACAAAAAAACTTAACCGGTACTGATAGCTTAAAATTTATTAGATCGCTTCAAACGTCAAAATAAACAAGTGGCCCTTATTTTGTTTTGACTAGTATATATACTTAATACATACATATATGACGTTATTAAATATTTGTCATAATCATGTCGTCATCATTACTGTGATGAGAGATATAAGTTCTTTAAGGAGTTTTTAAACGTATGTAGGGTTTTCGACAGTCGAATGCTCAATGGCAAGTCGTTCCAAAGAGTTATAGCCTGAACAGTGAACGACTGGCTGTAAAATTTGCTGTTATGAGCAGGCATTTTCAGTATGAGCCTACGTGTTGGTCGAATTCTAGACTGGTCTCCTAAAAATTCAAATTTCTCCTTCAGATAATGAGGAGCATTTGGATTAAATAACACACAGTAGGTACAGAAGAGAAAGAGTATGCAGGTTCCGGCGACGGCGTATAGGGAGCCACTTGAGCTTTAAACGAAACTCTGAAACGTGGTCATACTTTCGGAGATCGAAAATAAACCGAATAGCTAGATTTTGTAATCGCTCAAGATAATTAAGTTGGTCCTCGGTAAGATTAAGATAGCTTGCGTCCGCGTAATCGAGTATTGAAAGAAGGAGAGAGTTTGCAAGCATAGTTTTGGTAGGAATTGGCAGTACATTTTGAAGTCGTCGCAAAGAACTTAAGGAGGCGTATGTTTTTTTTTCCAATTTGTTTTAAATGCTTTAAATGCATATATGTATCCTTTATCTCCGGTGATATAGAAATCCATATTTGTCTTTTTTCATGTCTCTACATGAGATTTATATATTGTCTGCAAAATTTATCGGTTGACATTTATCCGGAATTTCAAAAGTATGTTTTTCATCATTCATAATTGAGGTTATACAAATTATATTGCTTTTTGGATTTTCAGCAGCCTTCACGTTAAATTCGAACTTTAATCTCTCCATAGTCCCTTCAATAGTTATGAAAATGTTGTTTTATAATGTATATTAACACACTGCCAAAGGTTTTGTAGGAATAAAAACTCAATTCCTTTTCTCTGTGAAAGAAATGTTTTATTATAATAATCATAAATTAAAAAACACTGTAGTTCCATAAAAGTAATTATTATAAATATTACAAACCTGTGAAAGAAACAACATTTAAACTTATTCCTAATTCAATAAATTTGTGTTCTTAAAAACGAAACAATTATTTCACCACGTGTTCTTAAAAAGAAATCCTAATAGTGACAGCATCGACCCTCATGATATATAAGCTACGTTCAAAAACTAAATGAAGATTCATTAATTTTTT